CTGGAGCCTAAAAAGAAAAAGGCCAAGGTGAAGGCAGAGGTTAGCGCCGAAGAGGCGCTGGGAGAAAAGGAAGCCAAATGGGCTAAGGCAAGAGAAGTGCCAGCTGATGACGAATCAGAAAGTTACTCCTACGAGGAGGATGAGGAGGAGTGTTCCGTCGATTGGAGAGGCGACGACGCCGATCGTCGTTCAAGGACTCCTGAAGGACGCCGACCTGGAGTGATCCTCAAGTCCAAGGGCTATCTGGAATTGGAGGCTCGACTTGCGGATCCTGTGGGTGTAGATAACACCGCGGACACTCAACCAGGTCCGGCGGGTGCGCCCGGCACCGCGGACACTCAAGACGCTCCTGCGCCTGCAAGTGCATCTGGCACTGTGGACGCATCTGGCACGGCGGACACTCAAGCAAATCCGGCGAGTTCGGCAGGACGTTCGGATACTGCGAGTAGGCGCAAAGCCATCGAGGAAGACATAAAAGAGCACGGAACGGTCGTTTGCCCTCGTTGCGACGCCAGGAATGCTACTTGGAGACTGAAATGTTATCGGTGCAGCCTGGAGCGCCCAAATCCGAAAGACATCGTCCGAGAGCATGGGGATCGCCGCAGCACCCGTGGAAAGAAGCGGGGAGGTAAGAAGAACCGTGGGGGTGGCCAGACAGGGAGCCAGGCAGAAAACGAGACCTGGACTCAGGCTCAAGGCTGGTGGCAGTCACAGGACTGGTCAGAATCCCATGGTTCCCGAAGTTCGGATTGGCAAAGGAGCTCTTGGAGTTCTCGATCCAACTGGACGTGGGGCAAGTACGATCCGGAGGGGAGCGATCAGAATCACCCCTTTGCGCATCCTGAAGTGATGGTGATGCGGGCTGTGGCCGCCACCCTAGCTCTTGCCGGGCTGAGAGGGGTTTTACGCCTCACGGAGCAAGCCGTGGAATCTGTCCTGGCTCTGATCCAAGTCATAGAAGTCAATACGGCTGAGGTAGTAGAACAAGCACAGATGACCCTCACAGACCTGCTGCAAAGGAGCGTGGTGATCGGGTTCATCCTTCTCTGGGGGTGGATCGGATTCAGGTGGTGGAAGTGGAAGCAGTCCAGAGACCAGAAGACTTTGGACGATCTTGAGTTCAAGACCCCGCACACCTCTCCAGAGAAAACGGGTGCGAGGGCAGGCAGGGAGCATCGTCGCTCACCCCTAAAGCGGCCAAGCACTGCCATCCTCCGGGCAAAAGCCTTGGGGAGTGTGGCCTATGAAAGGGGACAGCGGGCGACAACGCCGCTCCTTAAGACAAGGCCCGGAACCCGAGTGCGGACCAGCAGGTCGCCTCAAGCCGAAAGGGTTCAGAAGGGGAAGGCATCTAATAAGGTGCCTCGCAAAGTCGCGAAATCTCCCACCCCTTTTTTGAATGGTGGAGTGAAGGGCTTGGGAATGTTCGCTACAGCACGTGAATATCAGGAAGCAGCCATTTCGGCGCTCCGCAGCTGCTCTGAAACAAGACCCGTGGCAGTGAATCTGATCGCTTATGCGATCGACAGAGCTGATTTGCTGGGTGCTCTTCTTGCTGTCGCAGAAGTGCATCAGGTACCTGTCAAGGTCGTAGCGGACCAAGCGCAGACCAACAGGATGCCAGAGCAGAAGAGGGTCCTAGAACAGGCAGCTGAAGGGGGTCTTGATGTTCAGCTGCGAACAGGCAACGAGCTCCGAAGCCACTACCTTGAGGCTGGAAGGCAAGGAAACGGGTTCAAAGGAATCCAGCACGCGAAGGTTCTGGCCATAGAATGGCAAGATGGCTGGGAAGTCTTTGCCGGGAGCAGTAATTGGACAACTGCTTCTAGGGGTAATCACGAACTGGGCTGGCGAGTGGAGCTCCACAAGGCTGGCGAGTTATCGGATCAACTCAGGAACTGGTTGGATTCAGTATGCGAGGGATCCGTTCCGATGACTCAAGTTCGTGCAGAGAAAAGCCAGAAAGCTGGAGGGAAATCCACAGACCAAACAGCTAGACTCTCGCGGTCAGAGACGCAGAGCTAAGTGCTCTTGCGGTCGAAGACGCAGAGCCAACGTCCTGCGGGTATCATTTGGGTACGCGGACCTAATAATTCGTACAGAAGGTGTGGCGACACTAGGCAGGGGGGCGAATGTGAACCCAACCCTTAGTGTAAAGTGCCTAGCGGTCTGCCCCTTCAGTTTGTAGGGCTACTGAGGAGCCGCGTTGAGTGTACTCCGCTTGCTCCTATCACTTTTGGCTCAAGGTGAGCTGTGACCTCAGTTTCACTGCAGCTTTGCAAAGCAAGGTTGTGGCACCGGCTGAGCAGTAGCCGACCGCGCGACAAAGGGTGATCTCTGGGCTGGTGTGAGACTGGCGGGACCTGAGGGTGATCTCTGGGCTGGTGTGAGACTGGCGGGACCTGACTCTTTGGTTCGCATATCTTAAAATACAATATAATATAATATAATGTAATATAATATAATATAATACAATATATATATAGATATTATATTATATAATGTAATATAATATAATATAATGTAAATAATATAATAATATAATATAATATAATATAATATAATAAAATAAAATATAATATAATATAATATAATATAATACAATATATATATAATATAATATAATATAATATAATATAATATACATATATATATTAATTAATGATTGCGGTTTATTACCCCCATTGTCCCGATAGAAATTCTTGCTGAAATCCCTGTGGATTTAACTTTCTCCGAATGGGATGACGCGAAAATTGAAACCAGACACCCCTAGTAAATTAGTGATCAAAACGAATCTTAGAACCAGAAAAAGCCCGAATAACCCCATTAAAATATCTTAAAATATCTTAAAACCAAAAACTACCCCTATAAAAAATAAAAAAATCCCTGATCAAAACACCTTAGAACCATTATAAAAAAAACAAAAAATCCTGGTTTTCCACCATCTTCCCATGGATTTTCCCATCTTCCAGGAGAAGGCTTGGACCTGGAAGACCATGTGGGGCCGCGACATTCGTTGGATCACCTCCGAGGTCCCCTGGAGGAGATCCCCAACGGGTTTTTCTTCGCCGACGGGCCTATTTTTTCAGAGTTAATTATGAGTTAGATAACTGGTGAATCATAGTTAATCATAGTTAAACATAGTCAATTGATGTTAGTTAATTGTTAATCATAGTTAATGATAATTAATCATAGCTAATTGTTAGATCAACCAGTTATCATTTAGTTAATAGCTAATTAACTTATGGTTAATTGTTAATCTTAGTTAATCATAGCTAATTATAACTGGTTAATTGTTAATCATAGTTAATGATAGTTAATGATAGTTAAACATAGTCAGTTGATGTTAGTTCATATAGGTATATGCCAAGGTGTAGTAGATGACAACTGGTTAATCATAGTTAATGATAGTTAAACATAGTCAGTTGATGTGAGTATAGATATATACCAAAGTGTAGTTGATGATAACTGGTTGATTATAGTTATATTATAATTGTATAGTTAGTGTATAACTATAGTTAATACTTAACTTATGGTTCATAGTACTACTAGGACTAGGGGTCATGGTTGTAAGTTGATACGTACAACTATCGATGATGCACTATAGGGGTTTTGCTTCTGTTTGTTGCTTCTAAACCCATCAACTAGCGGTTATGGGTGATATAACATGATAAACAATTATCATCTATAGTTGATGGGCCTATAGTTCGTAGTGAACTATAGTTAGATCATGTTTAATCAACTAGATTCCGCTGCTTGACTTTCAGGACTTTTGGTTACATCATCACAACTGGTTATGGAGTTGATGAAACAGTTCAATGATTTATTTTTGCAAGAAACATTTGCGGCCTCACCCTGTAACTATTGTAAGCCAACTTTATCTGGATTTCTCTCAAAAAAGAACGTGATGAGCATGTTGCAGTAGCCAGTTCTGTCCACATGGCCATCAAGGGCCTAAGGGAAGATGAGAACAAATTGACCCGAAGGTCTAAAAATTCTGGCATAGCATGGCATAGGAGGCATATCTCCCCAGCCAAATGGCCAACAGGGAAGCTGATGATACACATGGAGATCTTCCAGCAGGATACCATGGATAGCCGATTTTCATACCGGAAATCCCTGAGGTCAAGAAATACTGGCCGGACGGCTTCCCTGGCTACGACCACGTCATGGACTGCGGCTGCGGGGAAACCAACTAAGAAATGGGCTTGGTAAATGATGGTAAAGGGGCATGGATGAAAGCCAATTATGATCAATTGTAGCATATTTGGGGGATAAACATCCGTTTACCAGCTATTTGGGTGTGAACAGAAAGGTATCAGGTTTTGATCCATAGCAATTGCTTCAAGAAATGAACACGAGGTAATAATCAATAAACCCTACAATCATTGGGCCCCTTTTTGAGGGAAACGACTACAGTAAACCATAGTAAACCCGTGTTTTTAGCATTGAACAGAGGGGGTTTTCTCTAAATTATCCCCCTGAATGTCTCCTGTCTATTGAGGGTTTCAAATTGGGATCAACAAGAGCTTTAAATCAAGACCACATGCTGTGGTTTTGTCAGCTGCCATGCTTGCGGTTTGCTTGGCTTTGGCGACCCATTTGAGACCTGGTTCTTTTTGGCACTCAGTTTGAAGTCATACCGATATCCTGCAATACGTATCCTAACGTGGGAAAGGCGTGGACTCACCATTGCCAATATCTCACTGCAGATGCCAAGGCAGTTGCCATGCTGGACATGGCACTGGCACATTTGGCACATTATGGCACCACGAATGCAGGACCCCTTCTACGATGATTGCGACCCTCACATTGCCTTGAAGGCACCTGAGTGGTAGATGAGAACAGGTGCCCCGTTGCTAGTGATGTGTACCTGTTTCACGCCGGCGTGGTTACGAAAAAAAACTCGGAGCGCGGAAGGGCCACAGCTTTGCGGCCGCACAATGGGTACCTTCCAGGATTCTAAAAATGGTCAGCCATTCTGCGTTTAATGTCGACCCATGCCTGTTAGACCTCAGGAGAATCGCACGGCCGCAGAACTGGCTCTTAACTGCGACAGGAAACCAATCAAACCAGTGATGCCTCCCCCATATCTTTCCAGATTCATATTACTGTACTATTTTTTGATCATTTGTGCATGTTGCTTACTGTTGATCCAAAGATGTTTAGAGTTCGCCAATGTTCTCCATATTGGTTGATCAACCAACACAACCAAGGCCAGCGAGGTGGTTTGACCGAACTCACCCAGGTCATGAGGATCAACAAAGACCTTCGAAACCTCACAGGCTACGAGGCGCGCATGAGCCGGTGGCCCGGCCCTGCTGGAAATTACCTGTTTTTTTAGGTAAAGCTTGGTGAATGATGGGTTGATACATCCGATTGTACTGCACTTTGACATTTTGCAGTTTACCCAACTGACATGGCTAGAGGGCTTTTGGTGTCTCAACTGCCGTCATATCCCACGCTATCCCACGCTGAAAAGCGAGTTTGTTCACTCCAATCTTTTCTTGACTGACTGAGTACTATCTAGAGCCTAGGGTATGTCTGGAGGACTAACATTCCCCATCTATGGCTGGAAGTTGGGCACTGGCAACAAATCAACTTTAGTCGGCTTCATCAACCAATTTGTTGGATAGAAAACACTTGTGTCAAAAATTGACACACTCACACACTCGGCGGTTTGAGAACAGTGGAACTTCGTGGAAGCATTTTAAGATATATTTTAGGCACCAGAGTGACGAGCAGGTGGGCTTTGCTGGCTTTTTCTGTGGTCGAATCCTGGGTTTCAAGCATGGTTTCTGTTCAGTGTCCAAAATCAATCCATTGGAATCCCAAAAACTTAAGCAGACTCAAGGGATTTGATCAAGGAGATGAAGTCAACACACCGCACAAATCCTTTGATAATCCACTCCGACAGAGCAGAACATATTATACCTACCGCTACCTGACTACGTTGACGACCTACCAAATAACGGAAACACCCTGTTCAAGTGGAATAGAATGGAATGGACATCTAATTTGTGCTTTGGTTTGACCCCTGTCCAACCAGCGCTTTTGGATCCTCCAAAGGCTAATCAGCATGTCCTCATTCAACATGTTAATCTTGGGGTACATGACATGCAGCATTTCTGGTCAAACCCAGTATTGATCGTTAGTATCCGCAGCCAATCCAAGAAAATGGATACAATTGGTCGTATAATACGACCATGATATCATTATTATATTATTACAGGAGAATATGTACTTTGATTTTGAGGTTTCCCAATCCCCCCTCATATTGTTCTTTTTATCATTATGTATCAAGTTATATCGTTATATACCATTAATATCTGTAGTGTATAATTATACTATATCGCCAGAAAAAAGGTCTGTTACCCTGCCCCATCACTTCTGGGTACTCAGTGTACCCGCGCGTCGATGTAGGGCGAGTTGCTGATAAGCGGTGTGGGGTCTCATTGACAACGAACATCTGAGTTTACAGTGACTCGTGGTTTGCAAAGCCGTTCCAAACCCAGGTGAGATTTCCAAAAAGGACATTCATGTAATGTATAATTAATATCTATAGTCTATAATTATGATTGTTGATGGGTGGCTCAAACATCACTTGAAGGATTGTTGTCCAAAAAAAAGGGAGTCTAGGATAAAGCCTGAGGTCGCGCCAAAGCGCGGGCTCACAGCTTTCTGAGCTCGAGTTTTAAGAAGTACATGTACGAGGTGGGAGTCCATACCTCCAGGGCTATCCGAAGAGCTGAAGGATGCTCTTCAGCTACGGCTAGACCCTTTTCATTGATCCCTCACACTGGCAAAGGTGTCAAGTCTGTCAGTTGTGTTTGAGTTTTCTGATGGGAACAGGGAACAAAGATGTTTCTCCAAACTGAGGGCTTCTCAGATTTCTCGGATTGAGAACCCATTCTAAAGTGTGAGACACCTCCAATGAACCACGACATTGATGCTATTGTGCCAGATTTGGATTTCTATGCTTGGGTGAGCATCCTGCTTCAAAACGGGTTTCAATTTGGAACCGTATGGTTCCAGGGCAATTCCTTCTCAACATCTTCTTGATCAAGCATCTTTTTATAGTTCTAACTGCAAGTTTGACCTGACTGAGTAGTGTTGGTGGAAGCCCGGGATTCCCGTGATGGATTATCATCATCCCAGATATATCAAGGGTAGGTTGATAACCCCCAAACTAATCACTAACCAACAATCATCAATATCCCATGTGTTTTTGAGGGTTAGAATGTTAGAAGTTATAACCCCTGTTTCCCCATTTCCGGTATACATAGTATAATAATCATAATTTATCATAATCATAATTGTCATTTGATTGTTTTTTCTATATCCCCATGATAATGAAACAGTATAACAGTATAACCCCTATAATTGGCGATACCATGATTTACCCCCATGTTTGTCTGCCATTTCCGCTACGTTTTTACGCGCGAAGTGCGAAAATGCCACAGGCGGACGAAGGGCCCATTGAGCCGCCGCTGCAGCCAAAAGGTCCTGTGGTGGACCAAGCAGGTGTGGATCCAGAAGGTGAGTTATCTATACCTCGAGTTACCGGCTGGTAAACTAATATGGGTGTGTCTGGAAATGGGGTATCCCCATTATTACTGCACAATTTAGAGCGAGGGCTGACGAGGTACGAGGTGAATCTTTGCAATTTAAGCGAGGTGAATTAATTAAATTCAGAAAACGAGGTGGGCAGAAATTGCTTTCAAAGCATGTGCAACGAGTGAAAAAAAACTTTTCGGGCTCCAGAAAGTTTTTTTGTTCCCATCAGAGTGAAAAAAATAGAAAATTAAGGGTGCATTCAGACCCATGAAAAAAAAACTTTCTGGAGCCCGAAAAAAATTGTTTATCGTAATTCAGTCAGTGCCCTGTGGTGGCATGCCCGGTTGTTCCAGGACTTCCGTATTTGTTCTACAGTGAAACCACTGTTTAAGAACCCACTGCATTAAGAACCTCAGGGGCTGGATTGCTGGATTCAACTCTGTCTACCAGCTAATTGAAATCAGAACCCTAGGGAACCCTGAAATTTTGGTCAATAGTTCTTATTCACCTTTCCCAGGTAGCGCGACTAGATTCTAAAATTGCTAAAGCTTGAGGTGTAGCGGGGTATCTTGGTGCTGCTGCTGCAGCTTCTCTTCTCTGGTGTCGAATTTGGGGGGAATCGAGCCCCTGCAAATCCGCTTGTAAAAGAGGCATCTCGGAAACAGGAAAAAACTTTTTAGGCCCTGAAAAGTTTTTTCAGCATCCCCAAGCCTCTGGAGCCCAGAGCGTTGCTGCAACGACGACAAAGATAATTCAAAAAAGTTCAACCCAAAAGGAGGCAGAGGACTAGTTCGAATGGCTTGCGGTCGAGAAAGAAATGGGACGAGGGCTGAAATCCGTTTTGAATGTAACGAGGCGAGGACTGAAGATTTAATCAGAGGGGAAAAGTAGATTTAAGACGAGGAAACCGTTTTGAATTTAAAGTAAATTTTGCAGATTATTATAGTCATTTAAGAGGGACAATTACGGTTAACCTTGGGGTTTAGGGGTACACCGTTTTCAGACAAACCCATGTAGCCATATTGCTATGGAACACATTTTTTTAAATATGTTTAATAGGTAAATCATCTAGTGAATTCTATGGGCCATGGTCCAAAACTTTGTTAGTTAACTGGAGGACTTAGTGGTTTCAGGTTGGTTAGATCTGGTCAATAATGCTTGAACATTGGGATTAGAATAGATTGGAAACTTAAGTTTCCCTTAACCAGGTCCAACTTCGTCAGTTGCTATTTAGATGAACTGTGATCAAGAGAAATGGGAAACGAATGAGGTCGATTTACAATGACTACTCACGATTGAAACACAACCGTAGGTCAACCCGTATGCCTTAGTCTTGTATGCTTGGGGGAGAGCACCTGACTTCGATTGCTACCAGTATCGATGTGTTTGATGTTTGCGAGGTGGAACCGCCATTATTTACACAAGGATTTTCACAACCAATCAGGAAAAAACGATGGTGATGGGTAAATCAAAGCAGCTTAAAACGAAGTCAGGGATGGGGTGCTGATCGCAGATCCATCTGAATCTATCTATCTGAATCTATCTATCTGAATCTATCTATCTGAATCGATCTATCTGAATCGATCTATCTGAATCGATCTATCTGAATCGATCTATCTGAATCGATCTATCTGAATCGATCTATCTGAATCGATCTATCTGAATCGATCTATCTGAATCGAACTATCTGAATCGATCTATCTGAATCGATCTATCTGAATCGATCTATCTGACTCTATCTATTTGAATCGATCTATCTGAATCGATCTATCTGAATCGATCTATCTGAATCGATCTATCTGAATTGATCTATCTGAATCTATCTATCTGAATCTATCTATCTGAATCTATCTATCTGAATCTATCTGTCTGAATCCATCTATCTGATTCTATCTATCTGAATCTATCTATCTGAATCTATCTATCTGAATCTATCTATCTGAATCTATCTATCTGAATCTATCTATCTGAATCTATCTATCTGAATCTATCTATCTGAATCTAACTATCTGATTCTATCTATCTGAATCGATCTATCTGAATCGATCTATCTGACTCTATCTATCTGAATCGATCTATCTGAATCGATCTATCTGAATCGATTCTATCTGAATCTATCTATCTGAATCTATCTATCTGAATCGATCTATCTGAATCGATCTATCTGAATCTATTTATCTGAATCTATCTATCTGAATCGATCTATCTGAATCTATCTATCTGAATCTATCTATCTGCATCTATCTATCTGAATCTATCTATCTGAATCGATCTATCTGAATCGATCTATCTGAATCGATCTATCTGACTCGATCTATCTGAATCGATCTATCTGAATCGATCTATCTGAATCTATCTATCTGAATGATTCTATCTGAATCGATCTATCTGAATCTATCTATCTGAATCGATCTATCTGAATCGATCTATCTGAATCTATCTATCTGAATCGATCTATCTGAATCGATCTATCTGAATCTATCTATCTGAATCTACTGTATCTATCTGAATCTATCTATCTGAATCTACTGTATCTATCTGAATCTATCTATCTGAATCGATCTATCTGAATCTATCTATCTGAATCTATCTATCTGATTCTATCTGAATCTATCTATCTGATTCTATCTGAATCGATCTATCTGAATCTGAATCTATCTATCTGAATCTATCTATCTGAATCTATCTATCTGAATCGATCTATTTGAATCGATCTATCTGAATCGATCTAACTGAATCGATCTATCTGAATCGATCTATCTGAATCGATCTATCAGAATCTATCTATCTGAATCTATCTATATCTATTTTTCTGAATCTATCTATATCTATTTTTCTGAATCTATCTATATCTTTCTATCTATCTGAATCTATCTAGCTGAATCTATCTATCTTAATCTATCTATCTATCTATCTGAATCTATCTATCTGAATCTATCTATCTAAATCTATCTATCTATCTATCTATCTATCTATCTATCTATCTCTATCTATCTATCTATCTGAATCTATCTATATCTAATCTATCTATATCTATCTATCTATGAATCTATCTATCTATCCATCTTTCTATCTATCTATATCTATCTATATCTACCTATATCTATCTCTATATCTATCTATATCTATCTATACCTATCTATACCTATCTATATCTATCTATATCTATCTATATCTATCTATATCTATCTATATCTATCTATATCTATCTGTATCTATCTATATCTATCTATATCTATCTTTATCTAGTTTTATCTATTTTATTTATTTTTTATCTATTTGTATCTATGTTTATCTATTTGTATCTTTTTTTATCTATCTCTATCTCTATCTGTCTCTATCTATCTATATCTATATCTATATCTCTATCTATCTATCTATCTATCTATCTATCTATCTCTCTATCTATCTATCTATCTGTCTGTCTGTCTATCTATCTATCTATATCTCAATCTCTATCTCTATCTCTATCTCTATCTCTATCTATCTCTATCTATCTCTCTATCTATATCTATCTATATCTATCTATATCTATCTATATCTATCTATATCTATCTATATCTATCTATATCTATCTATATCTATCTATATCTATCTATATCTATCTATATCTATCTATATCTATCTATATCTATCTATCTATCTATCGATCGATCGAATATATATATATATATATACATGAGTCCCTTGGGGCCCGTGGAAGCGCCGCACAGGTCACATCACTGGCACGACAATGCAGCAAACCACAGGGATGCCGCCGGCCAAGGAACGTGCTGACCGTGCTGAAGCTGGATCTGTGAGGGCATTTTTGATGGATCCACTGAATCTTACCCGACCCTCTGGTAAACTGTTACATAACTATGGAAAATCACCATTTTTAATGGGAAAACTCACTGTTTCTATGACCATTTTCAATAGCTATTTTGACATAACCAGAGGGTATCATTTATCATGAATCATGTCCGCCATTAATATGTTTAGTCCATGTTTATCGTTAATCTTAATCACTGATCCATCTGATCCATTAATATGATTTTTTAAAAATGGATCGCTGAAGCTGAATCATCACTGTACTTGGTTCATCTTGGTTCTATTTGATTGATCAATACGATATGTTTTTCAAGCATGCCAAACACTGATACTTGAAACAACAAAAGTGGGGACGGGTACATTTTTGAACTGAAATTGGGAGTTCATGCAGGACGGATATGGATACGATTTCCAGCAACCTCATTGCGGAAGAAACCCCGTCAATGATCGTCAATTCAGGTTGATACAATGGGCAAAGCATCGCGGTCACACCCTTTGATGGCCTAACAAATCAAGTTTGGAATTTCCATGAACTTTCTATAAATTCTATCCAGTTGGGGTTGGGTCGTGTTGGGTCCTCCTTCCGAAAAACCCAGGGGCAAACTAGAATCACCTGGTCTCTTTGAGATTTGCCAGCCTGAACCTTGCAATGTTGCAGGGGGGGCCTAAACACCTTCTCAGAGGCTGTTTGGAGCACTAAGGAACATTAAAAAAACTGTTGAATCACTATTTATTCACTAGTCATCCATCAATCATCCATTAATCGTCCATTAATCATCCATTAATCATCCATGAACTCTCCATTGACTATCCATTGACTGTCCATTGACTATCCATTGACTATCCATTATTGTTCGTTATACCCCGAAGCCCCCCGAGTTCCTGGAGTAACTCTGCCGCGAGGAGCTAGAGCGAGTGCAGCCTGGTGCACAGGCATGCTATGGTTGAATCATGTTGAATCCATGGCTCTTTGGATGGTTAAATCATGTTATTAAATCTACCCTCTGGTTATTTAACATAGCCATGGAAAATGGCCCATTTATAGATGGTTTACCTATTAAACATGGTGATTTTCCATGGCTATGTTAAATAACCAGATGGTAAATTAAATCCATGGGTCTCCCCAACTGATCTACACAATGGTGGGATTTTCATGGGTTTTTCCCTCCAGAGCCTCCAGGAAGTTGGCTTGGTTTCATGCTCAAACCCGTCGTGAAGACACAGATTCAAACAGACTGGCGCAGATGATTGGCACCAGATTTTGAAACTTTCAAACCTTGTTTTTGTTTTTTTTTCGCACGGTGACATTGAAAATCTTAAGTCATCAATTTGACTTTCACCATCTGCGGATCGGTGTAAATCGCCTTGCCAGGTGCCGCCGGGCAACATTCCTCCGCCCAAGGGTCCAGAGAGGCGGCACCAAGAAACCGATGGAATCCCATGGAATGGTAGATGATGGTAGCACATCCAACTTAGATACCCAGGTGCTCCATGTATGGAATATTTACCTACATTTGGGTCATTTTTTGGGTAAATGTAGGTAAATATTCCATACATGGAGCATCTGGGATATGTCAAAAGTTGTTGTTTTTTCCGCAGATTTTCGTTATGTGAGTCATCGGGGGTAGAGAATCATTGGTTGCTTCACCCATCGCCAATGGGGTTAGCTGGCCACGGCTTCACAGGTCAACCTTTGAGACTTTGACTCCCGCGGATTTTGGAAGTGCCATTGTACCTAACGGTTTAACGTGACTTCACATCATGATGGTTTATACATTTTTATACTGTTTGTATAATTTATACTTGTCAGATTCCAGTCATCAAGAGTTGGCACATGTTGGCACCAGTGAGCCAATATGCAACCAGCATGGCAGGTTGTCTAAGGTGAGGCAGCGTCCCACTATGGGGTCCCCCAAATAAATGATGTCATTTAAGGTTTAAGATGCTCACAAATTAAATCCCCAGAAAAGATTTAGAATAACTGATATTAGTTGATATTATATATATTTGTAATATGACAGTCAATGTAAATAAGTCAATGTAAATAAGTCAATGTAAATAATTCCATGTCAAGTGGATACTCCCGAATTAAATGAACTAGGGGATACCAACTTTCTGGGAGCCTCAGCCCAAAGATCTATGCTTCGCTTCAGGACCTTTCGCGAAGATGGGCTGGACGCTTAGATCACAAGATGTTTCCGTGCAAAACGTGTTCGTCTCAATTTAGAGTATAGTTGGTTGACCAACATGGCATCATCATGCATCATCTCTCAACTTCATCCAACTTCATCCAACTGGTATTTCTTCGTTTACCCACCTTTGAACCTTGAATATGTCACATGTTTGCATGAATTGTGGATTGAATTGTGGATTGTGGACATACCAGTTATATGTGGGTTGAATTTTTGTCCTCGTTTGTTTCGACAACACCGGCCCCGCAGCGTCAAAAACGGCCATAGCTCGGAACATCCATTGGAGCATACCTGGCATACCTCAACCATTCAGACATCTTCACAAGCTTGAGGATAATTCATATTCCCGATATATCAACCAATTAATATCGTTTAATTCCATTGGTGAATTGGTTAGGTGTACACCCAATCTGCTTCCATTCACAACGGAGCTTCGTTCAGTTGATCTTGGTTCCAGGACGTCTGCGGAAGGGAAGATCATGATAAACAATGGGATTTGGATGTAACTCATCGCTTCCACAAGCCCAAGTGTCAGTTGATGGTGAGTAAATATCATATTAGTATATCACTTAACATATGTTAATATCAGTTATAGTATATATATATATATATATATCACGTTATATCTATCACTTAATATAGGTTAATATGAGTTAGAATTGGTTATGTTATATTCTCATGTATATCCCAAAGAAATTGCCTCATTATGTCTCTATATCTCCATGTTTGGTTCTAGCTTCATGGCTCCCGCGCGCTGGATCCGGCTGGATCCAAAGGCCCATGGATGAGAAGATGGAGAAGGAGGCCGAAAAGGTGGGGGCCATGGGAACATGGGAAGATTGGGCTCACCGAATACATGTCATACGTGACTTATATAAAAACATAATATAATGTAATACAATATAATATAATGTAATATAATATATACACAGAAATGTAAATACTATGTATATAAAATTATATAAATGCATCTTATACACATTCATATATGTATATAGGCACAATTGTATATGTACTTACTTGTACAGTGTCAAATACCGGTACGGCGCCTAATATGGAGGTATTGTATATATATATATACATAGTATAGATGTATCAATGCATATCAATATACATTACATGCATACAGATAAAATACATATGAAATCGTTGTTCTATTATACCAAACTATACACCTATTTATTTTGTATACACATTTTGCACATTAGTATTGTATGCGCAGGGTTTGCGGCCGTGTCATGGCCGTTTCAAAATCGATTCCATTATAACATCCGAAGTCTCTAGGATGGAGGTTTTTCAAAATATGTTTTTTTAATGTTTTTTGATATGATTCAGATATGATTTGTTGTTTTGATTTGTTTCTGGCCTGGTTTTGCAGTTATGATTTTGATACGGTTTCCGATGTGATTTTGATATGGTTTTAGTCATGATTCTTGATGTGGGTCAAAATTGTGATTTTGAGGCATTTTTCTATGCAAGTTTGCAAGTTTAGGCATTTTCCAAGGTTGACCCGGATTTCGATTCCATGTGCCGCTGAGCATGTACACACATGCATGGAAGATGCATCTCCATATCTCTATCTTTATATCGCTAGTGATCGATCCATGTTTTCAGTTATCTCTTCTAACTACCTACTGATGTTGCTCATCTATCTAATCATTCTAGATCTAATCCAATCTCATCGTACCATATCATATGATGCAATGAGATTGGATGAACCATATCTAATCTTAGTTGTTTTTTTTCTTTTAAATAGTCGTAGTTTATCTTACAATATATATATACATATATTTGTATATATATATAATTATATGTGTATATATATGTATATCTATTGTGTTCTGTTATGTTGTATTTTATTATATCGTATCATATTTTTGATTACGTAACTATCTTGCCCGTCTTATCTACATTGTTCATCTTTTAAATTGTAAATATTTTATCATATCATATTTGTATCATCCTTCTCATATCTCCTATCTTTCCTGTCTCTCCTATCCATCCTCTCTATCCTATCTATCCTATCTATCGCATCGATCCAATTATTCTGCCTATCATATGTATATTATATAATAATATATATGTATGTATATATTATTTATCCCATCAATCTTATCTATTTGTCTATTGTATCTATCTTATCTATCTTCGCTACTTTATCTATGTTTTGTTTAAGCTGGTCTTATCTTATCTCATGTCACTCTACCCTTTCCCATCCTATCCTATTACACAACATATCTACACAATATTCTACAATATGCACAGTACACACATATGTATATATATATAACATATATATATACACATACCATATCTATATCTATGTCTATATCCATATCCATATCTCCATATCTACATAAATATTATATATATATTTATATTGATCTATCTATATCTATATCTATATCTATTATCTATTATCTATATCTACATCTACATCTACATATCATATTTATCTACATATGCTAAGGATGCTCTCCACATCTTTGCGCCCCAGATCCGGATCCCAGGCAGAAGAGGACCTGGAAGGTGAACTGGACGCCATCGCAGAAGAGGATTTGCAGCTTGGCCCGGCACCGTTGTTTCACTGGGAATGCTTCCATAGTCATGGGGGTACCCCAATAGCTGGATGGTTTAAAAACTGGAAAATCCTACTAAAAATTAGGATGATTTGGGTGTACCCCCATTTCAGGAAACCGCCAAATAGAATGAAATAGAGGTAGTGTACCATATATTTTTGGCTATATGTTGTGAGGATAAAAATACGGTAAGTACCTCGAATCTAGGTCCCTGAAATGGCCATTGATTGTCTCCCCTATTTTTCTACCACGTGTTTCACTTTGTTATGATTTTAGGGACGCTTGTTTGTCTTCAGTATCTTAGGAGTAAATACCTACGGTTAAGCTGAGTCCTGGTGAATGTTTGGGTGAACCTAGATGATAAACCTATCATTTGGTGGGATGGGTAACACCAGCACGCAATGATATGAGATCGATGGGTTAGGTGGGATAATGAGATAGACTTCTAGATTTGAATACCAATATCTTGGATTTTGAGAAAGAACCATGCAGAAATACCAGCACTTGGGAATGTAAGTGTGTCCAAGCGTTTGGGGAGCAGCAAATTCCCACATGTTGTCTTAAACACAATAACTTTCTTTAGCAGAGAACCGAGTGGTTCGGGCACCCTCGTTTATTGCATCCAAAGCGGGTCTGTATCCCATTTTTGAAGCCGAACCCATTTCCACCCACCATGATCCTGATTGTATGTACCCTTTGGCAAACATGGCTGGAAAGCATCACCATTGTTTCGAGCGTAAACATGACAGATTTTCCATGGCCGGTTAGAGTACCAGAGAGTAAGTTGGAACAGTGACAGATGGCAGGGATAAGTTTGCAATGCTGTCAGAGAAATGATAATGCCTTCAGACAGGTGTTATTTCTGGGAGGGGATCAAAGAGACTTCCAGAATTCTGGGTGACCCACTGGGTACAGTGGGTACAGGTAGGAGGTGGTTTGCGTTTGGAGCAAAACACTAGACAACATGCAGTCTTGACCCTCCAAGCAATGCCAAATGGCTAGTGGTTTCAAATACAGTATATTGGATATACATAATATATCATATATATATATATGTATATGTGATATGTCATTGGAATACAGCTCATAAAGTTCCCATGTTGGAATGTAAATGTCACCTTCACACACGGGGGTGGACGGCAACAGTTGACCACCATAGACTCGGGGAAAACTAGCGTGCCTTGCCGAGGACAATTCACTGTACCATGTTCATCCGTGTTCATGAATTGGCAGGATAAGATTCCATAAGATATATATATATAAAATTTAATATATATTATAATATATATATATATATAGATATAGTATAATAATATATATATATATATACACATAATATATATATATATTGTATTATGATATATATATATATATATATTGTATTATTTTATATAAATATATATAAATCTATCTAACCTGCCCATGAGGGATTTCCAGGCAGCTTCCTGGATGGATCCACATCCCCAGCACCGGCAGCACCGGCAACACCGGCCAGGGAAGGCCTTGAGGGAAATGATGTGGAGGGTGACAAAGAGGCCCGTGCTGGTGGCAACAAAATTGGAATGCAGACGGATGATTCCAATGACAAGTCCAATGAATTGCATGCGCAATGAATCATGCTGGGATCATTTTCGGGATGGTTGTGCAAACCATACTACTGCTGAAGGGCACACTCAAACCGGAACACTGCAGCCGTTTTCTGGCCACTGCGCTGTAGCTACGCGTTTCGTCCTCTGTGGGACTCGTTCAGGCCGCGCTTGTAGCCAAAAAGGGCTTTGAAACGTATGCCAAATGTCTAGCAAGCTCCAAAAAGCATGCGCAACACTTGGCAAAAACAGCATGGTTTGTGCGCTTAAAAAACCAGAACCCACCTCCCACCACATCTGGTTGCGCAAAGTGCAAAAAAGCGGAAGTCAAAGTGGTTAGTGCCAATTCAAACTGAAATTTCTCCTGAAATTGTTGCATTGGATGCTATAGGAAAGAAAAACTTCTACACGAGAAGTGAACCTAGACTGCACAAAAGAGACGCGTGTTTTTTCAAAACACGTTTTATGACAGAGACGTTCAAAGAAGAACTGTACTGCTGGCGGAAAAAGAACTTCCGTGGTTGCTGCTGACTGGCTGTCGGGCATTCTAGTTTCTTGACAGTTTGCATGGCAAGGCGTCGTGCCTCCTCTTTGCAGTAGCCTCTGTGTTGCAGTTTGTCAAAAAACAGGTCTAGGTGCTTGGCAAAAGCTTTGGCATTCTTCCGGTTTGTTCTGTGTAGCCTCTGCGTCTCACCAATCACCAAAGCTTTGAACACACTGGGTGGGTGACATGAAGTCCGTGGCAAGTACAAGTATGCGTTCTGCGGCTTTCGGAAAGTCTCAAAAGAAATGGAATGATCTCCCATGTGCAGTGTCAAACTAAGATCCAGGAAATTCACTGCCATACCGGAACCGGACATCTCCCAAACGATGTTCGGATGCCAGGTGTTGAGTTCTTGAAGACACTCGTCTTTTGAGTCCAGAGGAAATATTGCAAAAGCATCATCTATGTAACGCTTCCACATGAAAATCCAGGAACATCTCTGAACAAGAAAATCGTCAAAAGCAGCAAGGTACAAGTTGGCAAACACGACGGAGGCTTGCAATCCAGTAGGTAGACCACTTTGTACATGCCATATGTCTGCTTCAAATTCGACATATTGTACGGCAAGCAGAAACTCAATGAGCTTGACTATCATGGCCCCAAAACTGGGCTTCGAACTCCAGAAAAACCTCACTTTGCTGGCTATGACACTGAGGAAATGCCGTTGGTCAATGCTGGGGTATAGATTCCGCACATCAAACGTGAACAAAGCAAAACCAGGAGGGACAACGCAATCCACAAGCTGTTTCACAAGATCTTGCGAAGACTGAATGACATGCAGCTGTCTTTGTAGCATAGGCGCCAGCGCTTCAGTGAGAAAAACTGACAAGGGGCTAAACCAAGCCTTGCTCAGGTTCATGATTGGCCTGCCTACCACTGGGGACTTGTGCAACTTCACTCTGAGTCGAAAACTGCCAACATTGTTGGAACCGAAATCCTTGCGGATGAACGCTGCTAGTCTGGTGGATATGGAACCCGCAAGCACTGATTGCTGCAAAAAACTGTCCAGCAGGAATTTCAAATTGGCAGAGGAATCCAGGAAGTCTGCGCGGGAGACTTTGTACGAGGCTTCCTCCAGCAATCTCAAGCACTCTTGCCTAACCCAGTGCTTGGGCACAATTGCATCACCAAGGTTCTTGTCGCAATCCACTACGCTGATTTCACGTCGGTGTTGCCATAGCCATTTCCGAGCAGCTTTGTCAATGAAATCCTCATTTTTGACAAGTTCTCGAGGAGAATAGCTACTGAGTTCTTCTCGCAGCAGCCTGCCATATGCAGAAATGATTGGATCCTCTTTGGGCTTCCAAGCAGTTCGGAGACGGCAACGTCTGAAAAAGGTAGGTTCAAGTGCATGTCTGTCAAAAAACACTGCCGTATTCAAAGACCTTTCCAAAGCAGAAACGCTTGTCAAGACTTTAGCAGCTGAACTGGCACATCTGTCCGCCACAAACTTACCGCCCTTCGACAAATACGCAAGGACATACGTGGGGATCTCAAAATCTGGCGAAGTCAAAGTATGAACTGGCATGCAAAAACGACGTTCAAGCTGTACAAGGGACATTTTTCTCAGTCTAAACTTGAGGTACATGTCAAAGTCGATGCTCCAATCATCCTTCCAAAAACTTCGCCTCCTAGGTCTGTGTGATAGTCAAGACCTGTTGTGTGGGGCTGGGGTCTTCATACGCACTTGCTTGTGACCGGTGCCCTTGGACTGCCCTTTGCCTCGGGTCTGCTTTCCTTTGCCCTTGCCCTTACCCTTGCCCTTGCTTTTGTTTCTGCTGGATGCCCTAGAAGCCCTCGAAGACTTGGCACTCTTCGCAGACTGGCGGGATCTGTGCGAACCAAGGCTGGACTGCCTACTCTTGATAGACGTTCTGGAGCCCGATCTGCCACGATCTTTGTCATTGGATCCCATGGGCTTGGACTTGGGCTTGGACACAGTTGAGCCGACCGAGATATTGTACTTCTTTGCCAAATCTGGATGCTGCTTGACAAAATAGGCCAGGGCACCAGTGGTTGGTACGACATGCTGTGACTTCTGTGTTCCGCTCTTTCCTGACAGAGTTGCAAATTCCAACACTGCCATGGCTAAAAGCTTATTGACGTCCATAATCCTGAACTCGGCTTCAGCTTTTGTAAGTTCATCCTTTCTCTTCTGTTTGGATTCCTTGTCCTTCTCCTGCTTGGACATGGCCTTCGGATGCTCTGTTCGGAAAACCAGTTCAGCAAACACCTTAAGTTGTTCTTGCAACCGAGTCTTGGCCTGCGCGCTCACCAAATTGCCATGCTTCTGCTGCCAACAAAGAAAACGATCTTCAAGAAGAATGAGTTGCTTTGTTGGGTGGACTCTGTCCTCAAAGAAAGCTGCGCACTGTCGCTGGTAAGCAAACACAAAGCTCTGGCATTCCTGAGCATGCCGGCGTCTCATCGCTCTGAATGCTGCCTCAATGTCGAACGGACCTGCAACGTCAGCTCTGTACATGTCCCTCTGACCTTCTTCAAGCAAAGCCGAAGTTGTGGTCAACTCCTGGGCGTTGGCTTTGAAAGCCTGAGGCCACTGCCAACTTCTGGTGCTTTCATCTTGGAACTGCTTGTGAAGTTCACCAGACACTGCAATGTCTTGATACTTCTGCTGCAAATTGGCTTGTGTGACATGCTGTTGCAGAGCATTGCGATAGTCACGGGCCCACTCCTTCAAAACAGGTTGGAGCGAAGGATCGAAAGTGCCGAGCATGTCTTCTGGATTGTTGTATGCCGTGGGTGTCTGTGTTTGCTGCCTGAGCACATCCATCTGTTGCTGTAGCAACTGGTTCTGCACCTGCTGTGACTGAACCAACTGCAACAAAAGTTGCTGGCTACTTGGCATGTTCTGTGCTCCTGCTGGAGCTGGCAATCCTGGAGGCGCTGTCAAGGCTGCATGAGCTGGGTGTGGATGACCTTCATTAGGCCGACTACGACTTCGAAGAGCCGCGGCTGAGATCATGGAATTAGCACGAGGTGCAGGACGCTCCATGGCGAATGTGCTGGTAGTTGCGAACACTCTACTGCTGAAGGGCACACTCAAACCGGAACACTGCAGCCGTTTTCTGGCCACTGCGCTGTAGCTACGCGTTTCGTCCTCTGTGGGACTCGTTCAGGCCGCGCTTGTAGCCAAAAAGGGCTTTGAAACGTATGCCAAATGTCTAGCAAGCTCCAAAAAGCATGCGCAACACTTGGCAAAAACAGCATGGTTTTTTAAGCGCAGCATTGTTTTTTAAGCTGGGATCATTTTCGGGATGGTTGTGCAAACCATACCGTATTTGGGGGGTAGCATCCAGACCAAGCTATGATGTGACTACCATGGATGGACCATGGACCCCCCCCAGCCATGATATACATGAAATACATATATATAATATATACATATACATATATATTCTATTAATCATTATATTACGTAGATATATCATTAGACCATGATTGGAATCATTGGATATCGTTATAGACAATTGGATTCAATTAGATATCATTACTTAGATACCCTCTGGTTATTTAACATAGCCATGGAAAATGGCCCATTTATAGATGGTTTACCTGGGTTTACCTATTAAAGATGGTGATTTTCCATGGCTATGTTAAATAACCAGAGGGTAACTCATCAGCCGCAGCAAAGTGATGCGTATCCAATGGTCCCGCAGGCACCTCGTTGAGTCGCGCGAAGAAAACAAAAATGTTCGGTCGGCTGGTCAGTCGGCTGGTTTCCGTTCGTCTCTGGTAATGCAACTATAGCGCAAAGGGATGAAACATAGCGAACTAGTTACTGTACCCTCTGGTATATAATTTAACATAGCTATGGAAAATCACCACTTTTAATGGGAAAACTCACTATAAATGGCCATGTTCAATAGCTATGCTAGTTTACCAGAGGGTATAGAATGTTATAGATGATTGAGTTTTTTTGAACATGGTGATGTTATCCTTTTTTCATATTTGGGTATGGATCAATACCTATTAATACCATTTTTAGTGGGATGAACATCCATTTACCAGCTATTTTGATGTTCACCAGGGGTACAAGGTTTTGACACACTGCCATATGATTATATGAAATTATTACTATCAGTATTCATTCATTAAGCCCATGTACTCACTGGCTCGCTGTACTCACGACTGGTTGGGCGGTAGCTGTTCAAGAGCCCATGGAGATCCAGTTTGTTGCCTATATCATTTGTCATCCCTGATGCATTGATCCCAATTGCCATTATGAACAGAACATGCATTTTTGGCAAAAAAACAAGTAGTCTTGTTTTTTTCAAAAGCCTGGAAAACTCAGCATATGGAAAATGAACGAACATGTAGCTAGTTGCAGGATGTTTCAAGAGCTTTGTTCAGAATATGTTGACCAATAGCTCAAGATAAGAGCAGCTTCGCACAGCAACTGAAGCTGTCACATGAGGTTGTTTCAGTAAGGTCCACAGTCTCCGAGTTTTGGTTTGTGTATATATATGTATATATATATAATATATTATATATACATGTTCCAAAACAGTTGATCCAAATTTTTCAATGCCACCCACGACGCGAGATTCACGCGTCCCTGAAAAACCCAACGCCATGGCGCAAGTGGATGAAGTGAATCTACTAGAGCGCTTGGAGGCCGCCGATGTTTTGACCAAGGTCTTGGAACCTTGAAATTCGATGAGATCATAGAATTTATCCAAGGCAACAATCAATCGTGCGTATATATATATATATACATTATATATATATATATTATATTATATATATATATTATATTATTTATATTATATTATATATATATATTATATTTTATTCATATATTTTACGTTATATCTTTTATATATATTACATATTAAATATTATATATATAATATTATATATAATATAATATTATATATATATACATATAACCTTCCACATCCTGCAAAAAATCGCGAACTTCGGAGTTGACTATGCTTTGGGGGCAAACGACTGATAATGGACGCAAACGCTGAAGTTTACTGACTTTACTGGAAATGAGCAATCTGGAGACACAGAAGGCCTAAAAAACGTCAAGGATTACCCGCAAAAATCCCGCAAAAAATCCGCAAAAATCCCGCACAAATCGGCAAAAACTGTCAACATCACGCAAATTTGGAAAAGTCGTAGATTTGATTTTCCAGACTTTCATGGGTAGGCCGCGAAAGGCTGAAATCGATGAAATCTCCTAAAAAACCTAATTCACTGAACATGTTCACGATTTGGAAGGTGCAGGTAATTGTATATATATATAGATATGTTTATATTGATATAGATACAAAAAGGATTACTTTGTTATATGTATATCTTGATATGAATATAATATATAGCATCAACTCAACACTAAGATGACATATGTGGGTGTCCATCTACATCAGTGTCATTTTGGGTGGTTGCAAACCTTGAGTGGGGTCGATTGGTCTATCAATTCTTGGGATTTCTCGCTGTACATGAGCCCACTGAGTTTGATTCAGTCAATTTATCGATGTATGGGATCCCCTAAGTCAACATGGGTTTGAATACTAAGTCATGGTCATCCATGACGACTGGATGATTTGGGGGTAGCCCTATATTTCGGAAACCTCCATATGATTATTACTCTTAGTATTCATTATTCATTCATTGATGAATCCCACTTTTCCCCGTGAAATCATGTTGATTAGCTCCCAAAGATTTATTATTGATATAGTGATTTCCCGATTTTCTCCCCTCTAAAATCAGAGATTTGAAATCATGGAACACTTCGTGTTTGATCTCCAATTCCATGGGTTCCCAGGTCTTCCCAGCTCACGACGCTTCCAGGCCCTCTTGGTGGAGGATCCCAAGGTGGGCTACCGGAAGCTGCATGAGAAGCTGAAGACGGAGGAAGACTTTAAGGAGCTGAGCCTGAAAAAGGCGGACGAAAAAATTCGGAAGATTTCCACTGGAACAATTGGAAACGCATGGGGAGGAAAAACATGGCTGACTTCACTCACTTTACATCATTTTACAATATTTTCGTGATATGATGAGACATACATATATATATATTATGGATACATATAAATGTTAAAGGTAATGAGATAATTATGTATATAATATTATTTACATAATGGTGATTAATGGTGATATTGTGGCGATTCGAACATTCCGGAAAAAAAAAACATGGAGTCAGGGTTTGCACAAAACTTGTTCTAGCTACATGATCGACAAAAGGGTGGTAAAAAAGAAAAAAAAACAAAAACAAAAGTTGTATGGAATTCTTCACTTGTGCTTAGTAGGGAATGAGGGAATGATCCATAATAACTATCAATTTATCCAAGTTACAAGCTTTGTACCTGTCTGTGTTGAGAGCAACCTTTTTTTTTGATGACTTCACTGTGGACATTTGACACGGGTTTTAGCTTAGTTGGTTTCCTGTTGGATGATGCACATGTTTTGACATGTGAAAACCTGTGGTGATGAATGGTTGAAACTCTTTGAAGTGCTGATCATATAAAAAAAAAAACACATTCACTACATTTTTTACATTCATGAACACAACAGCCATGAAACAGGCATTGTTTATGCTACTGAACCTTTTTGCGGTGCCTAAAACATTGACCCATGGTGAGTTCACCGAAGCATGGATCCGAAGAGTCCCCGAATTGGATGGTTGGACTGGGACCACAGTAGCGTAACAATAGGCTGGTGTTTAGTATGAATGGATGGGATGGATTAATTCATCCATAAAATCTAGATCTATGTCATCCATTAATGATAATCATTATGATCATCAAAAGCCATTTAATGATTAATTTATAACCATTTATAACCATTTATAACCATTTATATTCCGAGCCACCGAAGCTGTTCCAAGCTGCCACGGATCAAGCAACGGATCAAACTGTTTTTCTCCTGCAGGTGCAGGCTGCTCTGCAAAAGTTGAGGTGCGTCCAGCGGAACGTTTCGTCGTTCCGCGTGGTTGCCTTGGTGTGGAAGATCTGGGATGAACAATTGGAATACCCTATTGAAAATTGCCATTTATAGTTGATTTACCAATTAAACATGGTGATTTACCCATTAAAAATTGTAATTTTTTGATTTTCGATAGCTATAATCTGGTCAACAAACATAGCTATTGAACATGGTCATAGAAATAGTTGATTTTCCCAGCTATAAAATTGTGATTTTCCAGTTCGTATCTAAACGTTTACCAGAGGTTATATAGTTATATAAGAGAAAATTAGTAGAATATGGGGATAATGAAAATATTGGGATTATTGGAATTCTTGAAGATCCAAAAACACACTATTCATGACAACTAGAATCTTAGAATATTGATAACAACTGAACTGTTTAGGAAATCAAGAAATCAGATTACATATTAGTAATGATTAATAAAGTTCCTGTGGATCCAGCCATAGCTTCGTCACGATGGCTGGGTGATTTGTTTGTAGTACAGGATTTTTGGTGATCCCTAGGTGATCCTAGGGGCTTGATTTTTTTCGATGTCACTGATGTGTTTTGTTGAATCTTCTTACCCTCTGGTAATTTGACATAGCTATTGAACATGGCCATTTATAGTGAGTTTTCCCAATAAAAATGACCATTTTCAATAGCTATGTTAAATTACCAGAGGGTATACCCTGAGTGCAGCCAGCAGGACCAATTTGTTGGGGAAACCGGATCCTCAGGAGTTCAGACTTCGCATCCAGAGGGCTTTTGCTCTACAGTGCCGTGGCGTGCAGTTCTTTTGTTTTGACGGCGACGGCAGAGGTTGAAGCGACATCAAAACAACTCGGAAGATAGCTTGGAATTGGTTGACTTGGTGGCTTGTTCAGAGTATTGTGGTAAACCCAATGCCACAAACCATCCCCAATGACACCAGAAATTGGTGGGATTGAAACCTTCCAAACTTGCCGGTTGATTGCATTGGGCTTCCCACATTAGTCACTAGTCCTGTTGAAAAGATGATGAGATTAGCTCTTTGATTGGTTTTTGAGCTTGGCATAGATTGGCATCGCTTGGCATACGGTGAGTCCATGCTTGCAGAGAGAGCGACCTGGTCTGACAATCTTACAATTGCTTTACTATAAATTACAATCTATTGTATATATATAATTATATATATATAATTATATATATATAATTATATATATATAATTATATATATAATGTATTATAATGTAATATATACATACATCTCGGCAGTATTTGGGGAACTACCATTAATGCCATAATCATGGCAACTCCCAAACAAACATAAAAGAAAAACAATGGCACCAACTAAACCGGCGAACATGGCAGTTGAAGGAACATGAATGAGCCGCAGATGAGATACTTCAATGTCACCAGCTAGGAACCCTGTACTGCAATCAAGATTTGGAAGGTCTTACATACCAATTTTATACTATACTTTGGAGAGTTTGAGTTAGAACCAACCATCCCATATGCTAAAAAAGATCTTTGACCTGTACCAAAAGGTCGGCAGTTTAGTCTACATCAAGCCTCAAGCACCTTTTTCGGGGCTTGGGTTTTGGGTTCAAGGCCGATAAGTTGTCTAGATAGCAGTCATGGGAGATATTAGATATATATATATATATAATTATAAAAACATATATATATATATACATATATATATAAGATAATATCTTATATATAATATCATATATATATATATATATGCTGCGTACATATATATATATATATACATACTATATATAGTACAGACCTGCATTTGGGTGATGTTTGAGTGTGAATCGACCATACATTGATGATCTGGGTTTGATTAGTAAGTGAGAGAAACCTGCTTTGTTGCTGGTGGTTAGAACGCCACATCAACTGTCTGGTCTTCACCACCAGGAAGTGATGATCTATGTTCAGCGGTGATCAGCGATTCATACTGATCATGCTTCTGTTGATTGTACCCTCTGGTAAATTAACATAGACCCTGGCAGATAGGGGTTGGAAGACTAGTTTCCATTAAACATGGGTGATTTCCAGGGTCGAAATGTTAATTTACTGGAGGGTAAATTATAACCATTGCAATCCTGGTAATCAACATGATGACGAGGGGATGACTATGATGATTTGCAAAACAGGATTTTCATGGATTTTCTGACTTATCTGCCATTGATTCACCCAATTGTTTGATCATTATCACCCATTGTTATCCACTAATATCCATTGGTTGCTAGTAAGTTTTAGCTACAGTCACACTTATAGTCATGGCTATACTTATAGCTATCATAACAGGACTACAATATTGCATTTAGTACTATTATAACAGTACTATAACAGTACTGACTGAGTCTACAATTATAGTTATAGTACCAGAACAGTTAACACATATTACTATTACATACTATTACATACTATTACATACTATTACTATATATATATATATCTATATATATATATTTCTATATATATCTATATCTATATATAACATTAGCCAACTATAACTATAGCTATTTTAAATGCTATAAAACATATACGTTTTCCATGGAATTGTCCAGAGACCCCTGAGGTGCTTCGGACGACGGCACCCTGCGCGAATGGTCCCACAGCGGCGAGCTGCTGCGGAGCTTCGCGGGGGTCGAAGGGGTGCAGTGCGTGCAGGACGCGCCCGGGCGGAATCCTCGTTCTCGGTCGTACAGCCATTAGCCTCTGGATCCTATGAACATAGACCCCCAAATTGCCAAAAATTGCCATTCTTAGCAGAAATCTTCCAAGCTGGGGTACCAGGTGCCAAAAAAGCAAAGTTGCTGCAGCCATAACTCCAATGACTGCTGGTTTTTATAGAGGGGCACCACCTTGGAGGGCATTAATTAACGACGATGGGGATCGGGATGAAATGGGGGGCTTTGATCCTGAAATATGGGAAGATATGTGGATTCAGCAACACGAAGTTGGCTTGAAACCCATGATGTCACAGAATGGATATACACGGAGATTTCTCATTTACTACTGTAAGGATCTTTGTGAAGAAAATCATATGATACACCCAAGCATAAACATGCAATTTCGGGTTTATACCACCCATTTCTGGTGGAAACAATGGTGATCATTTAATAGTGGGTTTGGTATTGCCCTTCCCCTCTTGCAAGAGACTGACGGTGGGTTCAAAGTTTGTGACAAACCGTACAGCCTGAAAAAATTAACTAGATAAAATTGTATAAAATCACTATTTCTGGTGAATCATCTATATTTAAGATGAATTAACTCTATTATTGGGATTATTAGGCAACATTTTCTATAGCAAACCATCACCAAAATTCACCTTGAGCCATGTCTCCAGGTCACTGATGACTACATCATTGGCGGAGATAGCTCAGGTGGGTTGAGATAGCTTGGTCTCGGGAACAGTCTCCACAGTCTCGGTACTAAGATTTATCCCAGGACCTACATGTAGAATGTTTAGATCAATATTCGCTCAGAATGTCTGTAGTAATCGATCTGAAAAACGATGTTTGGAAACAATCCTAGGTTGGTGCCCTAGCCCCGGTGCAGGGCTGATGAGAATTTGGTCTCGGCCTTCTGGGGAAATCTACAAAGACGTGAAGGTACCCGGTGAGAGCAGAGTTACAGGACATCAAGTACGATCTTTCAATGTGTTTCAGCTTTGGCCGAGGTGTTTGGGCACCAGAAACAATGCAGAAAACTGGGTTTGGCTAACCCAAATTCCAGCCAGATGAATCATAATGTTCATAAGGTCATATTATATAAAGTGGCTAATTATAGTTTTTGTTCATAAATATCTTATGCGGGATGATGATTACCAATCAGGGAGAAAAAACTCACTCAGCTGGGAGAGGAAAGGTAAGGCTTGGCTGGATTTCTCCAGCATTACATGGAAGTTCAGAAAGGTGGTTTTGATTTGGTTTCTCTGAACATATCAAGAATATACAAGAATCTAATGTGTGAATATAATAATATATATAATGTTATATTATTATCTTTGAAATCCACTGAACATGCCATTCCCATTTTTGGGTAGAACCCATTTTGCGACCGGAAGCACAGATTCTGTGGGTTCAACGATGGCTTTGTCCTTGGACCAGCAACTAACCACTTCAATGGAGAACATCATAGTAAACCATTGGAATTTGGGTAGCCTATTAGACTAAACCGACCTATATATATATGTATACTAATATGGCAAGCCCAATCATAAACCATCCCAAAAAACACCATCAATGGCTTCTATAAACCAAGATGGTAGTTGTTTGTGGTATTGGGATGTATTGGGTTTACCTCATTAAAGCCATATCTTTATCCCGTGCTATTTCAGATCATGATCACGTCGATCGAAGTCCTGACAGGTGGCAACAAGATATGTTAAGAGCATCTTGGTCTCTGGCGAGCACGTCTTCACTGGCGATTATTGCAGCTTGGCCATCTAGAACAAATGAAAGACTTTGGATTAACAGGTACCCCAGGGTAAATTAACGTTCTGTAAAACCCACTATTTCTAGATCGTTTTCCTAAGGAAACCATATGGGTTTTCCACATCCACGTTAGTTTAGTACCCCAAGATTGGATTGTTTGCTAGAAGAAATGACGGGGTCTGCTTGAATGCTTGGGCTTATTTGCTCTCAACAGCTTGGATATGACACTGCAACTGGATGATTGTTGGCTTCAGAAAAAAAATCGGAGCGGACAATTTAAGAGCTCTAAGCAGTTGCCTGATACCCACTTTGAATCTACAAACTTTACACTTAAATTCTCATAGTTATGAGATGTTATGAGTGCTATTTTAGCATTTAAAGATATTTAAAGTGACCAATGATGTGACTAATGACTGATGTGACATGTGTGCCGTCAGCTGGATCATGCTGGATCCACCTAACAGGAACATCCGATGCCATCCGATGGTCATTGGAGGGTTTCAATTTTGGCCCGTTTCTGGAAATCATTGGTAGTCAACCCAGATGCTCCATGTATGGAATATTTACCTACATTTACCCAAAAAATGACCCAAATGTAGGTAAATATTCCATACATGGAGCACCTGTGCAAGCTATGGAAATTTCCCCAATAATGTTGACATGCTATGAATAACCCCAAACATTAAGAGCATCGAAATAAAGTTTAGGCCAAACATTGGCCGGGGGTCCCTGGAAAATTTTCCAGACCTATGTGGCGCCGAACAAATTGCCTAATTGAAAACGCATACATAAGTGAACTTTCTTTCCATTTTAGTATTCCCAAATGAATTGCCTAATTGAAAACGCATACATAAGTGGACTTTCTTTCCATGTTAATATTCCCAAATGAATTGTGGAAAAAAAAACGGAAAAAAAGTTAGAAAAAAACACGGAAAAAAAACGGAAAAACAAGGGAGAAAAAAAACACATATCAAAAATCGGGTGGGCGTACTTAATTACGGGGGGGAGGTATTAACGGCATGTGGACATTGGTTGATCTTCCCGACCATAAATCTTCGGGGGATTTTCCATGCTGTGAAGTAGCCAGAGGGTAAGCATCCTCTACATATCCCATTCAACATTTATTTATCCCATTCATATCCCACTAAATCACTATCAATCACTATAATATCCCATAGAATCACTAATTACAACATCCCGTTGAATCCCAGTAAATAAACAGATGCTAACCAGCATCCTGGCAGCCTGGCAGGCAACTTGGTGCAGCAGTGGCTGTTGGCCACGGGTGAGCTTCAGGTGACGTTGGGATCTGTTGGATCTGAAAAGTTACGATGTCGAATATATAATTATATATGTATAGTGATAAATAACATATGAAATATAATGAGTATTAATAAGTATGATATGATGTAATGTAATATAATATAAAGTAATAATATTATACAATTTGTTTAAATATAATATAATATAATATTGTATATATATACATATATATATCAATATATATTAAGATATTCGATCATGTAAGATGTAGGTCAGAAATTGTATATATTCGCATCTTCGAACCATATAAGATTTTTATAGCAAATATCTATAATTATAAATTTAAATGGTACATCGTTGGATCTATCTATCTATCTATCTATCTATCTTTGTCTGTCTGTCTGTCTGTCTATCTATCTATCTACCTATCTATCTATCTATCTATCTATCTAATCTAATCTAATCTAATCTAATCTAATCTAATCTAATCTAATCTATCTAATCTAATCTAATCTAATCTAATCTAACCTAATCTAATCTAATCTAATCTAATCTAATCTATCTATCTATCTATCAATCTATCTATCAATCTATCAATCTATCAATCTATCAATCTATCAATCAATCAATCTATCAATCTATCTATCTATCTATCTATCTATATGCATCTTCGAACAAATGCAAGATATTCATCATAGTTCTGAGCTTTGCATAACTTTGCTCAGCATGGTTTGCTGTTGGCATAATGATTTTCACTGAACTTGTGCCCAGCTGGTCTCTGAAGAACCCCCAGCTATTCAGATGGAAGAGTTGCGAAGGTGTTTGTGGTCGTGGTTGTGCCTTCTCGGAACGCTGTCCTTCGAATTACTGTATACATGGATCAATAGGTATAAACTAAATTAACATTCTTGAATGGATGAGCCGGATGAGCATCAGGTTCCCATCCCCATCCTATTTCTGTCCTGGGTTTCTCAGCTCCAGCCATTAAAATAAACGTGATCGGAGGCAATCAACCTTCAGTCAGTCCCAACTGAGGTTATCCGATATCCCATATCCACGGTTCTTGTTATCCCTGGCCAGAGATTTCTGTTGGTCTATTTTATCTGACTTTACTACGGTATATGATAAACAATCATAAATAGTCTATATGTGGTTTCAATTGTGCCATTTGATAAACATTGATTCTTTATATCAGCAGTTGAGATGTATCATTCTACAACTGAGACATAACATCCATGTAAACACCTCAGAAGTACTAGACGGTGCCCCCGAGTGAGATCGTTGGTTCATGTTCACCCCATCAACTATATACACAAAGTGTATCATGTATCTGCCACAAATCCGATATTTATAGTTTATACTGAACTAAACCAACTTAGCTAAGCAACTTAGCTCTCCGCTGAAGTCAGGCTCATTGATCGATTCATCACATTTTTCACCATAAAGATTGCTGATTTTCCAGCTCCGACACCTCCGATCTCGTCCAGGCGCAATACAAGGGACACAAAGCTGGGGTGATCTCTATGGCCATGGCAGGCACCTTGCAGCGCTTCTCCAGTCGCTCGCCCCATAGGAATTTCTACGCCTATGGAAAATCACCTGAGGTAATACGGTAATTCCGAGCCATGAGCCATCAGCTTTGCAGCGGTCAGCTAAGTTGTTTTGCTGAGGTTTAGTTCAGTAGGTTATCGTAATTTATCGTAACTAGGATTTATGGTAGATATAGTTCGAAGTAGTCAATGGGATGAACATGAACCAACAGGAATTTGACTGCGGGGCACCACATTGTGCCAAAATTGACCGATGGAATCGGGGCGAAATTGTTGCCCTGTTGCCCTGATTCCCCCGTGGTGGAAAAATGGGGTCTTAGAAGCAGCCCTGTTGCCCAGATTCACTATGCCATAAACTTGAGAACTACCCTGCGGTAAATCAACATAGCTATGGAAAACCCATGGTTTCCAAAGACAAAAGGATCTACAATCTACAAGTGGTTTGTTTTTCAGATCTATGCTAATTTACATGAGGGAAGTCATCCAAAAACAGAGATGAGTCGAGGTCCAACAGTCGTGGCAATGCAAGGTCCAACATGATGAACCACGCTTTCTTTCCCCCAGTTGCTAGTTGCTTTGCAACTCCATTTATATAACGGAGATACATCTATCCACCACAAATTTTCAATCATCAGTGGTAAGCTCACAATAGATCCACAATCAAAATCAATGATGAATCCACAATACATCCTCTAGATTCCTGTAATAGTATCTATGCTTAATAGATCCTATAGATTACCACTAGTACCGCGCAAGGCGGTGGCGGAAGTTTCAAAAATAGGAAACCTATAGGAGAGCTTGGTTGTTGTGAACAACGGATGGCAGAGCGAATCCACTGATGGACTGAAAGGTGGCTGGAGTTGTGTTTTTTCGAGTGGTTACAATGGTTGCACTGGTCACCTGGCCGGTCACCTCACCCACAACTGCTGGATGTAGTGTGCTGTAGTGAAGCTGTAGTTGTAGTTGTAGTGTAGTGGGGTTGTAGTTGTGGTGTAGTGTAATTAGTGTACTGTAGTTGCAGTTGCATTTGTGGTGGTGTAATGAGTGTAGTGTAATGGAATGTAGGGTAGGGTAGTGTAGTGTAGTCTAGTGTAGTGTAGTGTAAAGTAGTGTAGTTGTAGTTGCAGCTGTAGTTGTAGTTAGTGTGGTGTGGTGTGGTGTAGTGTAGTGTAGTGTTATGTAGTATAGTTGTAGTTGTAGTTGCAGTTGCAGTTGTAGTTGCCGTTGTAGTTGTAGTGTAGTGTAATGTAGTTAGTGTAGTGTCATGTAACTGGTGTAGTGTAGTCTAATGTAGGGTAGTTGTAGTTGTAGTGGTAGTTGTAGTTATTGTAGTTGTAGTGTAGTGTAATGTAATTGAGTGTAGTGTAGCGTAGTGAAGTGGAGTGTAGCGTAGTGTAGTGGAGAGTAGTGTAGTAGTGTAGTGGAGTGTAGTTGTAGTCGTAGTGTAGTGTAGTGGAGGGTGTGTAGTGGTGGTTGTAGTTGAAACTGCTAGAAAACTCCACGTTTTGTTCACTTTTGACAAGGTGCACAATCCCTTGCGCCCGCCACACGAAACGACATCATACGACATCTGAACGTCCAAAAGTGGTCCGAACATGTGGTTATGTCAACTTCCAAAAGTGGTCCGAGAATGGTGTGTTTTGTACATTTTGACTTCGAAATGTGCTTCGCACCACAACAGCGTGCACTTTTTTGACATCTCAACTTCCAAAAGTGGTCCGAGATTGGTGTGTTTTGTACATTTTGACTTCGAAATGTGCTTCGCACCACAACGTCGTGCACTTTTTCGACATCTCAACTTAGCGTGAGGTGTTTTTTAGCTTTTTCACTTGCAAATGTTCTTTGCGCAGCAACCCTTGCAACTTTTTATCTCTCATCTGGCCAGATGGCTCCGCACCCGCCGTGAGCCTACTTTTCGACCCTCCGGAACCACAAATCATTGGAAAAACACAGTGAATCGCGACTTCCTACCTTTTCGCGTCTCACTCTTTCTCTGCTCTGATCTTCTCTCTTCTGCTGTTCTCTTCTCTGACTCTTCCCACCTCTCCTTTTCCACTTCTCCATGTTGTCGGAAGGTTGACTTCTAAACTTCCTTCGACTAATATTTATTTGTAGTGTCCCAGTCATAGTATCAACAGATCTTATAATAGATTAATCCCAGTTAGAGTTAGACACCAGTTGAATTTACCTCGCTTGGAGGCAACGTGCTGGTGGCCGGCGGAGGTGATGGACAGGTGCTCCTTTTCGACCAGTCCAAGGCGGTCAGTCTTTTGGGACGGGACGAATATATGGTGTGTGTGTGTGTGTGCATATATCTATAATATATATGATATATGTCATATATATATAAATATGTTTAACCCCCCAAAAGATAGAAACGTGATTTATCACCATTTTAATGGGATGTTTTTCTTTGTTTTTTTTCTGGATTAGTATATATATACACTGTATTTATATGATCAAGACAACTGTTTGATTTTTGCTACGTTAAATTGCGTTGAGTATATCATTGTCATTACCATGGTCGTCATCTTAATCATGTTGATATGTTGTTGTACATTGGCGCAGATTCGCATATCTCTGTATATGTATGTATATATATATATATACATATATATACAGAATATATACACATTATATACAAACATGTCTATACCAGTCCTTTTATTTTTTTAGTGGTTGATACCAACTGATACTTATGGAACCGCTGTCCACAACAATGTCGAACAACGAAAATCTAAGAAATCATTTGAAAAAATCTGTCAGCATGTTGTTTGCTGTATAGAAATTAGTGAAACGAATTTGAGTCGCAACAGACTCTGATCTAGTCCAATTTAGCAACCACAACAGATCAACTCTGATCTCTTCCAACTTACTAACCCCGATCAACTTATGGTGGATTTGTTTAATTCCATTCCCTAATTGATTCGACACTCACCCCAACAAACCTTTGAAGTCTAGGATAATCCCTGATGTTCCACCTTGGGTAATCATATTTCCCCAAATGAGATGTGATCAACTATGGATGTTTTTTCAGCCCCTGGCCCAAAAATCCTCCAAATTTCGTGGATTTCCCAGCCAGGAAGCGGAGGTCGTTGACGGTGTCCGCGTTGTGGAGGCCGTACCTCGGCCACGGCCTGGAGGAAGATCACCCCCCAAGACGATACTGTACTTGCGAAGGTACTTGCATCCATGTGGAATTAATAATTTTAGTTAAGTTAGTTGTTTTTTGTGGTGTTTTTTTGTTTTCCATCATTGTTGTTCCTATATTTAGTTTAACTATAGATATTTACCACTGAATGGAGGGATTCCTAAGTAACAAGAAAGAGGTACCCAGCAATGATAGGGAAGATCACCCGAAAGAGGGGCATGACAAAAATAAAATTTTAGTTTCCCAACGGAAATTGATGTTTTGGGTCCATCTTTTAGAGTTCTGTGTTCGATTTGCAGTGTCCCGTCTCTGATGTTCAATGCAGGTGTAAGAGCAACTGATTTGAATTTGTCAAACTGATGAACTGCCTAACAGTGCCACATTCGTTTCGCAGACTCTGTCGGCCAGTGTCATTAAGGTTGAGAGCATCTACAAGGCGGGGCTGGCGGTAGTTTGGCTCAATATTTCCACCAATCATGTGAGTGTTTCCTAAGTCATGTGGGTACCCCAAATCATCCATTTATAAATGGATTTTCCATAATTATAAATTATAAACCATCCATTTTGGAAAAGCGTATTGAAAAAGCGTATTGAAAAAGCCACACGTGCTCTTAAAAGGATCCAGAAAATTAAAATACCTGTGCAATTTAAAAGAAAAATGATCCATTCTTGCGGATTTGGAACTATGGCCTATGGGTCTGAATTACAGCATATCGCATGTGCAGAATGGAAAACAATCCGTACAGCAACATTGGCCGCAATGCATAGGAAACAGGCAAGTGCGAGCCCGTGGATTGGAACCATGTTCAACCCATGCCCAGTTGACCCACAGTTAAAGGGGGTAATTCGTGCCTGCTTGTTTTGGAGAAGGTTCTTCCGAAATTTCCCTTCCTTAAAAGCGGGGTTTCTTGATCGAATTGTTAATTCACTAGCAGGACCAGGCCCGGCAGTTAGTCTGGGTAAGACCTTCAGAGCTATTGGTTGTGCACCTTTGCCAGATGGATTCCTCCAGCATACTCTTGGATTCCAGTTTAATTGGGTTGCGTGTTCAGTGACATTCTTGAAGTATTGGCTGCGCGTCTTATGGACTACACATGCTGCCCACAAAGCCCAATCACGGAAAGATTTTGATATAAGTTCTGTTGATGAATACTTGATGATGAAAGTCTTGAATAAGTTTCCATCCGACCAAAAACAACTGTTGGTGACGCACTTTACAGGGGCTGCTTGCACCGGCAACATGTATGCAAAGTTCAATCCCAATGTTCACTCCGAATGTTCTCTTTGTGGTGTAATTGATGATCGTGAACATCGCTTTTTTAATTGTAAAAAGTATGAAATCCAAAGATTCAATGCCAAACCTCTTTTCAAATGGTTAGCAAAACAATCAGCTGCAACGAAACTTCTTGGCTTGGTTCCCTTGGATTTGACTTTTCAAACGTGTTGTGGGAAAATCAGTTAGAATGGCCGGAGAATGTGATTCCCCTGGTCGATTTGGAGATTGCGCATGTGTTTGTTGATGGCTCGGCGTTCCATCAAGATTCGAAAATTTGTTGCATCTCAGCCGGTGCTGCAGTGAAGTGCCAGCCTTTTCAAACTGATCACACAAAGATTTTTGCTTCCCCGGTTCCAGGTGTTGATCATAGTGCATATCGCGGTGAAGTCTTTGCAATATGGGGCGCTTTGTTGATTTGCTATCGGGTTCACCTTTGCATTGATTGTGAAGCTGCCCTAGCGATGTTAAAGTATCTTTGTGATTGTCATTCCTGTAATATCACACCCAAGATTCAGGATCATCATGATTTGTGGGAAAGGGCTTGGGTTCAAATTCGTAGCCGTCCCCCATGTAAAATTGATGCCACTAAGACTAAAGCCCATACTGATGTTGAGAGTATTGACGACCCTTTTTTGAAATGGCAAGCAATGGCAAATAATACCGTAGACGCTTACGCGAAGCAAGCCCTCCTTGATTGGAATCCCACGTTTGCAAAAGCTTCTAGCCATTATGCCATATCGGCAGAAAAACAAGAATTCCTGATTGAATATTGTAATTATGTTAAGCACATGGCATCCAAGGTCACGGATTACCCGATTAAGATTCAACCTGATGCCATCATCGATCTTACAACACGTATCCCCGTTGGTCCGTTCTTTGTCCATAATGTGCCTCAGGCCTGCCCTGAAAATTGGCCTTTTGGTGATTTTTTTTGGAATAGGTTGAGCAGCTGGGCACAGTTGTTGCAATGGTCCAATGTGGAATCCAGGCCAACAGCCATGTTGGAACTATATATAGACTTTGCATTATATACAAAAACCATAGTACCCCTTCCAGTCAAACCTAAGGGAAAAAAATCAGCCAAATGCCAATATTATCTTGTTGATCAGAACTTGGAATATGCTGAAACCGAGTTTAAACTTTCACAGCAAAGTTTTACTTGGAACCGTATTGTTAACTGGACCCGTCACCACCAGTGTCCTATCTTCCCTGGTGAATGGGTCTCGCAATCAGGCGCCCTGAAGGATCTTGGAAATAGTTTTTGGGTCCCTGCTGTTAAACTGACTGCATCTTTAACCACCGGTGCCCTGCCGTATCAAAAACTACATTCTATTTTTGTCACCCCAATGGGGAAAAAGAGGAAAATGTGTATGCCATTCCGTCCTTAGTGGACACACAGATCGGCACCTGTGTATCCACCCTGGGAGGATGCATTCATTTGCATTCGATCCGGCATCTGTCATTTTGCATCCGTGCATTCGACTGTCCCATGGTGTGTCTCGTCGTCACCCCTGAATTTGTTGTTTTTTGTTGGTTTTGTTTGTGTTTTTTTAATTAATGATCACAATCATTGGTGGGGACTTCACGCGTAGCTGGTTGTCTCTACCGCTGTCACACGGCATTAAAGTCAAAGGCGGAAAAAATCCATTTTGGGGTACCCCCATTTTTATGGAAACCCTCATGTGAGGAAAGGCCCAATAGTTTCACCAATGCGGGGGGGGGAGTTCAGCGCAATCCAGGTGATCCAAGGTGCCCTACAGTCGTCCCACATCCGTTGTGCCATAGGGAAGTTGATGCCAGATGTTATACATCGTGCTTTATTGAAGGCTTGAGGTCTATGACCCAGATCACATTGGCACGATGGTCTTGACTAGGAAGCGTGTCCCATTCCTCACAGTACCTCACTCCTTAGTTCAAAGGAAGTTTATTAGGAGAGAAACCTTTGCAATGCGGGCATTCAATAGAATAGAGTAGAGAAAGGTATATCAGAGTACAGAAGAGCAGAGCAACTCAGAGTAGAAGAGAGTAGAGGTGGGTAGAGAAGAGTAGAGTAAAGAAGAGTAGATTACAGTAGAGTAGAGAAACTAGAGCAGAGGGGAGGAGATTGGATGAGTAGAGTGCCGCACTAGGTCTCGCTTTGTCTCCCAGAGGACTCGTTTTAGATCACGTTTTTTCCCCCACATCGTGTCACAGCCACAAGCCACATTTGACAATTTCTATCAAACAAGCGGTATGCCCTCTACTGGTAATAATATTTGAGGCTTCCATTTCCTGCAGATTTAGCCTGTACGCATACTATGTTTCAGCCTGAATTTACACTATAAATATAAGGCCGCTTGGCTAGTGTATGTACCCCCTAGAAAGATAGCCCAAGAACTTCAAGGATTTGTTTGTTTAACCTGTTGTGCCAATGGCCGGTTCATTAATAAACACTGATTTTCAGAACGACATATATTTGACATAATGCAAAGGCACGACGCGATTCTAGATTTGTTTTTTCGTATTGTGCCTTGTGTTGGGGTGACTTCATGTCAAAAGGGGTGCGAAAGGTCTAGCGCTTGTACATTTGTCTGCCGTAACCCTGAAAGGATTAGAAGAGTTGGAGACCTGGGAGTTATATGGAATTATGGGGTCAGTATCATCTTCTTGACTTCCTGCAAAACTGTTCTACCTTTTTGATTCTTTTTGTAGATCCACACCTTTTGCTTTTTTGGTAATCTGTGGTTGTCCACGATTTCGAAATGTTTGCCCAGTGGCAAGTGGCTGTAGAAAATTACCACATTGTCATCAAACACTGCATTACAGACTCCATCGTTTGCAGATGATCTACCTCTTGACATGGTTTGTTTCTTTCAGCTTACCAGAGCGTCTGGGTCTATCTCCCAGTATTCCCATTCGTCTAATAAATTCCAATAATACCCTTCCCTAAATCATCATGTTGGTTGAAGAATCCCGCAACTTTCTTTGGTTCAAACCTCCATGTTGGTTGTTTCAACCTCTTCTATACTCGTAGTATCTATATATATATATATGTATGTATGTATATATATATATATTGACATACATTGGATGCGTTAGCTTAGTCTGGTTATTGAAGAGTGTCTGTTAAATCCAGGAACCAATTGCTAAAATTCAGGAACCATTTGCAAAACCCCAACCCCAAAAAAGCAAGATTTACGTAATTATTAGACCCACAGTGGTGACATCTATGATGTTCCCTCACATTTCATGCAAAACATCAAGCACCTCCATGCAATTCCCAAATCCTCCACCAACGTCGAAGGCCAACGGCTTTGTTTGCAGCTTGGAGATTTGCGAGGATAGACTGCTGGTGCCGGACCGCGATGAGCACAAGGCCGGGCGGGCCGGGTAAAGCAGAGCTATCTTATTCAACTGAAATCATCATGAAATCAAACTGGATAAACCCTGGTTAGGTCGTTCACTCGTATTTTTGTTCAACATAATTCATAATTACATATATATATATAAACAATGTATATATTATGTATATATATATATATGTGTATATGTGATACCTATGCAGCAATAACGCATGGAATTGTTGCAGGGTATCTGAGACACGCCATGTTGTGGAGGCCTTGGGTTCTATCACAGGGCCATAAGCAGATTTTGTAATTACCGGCCGTAGAAAAATCCAGTAATAAACGGATACAATCGCAGAGTGTTCCATTATGTAGTACTAGTAGATATTATAGAGGGCATTTTCTTCTGATCCACTCGGAACTATAATAAATCCCATTAGATCCCATAAAATCCCCCATCATAAGAACCATTATGGAAATCGATACCAAGCAGTCAAGGGCCGGGCCCCCTTTTTTCCAGGCGAATATCCAGCATCAACATTCAGAAATCTAGTTCTGTTCGTCTGAAAAAATAAACCAACAGAGACCTATTGAAAAATATTCATATACACATATGTCACATATACACACATATACACACACATACAAATCCATACACATCCCCAAATCCCATATATCCACCCAATGTTTGCAAGTCTTGCAGCAGGTGGCCAGTCTCCGCTTGTTTTCTCACACCAACGAATTGGTGCCGGAGAACATCCGTGATGTGAGGACCGCGACGAACCAAGAGGGACATGTTTTGGACATGTTGGATGTCACTGATGTCACTCCAGACATGGTGATTGTTCTTTGGCTTCTACAATTCTACATGAATTTTGGATAATGTTGCTTGGATCGCAGATGTCACAGTGAATTTTCCTTCCATTCGGCAATGACGTCATTCATGAAAACAAAAACATTCGGTTGACACCGCACCATCAACGGCCGCAAATGCAGAATGCTTCATTTGCAGTTGGTCAACATCATGCAGCTTGCTGGGGCTGCTATGCGCCCTTCACCCATCTTCACCCTCCTTCACCCATCTGAACCCATCCTAACCCATCTTACAGTAATCCATCTTAATCCTGCTTGTGGTGCAGGATCTACAAGTGTTCAATGCCCGTTTGGCAAGCAACGAGCGCTGGGAAAGACTTCGTCCTAGCCCTTTGCCGGGACTTCACGGCCTCTTGCTTCAAGTCTTTAACCTGAAACTGGATCCTACAAGTGCCATAAGTACCGCAATGCTGCGAGCTATGATTTCCAAAAGATTCGGAGGGATGACTTAGGATGACTTGAAGTGATAACCAATGCTTACAGAATTTCAATTTCTGCCTAGCTTGGAATCATTTAGCTAATCCAACTGACCCTCCTCCAGACCCTCAGGCCCTCGCAATAAAATGAGTACAGTATTATTATACACCATTATCAAATCTTGATTTGCCACACACATGGTTTTATAGCTACAAACAACACGTTTCAGGTTTTTTCTTGGCATCTTCCCCCTGTAAATATTAAAAAACCATGTGCAAAACCCACCATGACTGTAGATCGTCTTCCAAACGGGAGACCATTCACATTCCATAAAAAGGCCCCATTATATCCTCATTCTATGTTAGTTACTATATGTATATGTATATATATAATATATATTATATATATATATATATTATAGGCCATATTCAAATTACATAAATTTCATCAGGGGTTTTCCAGATCCTGATCCAGGGGAGCAGGGAATTTAATTGGGTGTCGCCATCCTCAACGGACTGAGGTGAAGAAATTTGCGTCCGGATCCAGGCAACTCCTGATGACCATCAAAGTGACGCCGCAGCATCAGGACCGGCTTGGGCGGCCCAGGGGCTAAGCGTTGAGAGATGTTGGGCTAAGGTGAGAGAAATGCAGCAATTTTCATGAGGGCTTTCTCTAGGTATCATTGTGTTGTTGGAATTTGCGGATGGTTTTTTCAACCGGCAGAGAAAGGCTTCAGGGAAGCGATTGTGATACTTGTGGAATTCTGAGCCAAAGGCTAGGACCATACTGCCACTCCCACACGTCTCATACCGGAGTTTCCGCAGACGACATCATCGGAGGCTTGGGGAAAGAACACAAAATGGATTCTGATTCTGATGCCTGGAAGTTTGATGATGGATTATGTTGGATGGTTCTTTCTCAAGCACAAGCTCTGGGGTGAATAGAGATGGTATGAAATCCCGACCCATTCGACGGTCGTTTTGTGATGTGTTTGTTTTTAGTATATCATGTCTATTTGCTTCGATTGACCTCAGATGGTGATTTGATGTCATTTGTAGTTCTATGTAGGTGGATATAGTTTGTGATTTTGCAACGGTTTATTGCCATCCTATTGCGTTTTTTTTTTTTAAGTCCATGATAAGCCCCAAGTATCCCCAAGTATATTCCCCTAATTGGCCATTTAAATGGGGACTATAATATATTATGTATGTATGTAAACAGGGGGTTTAAGGGGAATCCAAGCGAGCCGCCAGCCTGGCCACGTTGCCAGGAAGCGAAGAATCCATACGTGTTCAAAGTGCAGGGTGACAGGCCGTCATGCGATGGCATTTTCACATCCTGAGTTGTGGCTATGTAAAAAATGGGTAACATATAAATACATATAACCCCCAAGAGATGCCCATGTTACAATGTTTATGCCATGTTTCTATCATTTTGGTTGCCACATTTTGGATAGGGAACATGAGCTTTGATAGAAACCGGTCATCCTGCAGCGGATTGGGGCCTTGGGGCCCCATGGCCTATCCCGGCTGAGCCATCATGATTTTCCCCATTCAGATTGAGAGTGTTTTATGCGATGTTTGGAGTACCTCCATTTTTGAGGCAAACTCAAGCGATTAGGAGCCATCAAAACATCATTATCCATGGGATAAATCCTGGCCTTATGTTTGGTGGCTACATCACCATGCTTCGCGACATATTTAATGGTCAAACCCACCAGATTTAATGGTCAATGGGGTTGACGCTGTCGTCAGGTGCTACGTGGGTTATCTGAACTCCGGTGACTTGGGTGACGTGCTGTTGGCAGGGAAAGACAAAGAAGTTCAGAAAGCAAGCGCGGCAAATAAGCGTCTACCAAGCACATGATAGTCAGAATCGACATTAATGGTGATTAAATTACAATGGATTAACAACCATGGACAGTTTGATTGAAATTTAATCAGCAAGGAAGGGACATTCACCACACAATTTGACGAATTCACATCGCATTGACTGCTTGGTACTTGTCCTTAGTCCAAAAAGGACATTTTAAATGTCCACTTTCTCCCATCATATCATATAAAGATTAATATCAATATCAACGGAAAATTGTTTATTTCCCATAAACCATAGCTAGGTTAGTTTACCAGAGAGTAAGAGGAACAGCATGTCCAGGAAGCCATGACCCGAAATCACAGGTACTGAAAACATCTGAAAATCAATGAGAAACACTTGAGATCAAATTAAAATAACAGAATAGTCCAGTTTTTCGGAGTCGGTGATTTCAGTCTATCTAGTGGCCTGAATGGCCGAATTCCATGCATATTTGTGTGTTTTACATAGAGGTTTAGATGGAGGCGTCCTAAAACAAAAGGGTACCCCCAAATCAATCTCCATGAAATAAACACTTCACAAACCATCCACCAATTTAGGATAGCCCTATTTCAGGAAACCCTTGAAGAAACTGATGGTCGCCCCTGTCCGAGGTGAGATTGCAGCCTTTTCCTTGCAAGATGGCAAGCGGCAGGAAGCTAAAGGTTTCCTTGGACATAGAGGCATGGAGGGTGGTGAACTGCGGAGATGTGGTGAAGCCCCGTGTTTTTTTCAAGAATCAACATCATATCAGTTTTTTTTGGGATAGATTTCTTAGACGTTTGTGAATCATACTGCAAATCATCTTAAATTCTGGTGGTTTTAAGAATCTAACAGATCTAGGATTGTCCGACCTGGGACAATGATCCGACTCATGACTCATGTTTCAAATTCCCCATTTCAAAATGACTGAAGAACTTCAATAAAGTTCGTCATAACCTAACTTAGCCAACTGTGTTGGAAGGAAAAACTGCCATACCTCCTTTCCGACAGGGCCGAAACTATCAAATTTTCGTGAAGTAGATGTTTACCATAAATTATACCTATAGAATGATTAGAATGATGGCGGGAGGAAGACTGAACATACTGAACTCAGTTCCAGGTTAATAAAAAAAAATCGCTTCCTGCAGAGTCCCCGGTGCGAGGCTCAGTCAATGCCTTTTGCATCAAGGAGAGCTCCTGAAGGCCAGGCTGAGGTTCAATCCTCCGTGAGTCTTGTTTTTTTTTCAAAATGTTTTATATAGCACTCTTTTAAGGTGCTATGTCTTGTTGAAAGATCAGCTGCCAGCTAGAGTTTCTATGGTGGTAGACGAGGTGATATTTGAGGATATTTGAGGAAACATTAGTGGATGGATCACCTCCCAGTGCCTCAGCGGCAGGCGTGCCATTTGAAATCGCGCGCGATTCTCCGAGCGGCGGAGCAGAAAGAAATCTCGCCATTGCACTGTGGAGGGGGAAGCTGAACATATGAAAGGTAGAAATGGTACAACAAGAGTGATTTCTAGGTCCTTCCGGAAGCATTCATTAGCCTCTGGTAAACTAACATAACTATGGAAAGATCCACCCATTTTCAATGGGTAAATCCACTATAACTGGTCATGTTCAAGAGCTATTTTGACATAACCAGAGGGTACGCTGTTTCATCGGAACCAGGCCAACGCTGGTGACACACACAGCGACACACACAGAAGGTAGCAAAAGATCAGGTAAATATAGTAAAGACAAAATTATGAATTTGTTGGTCTATCAAATCACGATAAATCACGTAAATAGCACACCAACACGTTTCAAGCAAAAGAAGAAAAGACCATTCATTGATTAACATCAGGCACATGTTTGCATGTACTCATATATATATAATATATATATAATATATATACATATGTATATAAATATAAATGTATACAATGAAATAAATGAAGCACATACAGTATGTTTTACAAATCTATGCCCAATTTCAGGGGCCTATTATACCAGTACTTCACTGACCTCCTTGATGGACCCAGTGCTCCTGCAGCGTGCTGCGGAGCTTGGAAATGCGGAGGCGGTTCGTTTTTTCGGGGTGACTTTGAAACAAGAAACTTTGGGCCATGGTGGATTCAAAGGAATAACATGTATGAATGGGATTTAATGGGACTTATGGATGTAATGGGATTTTTTAGAGTGATTTAATATGATTTAATGGGACTTCATAGGGATTTCATGGAAGTTGATAGGGAATTTATGGGAGTTTATGGAAGCTAAGTAAACCCAATGCCATAAACAAGTAATGCACTGTCTGGGGATGGTTTATGTGATTTAGGGGCTGGTTTATTTATTTTGGGGTTTACCACATTACCATGTTTGCAGTTCAACATGTGGAAAATATATGAGTATATTTGCTGGTACAGTGGAACATGTTTTTTGGGGGCAGGGTATTTCGGGGTTGCAATGAAAGTAGCCATAGATTTTCGAGGAAACAAGGAGCAATTGGGATTCTCAGGGGTGGCTCACATCGACTTACTGCCTGGGGTATCCTGGGGTGTCTGAGTTGCGAACGACTGCAGCAGAGTTAGGTTAGACTGCTGCATAGGTCATTTTGTAATATATACTATATATATATATATACTGTATATGTTCCAGTAGAAATATGAGGTTTTGCATCCAAAATGCAGTAAATACCATGGAATGATAGATTCTAGGTCACGGAGTAGGGGACCATACCATTGGGGGGGGGCTACGGGACCGGGGACCGGGAACATATAATATATATAATATAATATATATAATATATACTATAACATATATAATATAATATATATAATATAATATGTATGATATGATATATAATATAATATATAATATTTAATATATAATATAAAAATATTGCCTTTCCACGACCACGCAGTGCTGAATCCGTCACTGTCAATATGGCTGAGCCTGCAGTAATAGCAAGTATACCCCAGCAGTTGGGTCGAAGGACGACAATAGTGATATGAGCCCAACAAAATCACCACGCACCACAAATCTCACTCAATGTCTTCGGGTTTTCTCCCATTTTTTGGGACCCAAGTTTTGCACTACACATCCAGCAGGCGCAATACGTGCTGGGTGCCGCATTGCTCACGGGGCAAGGCATAGAAAAGGTTGGGCCGGGCCGGATCCGGGCGAAGGTGGGGATTACCGTTTAAAGCCTCGAAAAGAATCTGAATGTTGGAGGATTGGTACTGAATGTTTTAGATTGTTTTAGGCTACTCTCTGGCTATTTAACATAGCCATGGAAAATGGCCCATTTATAGATGGTCTACCTATTAAAAATGGTGATGTTCCATGGCTATGTTAAATAACCAGAGTGTATATACCAGATTCAGTGGACCAGTCCAAACAATAGAACAACCTCTCTCTTTTTTGAACCAGTTGGGCATTCAACAAAAATTATGGCTAACGCGGTCAGCATAGTTGGCATAGCTGGTGTTGTTTTGGCACTTCGGACTGGAATACCAACACATACAATCACAGTGGTGTTGTTTTCTTCAGTACTACAATAATCACTTTCAGAATTTGATGACGCGATTTTTTTCAAGCCTGCAGGCCCATACCCAAAGGTTTCCTTGTTGATTCGTTTCCTCACCGATGGGAAACACTACGAAGATGCGCGATGAATTCAGCAATGGCAGGATCTGCCGCGTGCCGTGGACCTCTTTCGGTGCGCGGCGGAACAGAACCACGCAGGGGCCATGTGCAATTTGGGCGTGCTCCATGCGCAGGCCGGGAGCCAATGGATTGAGAGCCAAGGTGTTTTCGACTCATACAACTACAGGATGTATGTCGGCTGGGGTCGAGAAAAATATATACCAGTAGGGCCTGTAATTAATCATATCTAATTATTCTATATTCTATAGCTATATCAAATAACTGTGTAACTATTATGTGACTATACATATATGTAGTTATACAACTACAACTATGTCATATATTATTTTATAACTTTATAAGAACTGATTAGTTAATTGTGTTTTTTAAGGCCAGCACTTGTGCTATGCCCCAAACTCTTTCGGGATGATTGCCGGCACCCTCATTTTTGGTGAGCGTTACAGTACTTTGTGGTTGTGGCCTTCCACTACTGGTTGGTGGTTTCAAGCATTTTTTATTTTCCATAATATATGGGATAATCCTTCCCATGGACTAATATTTTTCAAGATGGTTAAAACCACCAATCAGACTATGTTGGGAAATTTTATCTTGATGGCTCTGGGTTTGCGAACCCAGAGACGTGTTTATGACCCTTTGCGTGGATTCGGCTGCCTGGCAGTATTGATTTTCGCAGCTTTTTACCAAAAAAAAATTAACAAAAAAATAGAAAACCCTTAGGAAAAAGCCTAAATTGACCCCTGAAGAAACCCTAGATGAACCTTAAACCAAAAACTAAAGAAGCGCTAAAGAAACCTTGAAAATAACGTATGAAAGTCTATATAGTGAAGTATCTGTGGGGCGTAGCGCACGTGCTGCGTTTTTTTGGAAAACATCATCTTGGGGGGCACCACCTAGCATAAGCCGATGAACACTGCTCCAGTGGTACAACATACATGGTACAACATAGTTTGCAGCTTTTATTGTTGTGAAGGATCATAGGGAAACATGTGTTTAATTTTAGTCAATGACATAAATTTGACCCTGATGATGATTATTAGGAAAACGGTGGCTTACCCTCCGGTAATCTTTCACATGGCAATGAACATCCTCCATTTAGTTCGATGATTTTCCCAGCTTAGTTTCGGGGTTTCCCACTTCTTTGCAATGTTTGATTGCCAGAGGCTAGTTTTTAGCGGGAAAAAGTGGGATCTTCATCAGCCATCGTAGGGGGAGATGAGAGACTCTACGTCAATTTTGACGCTGGTATCTGGGGTGTTGGGAGCAATCCTGATGATGGGCTATATTTGATTTTGCGATTTAACCTATGACATATATTTACCACTTCCAGCCACCAACACTAGACATACCCTCTAAGAATCTAACATGGCAAAGAAACATCTTCCATTTCTAGATTATGTTCCCCCTTCAAACTTCCATTTACAGGGGGTTCCCTGTCCCAGTGCAGCCTTTGATTACACAAGGGTAACTCTGATTTTGTTTGACCGACTTGTAGCTCTTCAGAGGCCTCTCTTTTTCATGAGCAACAGCTGATCTTTGCCAGGTATTTGTGCCATCCACTAGCGGAAGCGAACATGTTTTTTAAACTCGAAAAAAAAACATATCATGCTAGATATCTTGATATCCCCAGAGTTTTTGGTTGCATCGGATGTTTCGCCAACAGTGTAAACTGTGACCGAGTGTGATCATTTTACGGTATTGAAACTAGTGTTTTCACACTATGCCTTGAAAGAAAAACCATTCTTTTGCGGTATTTTACGAGTGAGTGTAACATTTTGTGGTACTTTACGGTATTGATGTGATGGTCACGTTTTCACGCTGTGCCTCGTTCGTCCACGCCTTGCTTCAGGGGCTGGGTGTTGAGAAAGACGAAGAGATGGCAAAGTCCTTCTACGTGGGGTGGCCCAGCGGCAAACGGACGGCAGTGCCCCTTCTCGGCACTGACACGTCATCCATTTTATGATATGTATGTCATATTACTTATATCTTATTTATATATCATATAATTAAACATCAGAGCATGTATGTTGTTGTTGCTGTAATTGTTTCCATCTACATAAACACAACATAAACAATGGGACACACCCAATATTTCTGACAACGATATGTAATGATATGTATAATTATAAATATATAATATTGCAATTTTCTTCTGCAGTAGACAATTCAATATGATGAATACTACTCCCCGAAAGGCAGGGTTCCTTTTTTTGAGACAGTATATTGTCTCTAAAACATGATGTATGATATGTGACGTGCGCCCCACGAAACCTGGCTGAGTTTGACGGAATAGCCACCATCGACAGGTGGTTTTATGCTTCATACTGGAAATTGTTTCAACTCTTCCTGTTCCAAAGATTTACAAATTGCATACCCTTCCGTAATTTAAGCTTGCTATGGAAAATCTCTATTTTAAGTAGATACCATCTGGTAAACTAAGACAGCCATTGAAAATGGCCATAGAAATAGTTGAACTACCCATTAAAGATTGTGATTTTCCATAGTTATGTCAGTTTACCAGAGGGTAATTCATGTGATGAATGTATTTCTACGGCCTGTGGCTTCGAGGCCGTTGCCTGTTGGTCTCCAGTTTTTGGGACCCGGGAAACACGGATAAAAACGCATCGTTCAACGGCTCCGGGAGGTTATCTATGTATAATGTTCAATCCGTTTTGTTTGAATCTGCATTTGTAATGTGACTGTAATATGACTGTAAGTGAACTATGTATTATTCTATATGCATATCCATAGACACAGATAGATGCATATATTGAAGTATACCTTATACATATCCATAGATATTTAAGATTTCATTTGCAGCATGGCAGTTCCGCCCAGGAACGGTCTGTTGAGCTGGAAGACCCCAATGGTTTCTTCAACTTGGCTTTGGTCTACGCCCAAGGCCCACCATTGCCACCATGAAGTTGAATGGATGTGTCTGAAAATTGGGTAGACCCAACTATGGTCATTTTTCATAGGGAAAATCTTTGAACATACCCAGATGCTCCATGTATGGAATATTTACCTACATTTGCCCAAAAAATGACCCAATGTAGGTAAATATTCCATACATGGAGCACCTGGGATATGGGAAAATCATGATGAACCAGTGGGTTTCTGGGTCTATTGTTAGACAACGCCAAATTCACCCAGCTTTGCAACCCAGCGGCGGCAAGGGGTCCATGCTTCCGTTCGGCTTCCGTTCCGGTTTCAAAAGGATTTCGTTGATGCACAAGTCCCCGACCAAAAATTGAAACCCAAGGGTTTGATACTTGTACGGCTGGATACAACACATCGGTAGATGCAAGAAGATCGTTTTTTGGGGTGCATTTGCATTGTTTTTTGTGTGTGAAGTGTGATGAAGTCGAAATTTCTTTTGTTGTTTACTACAATACTGCAACTGAATACATCTAATGTGGTTAAACAATAGGAAACCATCCCCCAAATCACCATAAATAGGTTGTGTAAACCATTCACAAATGGGTGGTTTATCGCATTGTTTTCAAACGGTTTCAGGCCCGCTGGTCGTCAACAATGGCTCCAACCGAAGCCATATTTCGCCGAGTCAGGAGACGACCGTAGCCATGCGAAAATCAGCGCACACAATTTTATAGCCATAATTGTTGGTATTTAAATGTGTAGTATATCAATGTATAGTATATATATAATTATAATATACATACATGTATTTGAAGACTCCTTGTTTTCGTTGAATCAACCAAGATTGTTTCCCTCTGTTCGCTCGCCTGGATTACTTGTTTTCTCGGTGTCTTGCGGGTGCTAATATCCCGCTTCTCGCCGTTTATTCGTTCACTTTGGATTGGTCATATTGAATTATCAAGTTCAAAAATCTCCATTTTTGTCCGTGAAATGCCCCAAACGAATCTTGCTTGTATGGATTGTTGACAGTGTGCTACCAAGGCAGAATTATACTTTACAATGGATCGAATCTATCCCTCCCACATTTTAATGTCTTATGTCCCATTCATTTTCCCAATCATATCCCAAATATCCCAATAAAATTCCCAATCATATCCCCATAACTTACCCTCTGGTAATTTAACATAGCTGTTGAAAATGGCCATAGAAATAGTTGATTTTCCCATTAAAAAATGTGATTTTCAATAGTTATGTTAGTTTACCAGAGGGTACTCAATAACTTGCCCAGAGATCTTTGTTTCATCCAGGCCGCGACAAAGACTTCGCCAAGGCTGCGCAGCTGGCCCGTCTTGCCCAACTCGGGGGACATCAGCAGGCCGCGCCTGGGGAATGGGTTCGGATTTGGGGAAACTATCCCAAGAGAAGCCTTATTTCAGGTTAGTGACATATTAAATAGTCATATTGCAGACATTTTTTGAAGACATTAATGATCATGTTTACCAGATGTGGAAAAGCCATGGCTTTTATCGAAGTTCTCAAAGATCGCTGGAAAATCCCGGAACTAGCGGAGGTTTCTGGGACAATCACCGAATTGGTGGATTTTCTGTGGCCATGCTTGATTAGAGGGAAGCAGGAATTTCAAGGGACCCACTTCGTTGCTGAGCAGTAGTAATTTACGCAGAAAAGAAACGTCAATTGCTAATTGCTAAGATCTTAGCTGGTTGGTGGTTTGGAACACTTTTCCCCACCTGCCAGGTGAGGGTTGTTAGATTTTATCAGAGTTGTTCTCCTCCTCCTCCTTCCTCCTCCTCCTCCGCGTCCTCCTCCTCCTCTTCTACCACCTCTGCCTCCACTTCCACGTCCACTGTTGCCTTGCCAACTCTTGGCCAAGCTCTTCGCCAACTTCGGAGCTCAGTGCGCACTGCTGGACCTCAACCTGGGACCTTCCCAGCTCAGTGCACACCGCTGGACCTCAACCTGGGACCTTCCTAGCTCAGTGCGCACCGCTGGACCTCAACCTGGGACCTGCCGAGCTCAGTGCGCACCGCTGGACCTCAACCTGGGGCCTTCCGAGCTCAGTGCGCACCGCTGGACCTCAAAAGCCAGATAGAATGCCAGAAGATATGCCAGATAGAATGTCAGATAGAATGCCAGAAGATATGCCAGATAAAATGCCATAAGATTTGCCAGATAGAATGCCAAAAAGACATGCCAGATAGAATGCCAGAAGGTATGCCAGATAAAGTGCCAGCATGTTTGCCAGATAGAATGCCAGAAGATTTGCCAGATAGAATGCCAGATAGGATGTCAGAAGATATGCCATAAGATATGCCAGATAGAATGCCAAATAGAATGCCAGAAGATATGCCAGATCGAATGCCAGAAGATATGTCAGATAGAATGCCAGAAGATATGCCAGATAGAATGTCAGAAGATTTGCCAGTAACAAAACGTATAAATGCCATGGTGGGGATCACACAAAGTAAAGCAATTTATTTTTCTATATATTGGGAAGAATATCCCCAACTGACAAATATTTTTCAGAGGGGTAGGTATACCACCAACCAGTTTGTGTTACTAACTGTTACATGATGTTTCCATCCTTTAAGGTTCACAAAGGCGTATCTAACGTATGTATACACGTCCTAGTGACTAGTGGCGGATGGGTAAATCATGGTAAATCCTAACCATCCATCTACATTGTTCCTTGAGGTTATAAAACCATCAAAATGAATCAGAACGGCGTATAATATATGAAACCTGACAGCACGGGATGTCCCATGTTATGGACATGGAAGACTGGGAAGAGTTGATGGATGGACCATGCGATGTGGAGGTGAACATTTGCCTTTTGAGAAACATTACTAATTACGTATAAATTGAATGATACCAAGAGAAGGGATGTTCGGGAAGAATACCACTTAAGGGACAGAAACCAGTGATATATCCCTATTCTGAAATACCAGTGATCAATGGGAAGAGCTGATCATACTTGGTACATGGGGATTGCGGCAGATGGGTCAGAAAAAAAAAACTGTGTCCTGTTTCCTGGTGCTTTCCGATGGATTTACGAAGGGTTTGAAATCGCCAAGCTAGTTGGTGTGGTTCTTGACCTGGACCCTCAGTTTCAAACAAACCAACACATTTCATTCAAAATGTGTGTGTTTTGATAATTTGATAGTAGTGATTTGGTTGCACGACAGGTATGGGTAAGAGCAAGTACAGATATAGATTACTCCACCGTGGGATGTTGGATTGGTACTCACATCGTAGCATTACCATTGGTAGATACAGATTAGATCATATAGGGCGTCATGTTTTGTTCAGAATTGGGTAAGTCACGTTGCTTGAGTGTTTTATGTGGTTAAAACAATGCCATGTTTACCATCCCCCAGTCATCACCATTTTTATAGGTGGGATTCCAACCATTCCCAAATGGGTAGTTTATGCCATTGTTATAGGTGCTTTTTAAACCATTTTTATAGGTGGGATTCCACCATTTTTATAGGTGCTATAAACCATTCCCAAATTGCTGGTTTATGGCATTGTTTTAAGCACAACGGTTTCAGGCCCGCTGGTCAGCAATGATTCCACTTGCATCCAGTGGTTGTGGTTAGGCGGAGGAGCTGTTGGAGTCCTTGCCGGGGCAAGATGAGGACGGCCATCCCAGGGCCATCCCAGGTTTTTGATTGTGGGTGATCCCCCAGGCATATAAATCATATAAATGGTCAATCACATATATATATATAGCTAATTAATTACATATAATCATATGAAAATAGTTATTTATATAAGCATATATATATATAATTAAATATAAATTAAATATAAAATCATATATATATATACATACATAATCAGATATTTAATCATATATCAATAATCACAAACATAATATAATCATATTTAAAATCATATATTTATAATAATATATCATCATTTTTATAATTATATATAATCATACAAATGTATAATCACATTAAATTGTGTATATACATACATACATACATACATACATACATACATACATACATACATACATACATACATACATACATACATACATACATACATACACACATACATACAATCAATCAATCAATTAATGAATCAATCAATCAATCAATCAATCAATCAATCAATCAATCAATCAATCAACCATATATATATACAATCATCAAATACATATAATCAAATATATATATATATATACTTTAATATACTATAATAAACATTTATATGTAGTCATACATATGTAGTTAGATATGTATATATAATTATATATATATATACCAGCATATATTTATATAATCATAAGTGTATATATATATATATACATATAATCATATTTAAAATTAAAATGATTTAATCGTTTATATGTAATCATATTTATATATATAATATATATATAGATATTATCATATATGCATATGTTCATATAAACATAATTTTATATTATCATATGTATTCTTTGATAATATTTATTTAACTATAATTATATATATATATATTCATATATTATATTATTGTTTTATATGTATATATATATGTAATTATTTGTTAATATATAATCATTTATATGACGATATAAAGATATAATCATGTATATAGTCATATATTTAAAAAATATATATATTTAAATATAATCATATATATATATAATATTGCATATGTAATCGTATATATATATAATCATTTTTATATATTTACACATACACAGTTATATATTTAATCATATATGTATAATCATATTTATATTTAATCATATATATATATTTATTTAAACATATATATAATCTCATATATATATATACATACATATTTTGATGTAATCATACATATATATATATAATCATACATATATATATAATCATATGTATATATATGATTATATTTATACAATATATATATATATTCATTTATTTAATTATGTAAATATATATATTATCTTTTAATATAAAATCTTATTTTCTCGAAGATATATTTATACTCCTCTATATATATATAGATAGTTATGTATGTAATTATACATATGTAATCGTAAATATAGTCATTTACATATATATGTATATTTATCAACACATAAGTATATATATATATATATCAATCAATTGGTTTTTTTTAATTGTCTATATGATCACATTTATATTTACATATACATAATTACATATAATCATATATATATATATATCATTGTATATATATATATAATCATATTTGATTATATATATATATATCATATTTTCATATATATATATATCATCATATATTTATATATATTTATATATATCTTATCTTTTAATATGTAATCATATTTTTATGATGATGTATGTATATATAGATAATCATATATTCAAATAGAATGAAAAAACGAGAGGATCTGTAGCAACTCCTCGTGGATCTACGGCTTCTTATGAGCCGGGCCGGTGACCTCACAGGCCCCGGCGACATGAATAATGGTAGGTTGGTAGTTACCCCACCATGAATTTGAGCTTGGGGGGCATGAATATTTATATATATATACATGTATACGAAAATATATACGTATATATACGTATGTATATATATATATGTACATATATATAGGTGTTTATATATATATATATGTATATTTATTATTACATATGTTTATATATGATAATTTGATTATATATACAATATGTTTCTGTGTATTTTTGTGATTTGATCCACCAAGACTACTATATAATGCCAAGTTCTTAGGCTTTATGAATAGAAGGGCGGATTGTCCCGTGGCATAATCAAGGTGTGTTTCTAATGTCAGTCTCCATTTTGACCAGTGAAAACGCATAAGTTTGGTAATAACATCTGGTAAACTATCATAAATATGGACAATCAGCATTTTTCTTATGGGTAATTCAACTATTTCTATGGCCATGTTCAATTTCTATGTTAAATTACCAGAGGGTAGTTCCCACGTTGATTACACCCCCATGCTTCTCCGTCAAAATACCCACGTTGGAGCACATACCAATCGCGCAGGATTTTAAATAGATCCTGATTCTTTCGGTCAAAGATACTGTCATGTTTTGTTGTTGACCCACAGTCGCCTGGTATCATCAGGATTGACACATGACACATTTCCTTTTCAAGAGCTTTTTCAATTTCCTGGTTTTAGCTAATTCTGTTAGTAACTATAGTTGGTAAACCCACATTTAACTAATTCTATAGTTAGTACCCTCTGGTAAACTAACATAACTATGGGAAAATCACCATTTTTCATGGGAAAACTCACTATAAATGGCCATTTTCAATAGCTATGTTAAATTACCAGAGGGAAACTATAATTTCCAACAGGATCTTTGGGGTGCCACTGTTGTCGCCCAGTACATCTTGTGCCGCCTGCGTGCGCTGCAGAATCGCACGGCTGATTTGATCGAGGAGAAACGGCCGTCGCAGATTCTGCTGATCTAAGCCATAACAGTTAAACTGCTTGTAATACCAATAACATAAAGGTTCACCAATAATCATGTTTTAACAGTTAATCTCTCAAAAACACCCAACAGTTATACTGTAATGGTTCCGATTCGGTTGATTGGTGATTATTGGATATTATACATGTTATACTACCAACAGTTCTTGGGGATAACATGATTGCAGTAATCATAACCCATAGTTGGGGAAGCGTCTTCAACCAATCTTCCTGCTGCCAAGGAACGCAACAGGAAGGCCCATGCGGAGAACGGCAACACGGTTCCCGCTGCGTCGTGCGGTCCTCAGGGCACCCTCGTCAAGATGAATAGAATAAGCGGCCAAGTTATTGCTATATCCAAGGATTACCATCGACCGGGCCTTCCTGGAAGCCCTCTGCACTGCCGACCCGCCCCCCGCGAGGGCCGGGGGAAAGGATTTTGTCCTTAAGCGGGTCGGCTACAAGGTGCTTACGGCCTTGCTGAGGCGCTTAAGGGGGGACAACATCCTGTTAATTTCATGTCCTTGCCCTTTAAACCTTGCAAGCAGTGCATGCTTGTCATATGTGTACCGCGCGCCGCCTGCCAGGGACAGGGGGCTGTGTCCCTCGGCGGCCAGTCGAAAATTTTTCGACTTCTTCTGCGGCCTTTCCAAGGAGGCGATTTTCCCTGATGCCCTTGGCATAGTAGTTTTATTTCAATCTCGGCCAGTCCAACCCTGCGCGCCTTCGAGCAGCTGCCCATCTACACCTTCGGTGTACTTTTTGAATGGCTCAGGCGGCACCCCAGTTTGGTAAATGGTGATTTAACCAGCAAGAAATGTGGATTATCATTCATTACAATCTCTTGAATTCTGTTAAGTTGGTTTATACCTCCGATTTCGCTAGGTTTCATGATACGTATCTCATCGTAGACCTATAGTGAATTGGGTATATAAACACCAACAAACATCACTGGGTGGTGACAAGAGATCACCGTGGAAAATGGATAACTTTACCTCCAGCAAATAACAAGCCAAACAAAGTCCTTAAGTAGTAATCACAATAGTATCCCAAGACTCACAGGATTATTATAATACATTTGAGGTGATAATCAAGTATGGTGTTCTGATTTTAATGATTATTATCATTGTCATGGTTATCATTGTTATATTATATTTCTAGTTTGTAACTACTATGATTATCATTCTCAAGAATCAATTGTTGTTAACATCATGGATCATAATCTTATCATTCACATTGTCATATATACAGTACATTAACATTCTTAACGTTATTAAGAATGAATTGTGATTAAACACATTGATCATTATCTTAGCATTTACATGATAATTATACATTAACATTAACAGTTATTAACATATTTTGTTCTCAATGGCGTAAACATGAAAACACTAGCAGTCAGTAACATTAACAGTCATTACTGTCGATTGTTATCATTATCACTACGTCAATCTTAGAAGGGTAGAAGCTAATCCTCTAGTCTTTTGGTGTGGATTTGTTCAACCAGCTAAGATTGTTTTTTTTTTTTTTGCAGGGTATCTAAGATTGTTATCATGAACACTTAGTAAATGGCTTATTTTCCCAGTTATGGAATATCCCCACTTATATATGGCCTACTTATATATATATATATATATGTATATTTATTCGTTATATATCAGGGTAAATTTAATCACGACCTCACTGTTCTCCCTCACTGAAAATCATTGTTAAGAAGAATCATCCCCAAACGACCGAAGTGTTCAGGTTAGTGAATTGTAATTTACCCAGATATATGATTTACTACACACCAGTAAATTACTTTGGGTGAATATATCTGGGTAAATTACAATTATGATTATAAATTACTGGTGGATTATTATATCATTATACTATAACCATAGATATTTAATGTGTAATTCACCCATGGATCAAATCATAGATATACACACAGCAAATGATTTACTATACACCAGTATACTATATCCCAAAGATACGGATTATAAGCCTGGTTATTAACATTTAGACAAACCACTTTTTACGATCCATGGGATGATCCTCCAAGGTATGATATATATATATATATTATGTATACCATATATATATATATACACCATATATCAGCATATATACCTTTTTGGATTACAATATGCCAGATATCATATACCCACTGAGTGATTTATGGATTGCCCTCTGGTAAACGTTTACATAACTATGGAAAATCACCATTTTTAATGGGTAAATCCACTATAAATAGCCATGTTCAATAGCTATGTTTGTTTACCAGAGGGTATACACCACTGGGATGCAGATCCTCCCAAACTCCAGGACCTGCGTGCTAACTCCACCGCTTCCGCGCAGCAGAACTTGGCGAAGCTGGCGAAGCGCCTGGAGCGGCGAGACCGTGGAGACAGGGGAAAACTAGGCCATAGTAGTAGTAAAAGCAGTATAGTAATGGTAGTAAAAACAAAAGTAATAGTAATAGTAGTAAAGTAGTAGCAATAGTTAAAACTTGGTAATAGTAAAAGTAAAAGCAATAGTAATAGTAGTACTAGCGAGAGTAATAGCGATAGTAATAGCAGTAATAGTAATCATCCCAAAACAGGGGAAAACCATGGTATTATTGTTATGGGATCATTAGTATTATGGGATTTATGACTTTTATTGCTGGGATAATTATGGGAATGGTCAACAACACTTCTTAATACTCTCTGTTGTCATCAAATGTGGCAGGCTGGATAAAAAACGAACTAGATGGAGGTATTTTTTACTTGGGAAATCATCGAACTAAAAAACTAAATAATGGATTTTGCAGCCAGCCACGTTTGATTACCGGACCCCCACGTTTGATTACCGGACCGTAGGGCCAGAATTTATTTGAATTATATATATATATATATATTTGGATTTCATGATGAGTTTGGTGAGTTAATGGGATTATCAACAGAATTAAGATAATGCCGAGGACTATCAACAATTACAATGTATGGTCCCATTTATATGAATCTTTGGAACAAACACACATCTTGATGAGATACTTGATGTGCATAATATTTATATATATATATAATGATATATATATATATATAAATATGTATACATATCATCATATATATATATATACATATATATATATACATGGGCATAACGTATTTCACCGCCCCCACCCAGTGTTTTCAAGTATTCTATGTGTGCACGTTTCAGAGATGTTGTGCACGTTTCACACTGCGCAGGAGGAACTCCGGCACGAGATGGCGTCCAGAAAGGCCTCCGGGTTGCCACCAATCATCGCAAACCCAAGTCATAGGTAGAAACATGGGAGACTTGGAAATATGCGTGGTAGATAGATGTAAATATTCTAAAATGAATCATCGATACCATCCTGGAAACATGTTTCTATGTTTTTTGGGGCTACTAGTATGTATGTATATATATATTATTACGATCATCTCCCCTATTCCGAATTGCCAATGTTTGCATATTTGTCCTATATATGTTTTTTGGTCAACAAACGTTTTGTTTCTAGCATGTTCTTTCCCTGTAGGAGAAGGCGGTGCTTCCCATACAGCACACTATGCTGGATGCGGAAATTGTGGATTGAAAAATGGCGGCAACCACCCTGTCTCTTCTTGGTGGTAGCTGAACTCGTAGAATTGGTAGCAACATGTAACGTCCATCTGAAGTACCCAGTATAAATAGCTTTATATAGTGTTTCCATGAATATCCGCTATGACTTATAAACCACTTACTATACAACTGGTATGCATCGTTTGTTGCTTGTGGTTGTGGCCAGTTTCTCGACACTTTCTCAATTTATGCAAGCTGGCAGACTGATTTTCTGTGTGCACATGCGGCTCAAAGCTAATTTGCACTAGATCTATTGCTCACGAGCCTTCAAGAAATATGTTTGTTCTGAACGGCTTCGGAAATCGTAGATAGTCACATGAGCGGCTAACAAATGTCAATGTTGCCAAATTTGGATTCTTGATTTGTCATTGTTGCACGCTGGCCCTGTGGGGGTCGGATGCCACTCGTTGCGGAGTGCGATGGCTAGAAATGAGGCGTTTTTGGGGTGGGCTGGGAAGATCCAAATTTGAACTGTCCTTGAAGAAATTGATGTGCAATTTGATAAATTTATGGGTCAAAACCTATGCGTATCAATTACCACATATTACCACATCTGACTGGGTATCTTAGGGTACCTAGGATACACGGGTTTCGACTCATAGCCACATGAAGATGAACCATATCTATCCATATCATTTCATATCTATACTAGTTTAAAATAGTTTTTCCTCAAATGTCAAATGCATTCCAGTGACAAGGCTGGGCAGTTTGTAGCAAAGTTGTTAAACCCAAGTATCGATCGACATCTAAGACAACTGAATACGGAGACTTTGGTATATAATATGTATCGAGTCATTCCGTTTGGGTTGTACTTGTATATATAATATATAGCCAGTTTTGACCCAAATTAAATAATCTATATATTTTTGCTACTCTGCCTTGGTTCTTGCCGGGTTTGAGCGCGAGTAGCAGGGGAGCATGGCCAGTATACTATACAGGTGGGATGGCTATTCCTCTTGACATTTTCACTCAAGTTTTCCCACTATGTGTTTCGTGTTTGGGATCCACGTGAACACGCGAATTGCGTTGATCAATACCTCCGTGGTTTATGTTTATTGTTGGCTTGCACATACGTAGTTGCCAACTTATGTTGCTTATAAGATGCTGCATTTCTGTTGTTTTTATACCCCTTTATATGCTGATTTCCATTTTTGTAGCTTACACTTATGATTCTGCCAGGTCAGCGAGACGAGGTGCGGTGAGAAAAGCCAAATTTTGGTTCGCAATGCGAGACATGACGAAGTAGACGCCATGGCCCAGCAATAGTTCGATTACATGTTTAGAAAGGGGTGATTTCTATAGCTAGCTGAAGTTTACCAGAAGGCCAGAAGGTACATGTTCTTGTTGAAATCAAATCGGTTGAAGAATATGAAAGGTGTGCTTGAGATTTCAACGTCGATTGCGTTGCAAGATATTGCAGGTAATTGCAGGTCATGTCCACATTCTTTCTAACCATCCCTTGCAGTCTTGTTCATTGTGTTTTGACGTCTTTTTCCATGGCGGTTTTCCTGTAACTCCCCCGATGCGGATTCTGTGGCAGTCTGATGGCGAAACCAGATCTCTTGTCCCAACTACTGACATCAAACTGGGTAAACGATTGGTTGGATTGAGACAATACTGGTATGTTTTTGCTAAGGGGGAATATCATGAGAATATTGTTCATCTGGTTGGTGGTTTGGAACGTTTTTTTTTCCATTCAGTTGGGAATGTCATCATCCCAACTGACTTTCACTCCATCATTTTTCAGAGGGGTAGGTATACCACCAACCACTCATCGATTTTTATTCAGGGTACCCTTTGGAACTTTAAGTCGCCATTAAGATGGTGATTGATCATCAAACTCAATGGACCATATTACCATGGAGATTACCGAGGGTATCAACCATATCCCCAAATATTCCCATTCCCCATAGACTAACCATACATATCACATATTTAACTTTTGCTTATACAATAACCATCTAAGATTTCGTAGTATGAAACAACTGAAACTGTATCGCAGTTGTTCCGAAAAACGGGTAATTGGTCATGGTTCCATGGTACCAAACAGTGAAAAAACACGATTCCCAGCGGCCTTCAGGGCGCAGCTGTCCCCCACTTCCACTCCTTTCGTGTCGGTGGGATGCCAAATGGTGGGTTGGTGGAGCAGAACAAGATAAACCAACGGTGTTGTTGCTTGGAGTTCACCATGTCCATCATGATTGTTCATGGATTTTTAGGAATTTCGAATCACTATGATTTGTCTGTCTTTATCACTATATCAATTATTTATTTGGGATGGGTCAAACCCTTGTTTTTTTCTTCCCCATATCGACCAGCTACCAGAGGCCCCCAGGGTCACGACCCATACCGGCAGGGATGATGAATACCCCAAGCAGCTTGTGTAATTTATGTATTGCCAGAATGGTTTAAGAGGTCTATGTTCCCCAATAAATCGCTTCTCAGCTAGACTTCGCTGGTAATGTTCGTTGTGGTTTTGGTCTTGAGTTTACCAAAAGAGCAGCATTTGGTGCAGGATGGTTTAGGAAAGCAGGGACCAAACATCCAAGGGAATCCCAGGGAATTTGTGTGAGAAATAGGACATCTTGATCCTGGCACCTGATTGCTCAACTGGGAATTCCTTTCCCGGTCAACCATCTGACGCAGTGGTTTCTCGTGCTCAATGGAGAAATAACAGTGTTCAAGTTCCTTGTTGATTGATGATGATTCATGATGATTGATGATGATTGATGATTATCTCTGGTGTGTTATAGATTTGTGATATGTAGTGATACTATCCAGCATATTATGGGGAATATCACAATCATAGGAAATCAGAGGATTTTGTTCACGCTTATTTTGTTCACGCTCATCAGGTGGCCGTTCGCATCAGGCGAGGTGGATGGGATCAGCGAGGAAAGTTGATACTCTCAGATGTCGGAAAAAGTGTCTGGAAATCGCGGAAATCACATTATATATTTGATGGTTAAGACTTCAAGCCTTAGTTTTCCATAAAGTTCAATAAATCATTGCATTCCTGAAATCATTCCATCCCTTCATACCTCCATTGAGCAGTGTTCACAACCCCGGGCCCCAGTTGCTTGATAATTGTGGGGGGGTCCGGGTCCACCAGTCATACTACTCTTCTTATACATTGGGGATTACTGTATCATAATCGATTACTTGAATCTACATGCAACAACCAGTAAAAACACATCACATATTGATTAATTGATTGTTGAATATGGAACAAAACACAGTTAGCAAATTATGGAACCAACCAATCCATTGTTGAATGACGGATTTTGACCACTGCTCAGTAACCCTTATCCAGCCAAGTGCTTTTCAGGCCTGGCCTCTCCAATGATCCTGTGATACTATGGGAAAGTAGCGATCGTGGACGACATCCGCGGGTTTGCTGCCATCGTGGCTATCTAATGGAGGAGGGATGGAGATCTCAGGGTGCTACCCCTCTTGGGTTGGCGAAGTTGGTTGAAGTAGGCAGATTCACCAGGATTCACAATATATATATAATTATATATATTATAATGATATATATATAATATATTTGTAGGATGGGCATAGTGGCATACCTATAATATATTTGTAGGATGGGCATAGTGGCATCACCTTGTGTAGGCAGCTATTCCAGATGTAGATGGGATGTCACTGTACGTCTCGCCAATGCTTGGATCATATGTTGATTGACATTTTATCTACCAGATCAAATGTAGACGTTTGAGACAGGATTTCACTATTATTTCACTTGATGTCTATATTGTCATCATATAATGTCACATTTATAATTAAGTAAGTTTCGTATAATTATATATATAAGATGTATAAAACTATATAACTAAATCTTTCTATATCTCTCTCTCTCTCTATATATATATATATACATGTGCCAGCCCATTTGCAGCTGAGTATGGGATTCAGAACCATCGATCTCCATGGTTCCGGTTTGGCTCGGTGCCTGGCCCAGGAGTACGAGTTCTCCCGTGTCTTTGGACCAGAGGACGACAACCAACGACTCTTCTCCGAATTGCAGGTGGGGACTTTTTGTTGATGTTTCCTTTGGAGAATGTGTGGTTTAAATAAATTGGGGTTGTAGTTGAGGATAAATATATATATATCATATATAAGTATAATATATACTGCATGTTCAAGATGTTTCAAAAAGTATGCTACATCCTGAAGATGGCATGATGATCCCTTTCCACCTGCGGGCGTGCATCTCAAAATGTGGTCACGAGGGTCGCCATCCCGCATGGCCAGTCTTTCGTTTTGATGATTCACTAGTAGTATTACTTTCCTGCAATCTATAAACGGAGGTTTTAATGGGAAATCATATATATATATATATACATACATAAATGGTGGATTTGTCATTACCATGTATGACTACCAGAGGGTAATCTATACTCAATCGGGATCCGAAGATTTGGAGTCCTGGATCATTTGAATCGGTGCGTGTCACCCAAGCTGGGAAATGTCCATCAACTATGAAATAGGTAAACTTGGATAAATTATATTTAAAGGCAACTTATGTGGTGGGCAGTTTCAACTGTGGTTTCATGTTCCATTCAGAAATTCAATGATAATCTCCAACGTTCATGGGGTTGAAACCAGCAACAAGTAACCCGATCATGCAATGCATTGCTTGCTTGCCGGCATGCTCCTAACAAGAAAACACCCAACTATATATTAGGCATCAAGACGGCCTCAAGTATACACATCACATAAATAATTCCACATATAAATACAGAAATTATGCATATGTACAATACATGGGACAGATTGTATGGGGCATGGGGATGCATGGGGTATAGTAGTCAGAACCCCTCATTTCTCAGTTGGCGTTGTCTGAAAATACTGTTTGCCAAGAATCCAATATAGTTAGTCATAATTTTCCCCAAAGACATGGTGATAGTCCCAAAAACTGTTTGGTTCCATCATGTTTTATCCACGTTTCCTCTTTCTAACATTATCTACCTATACCCTGTGGATACATATACTTCCTTCCTAAGCGGACTCAACCCCCCATTCAGAAAATACCCCAGCTGGATCCGTCATGCCTCGTCAGAAGCTACGGCTGGATCCATTGGTTGAATCATGTTTAATGCCCATTTCCTCTGGCTATACATACATACATGCATGCATGCATGCATACATACATACATACAGACATACACACATACATACATTCATACATACATACATGCATACATACATACATACATACATACATACAGACATACACACATACATACATTCATACATACATGCATACATACATACATACAGTACGTACGTACATACAGTACGTACATACATACATACATACATACATACATACATACAGTACGTACATACATACAGTACGTACATACATACATACTTACATACATACATACATACAGACATACACACATACATACATTCATACATACATGCATACATACATACATACAGACATACACACATACATACATTCATACATACATGCATACATACATACATACATACAGTACGTACATACATACAGTACGTACATACATACATACATACATACATACATACAGACATACACACATACATACATTCATACATACATACATACAGACATACATACATACAGTACGTACATACATACAGTACGTACATACATACATACATACATACATACATTCATACATATATACATACATATATACATACATACATACATACATACATACAAACATACACACATACATACATTCATACATACATGCATACATACATACATACAGTACGTACATACATACAGTACGTACATACATACATACATACATACATTCATACATATATACATACATACATACATACATACATACATACAGTACGTACATACATACAGTACGTACATACATACATACATACATACATACATACATACATACATACACACACATACATACATACATACATTCATACATACAGACATACACACATACATACATTCATACATACATGCATACATACATACATACATACAGTACGTACATACATACATACATACATACATACATACAAACATACATACATACATACATACATTATTATACACCATAAATCCTTCCATTTCTGATATTCCACCCCATGAAATTCGCATGAAATCATTGCTAACCGGCCATCCCCATCCCTGACCGCCCCTTCGCAGGCAGAAGCCTTGACGGAGAGCGTCTTCAGCGGCGTCAATGAGACGCTCTTCGCCTATGGCCAGCAGCTTGTCTCATGGAAATTTTCAAGCATGGGGTTTACATCCGGAAAAAAACGGTGGTTAGTTGCCCTATTTTTCGGAAGACCCTAATGTGGTGGTTAAGTGTTTCGTGGCTTTTCTAAAAGTTGGAGAGTGTTACACATGAAATTGAATGAACTGTTGTATGTTGTGGGGAGACTTTGCTGGAACTGAGGGTTTATACATGTTGTTGTGATGGCTACAAAGGTGTTTCTTCAGTATCATGGAAAAGTCTTGCCATATCTTGGCAAACCATAGCAGTTCATGCAAGTCTCAGGCATACTGAAACACGACTCTGAGACGATGGAAAGACCGTGCTCAGGGAGATGAATTTTCCAAAAATGGTGATGGCATGAGTCCAAATAGGTCCAAATTCGAAGCCGAACCATGCAACAAAAAAGGCCAGTTAATGCTGGAATAGGTCATGCCCCCAAGTTATGTTTTATGGTCTGTAACCCCATCTCTTCCAATGGTTAGCCTAGTTATAAACCGACTTGTTGTAGAATAGGGGAACATGCCTTTATTATAGTTTGCTTCGTGCATCCTCCAGTGAACTTTGGACGTCAGACTGCTGCTACAATGCTCAGCAATGATCGACACCTGAAATCAAACATCCAACGCCAAGATTTGCCGTGCTTGAATGTGTTTCAAACGAGAAAATCATTTTCAGAATCAATTTCTGTGCCTGAACATGAGATAGTCACAGATGAATCATTAGTTTTATCCATAGAATCGAACTCATTACCCTTTGGTTATTTAACATAGCCATGGGAAATGGCCCATAGAAATAGATGGTTTACCTATTAAAACATATTAAAACTAGTGATTTTCCATGGCTATGGTAGTCATAACCAGATGGTAAATTTCATGATTTTCATGGACCATGGCCCTTGATCTCCAGGACTGGCAGCGGCAAGACGCACACGATCTTCGGTGGCCACTTGGCCAGGGTTTCTTAGGGATTTGGAGCGGATAAACCATGGTTTTGACCTGGGAAAAGATGTGGAAAAGCCATGGTTTCCCGTAAAATAATCTATATTACAAAACAAATGGTGGGTTTTCCACTTCTATGTTACTATGTTAGTTTGCCAGATGGAAACTGGGTAGTAAGGAAATTTAATTGGGATAGTTCGTGGTTTGTAACCCACCAGGATTCATTTTTTTCCCCATGCCCCATCTAAATGGGTGTACAGTTTTTCATCGGCAAATAGTCGGGAAGGGACCATTCCCACTAGATGAGCTCTATTTTAGGATTTCCCTTTACCACATTAGCGTACGGAAAGGAAAACAGGGTTGTAAAATGTTGTAAATACTCCGACTAAAGTTATATGTATTGTACAGTTCTAGATGATGAATGAGAATGAGATCATAAAATATTGTCATATATTGTCCATATTGTCCCATACCTGTTGGTCCAATATCAGTTCTGCCACACGTTGTGTAAAATCTGATGGCTCAGCAACCATGTGCCTTGCTTTTTTGATTCAGCCTGGTTGATTCAGGCGATTTTCAGGAACGGGGCTGGGTAGGCCTGTGTGAGTTCATCAGAATGGAGGTTTCCAAAGTCATTGGGGTAGCCGCGGGTAGCCCCAAATCCAAATCCTCCAAGTCAGTTCAAGATGTCCAAGTCATGGTCAGTATGCTGTCATCATCTATCATCAATAATGATAATCAATGATAATCCTATTTGGAGGTTTCCGTTTCGTCGTGGGGCTACCCTCCCAAATCATCCAGTCGTCATGGCTTCGTAACAACCATGGTTCACCCGGGCAAAAATCCCCGACGAAGTCCATCGAGGTGCCAAAGATGCCGGACTTCTGGAGCTTTTCGTGCAGCAGATGCTTGGCGATTTCGCCATGGGGATTTCCATCTGGGCTTTTTTTAACGTGATTTCAATGCGAGCAAAATCAGCGATTTATGTGAGTGATTTATGTGATTTAGCAGCGGTTGGGGATGATACCAGGGAAAACAAAAAACTAAAAAAACAGCCAACAATCGGAAGTTTTGGCCACAAACAATGAGATTTATATCTATCATTTTATATCAAATATGTTAAAAAAAACCATCAGAGGATTTCCTGGAAACCAACTGTGGAGTGCAATCATGGGATGGCTTCACCGTGAAACTGGGGAATGGCTGGCTCCAACGATGGCATAAAAAACAACCAGTGGAGTGGATACATCAACGGATACAATCCAAAACATGATTGATACATGGCTATTTGATTGTATAGGTCAGATGAAAGAGTGGTTGAAAACCAACACGTGTTGGTCATGTTCAGCAAGCAACTCAGGTATTATTGGGTGTGCTCCAAGATAAAGGTCGGATGGAGATCATACCTCTGGCAGTTTTCATAATTTCACATGGCCACACAACGAATGAGATTTATTTGGACAGACACATGAATATGTAAACCACCAAGAAACTTTCCAAAATGGTTATTAACAGCATAGGCGTGATGTTTTTATAATAGTTTAATCTCAACATAATATTATTACATAGTATCGATATACTATATCTATGCAATATAATTAATTACATAGATTTTGATTAACCCATAGATAAATGATGAGAAACAAAGGATATGAATATAAATATTACATTATATTATATGCTGTATATATATATATATATATTGCGCGAAAAGACTGAACCCACAACTCATGTCGTTGCGGAGGATCTTTGCAGCGCGTGGGCCCTTTGCCACGGAAAGCTCATCCTCGTCGGTTCATCTTTGCTGCTCCTTGCTGCAGCAGGTGAACCAACCACTTTTAGGGGATACTGGTAAGGTTATCCCATCTATATAGATCTGGGTAAATTTAATCACGACCTCACTGTTCTCCCTCACTACAATCATAGTTAGGATTCGGGGAATCCCAAAATGGCCCAACCATTCAGGGTAGTGAAATATTGTAATTTACCCAGATAGATGGATCAAATCATAAATATATACACAGTAAATGATTTACTATACACCTGTATACTATATCCCATATATATGTATATATAGGCTCGTCCCCGCTTCTGGAACCACATGGGGTGGGGGGGGGGGGTGGGGTGGGGTGGGATGTTAACGTTCATGTGACCTTGCGGCAGGATGTTAACGTTCATGTGAACTTGCGGCAGCAGTGGATGCTACGCACATGCGGGGTGGGGGGGGTGGGGTGGGATGTTAACGTTCATGTGACCTTGCGGCAGGATGTTAACGTTCATGAACCGCGCAAACCTGAATTAGGTTGGTAAAACTTGTCCATTCCGTGACGAAATTTCGTCGCGGAATTAACAAGTTTCATTAGGGTCATTATCATCATCATCATTATCATGATGATGATGATGATGATGATGAAGATGATGATGATGATGATGATAATGATGATGATGATGATGATGATAATGACCCTAATGAAACTTGTTAATTCCGCGACGAAATTTCGTCACGGAATGGACAAGTTTTACCAACCTAATTCAGGTTTGCGCGGTTCCAGAAGCGGGGACGAGGCTATATATACATGAATTATAAGTCTGGTTATTAACATTTAGAAGAACCACTTTTACGATCCATGGGATAATCCTCCAAGTACTAATAGGGATTCAACCAAGCCGAAGATAACGGCCCAATAAGGGCTTATTGATAGCTTATGAACCACCAACAAACATCAACAAACCACCTGAAAAGGATCGAATTTTAATCATCTATATACCATTGGCTGAATAATGCTGAATATGTTGGGTCAAAATCTATAGTAACCGTTCTGAGTTCACCAAAAAGGCGGGGCTGTGATAACTGAACTTTGATCCCATCCGCGGCCGAATTCTTCAGCAGAGTTTTTCATTATGATGACACATCTCCGGATAAAATGGTTCACTAACTAACAGCACTTTAACTTTGTTTGCAACTGTTTTTTTTGTTTTTTAGCCATGTGACGGGCCAATGGAAAGTGGTGGGATGCTCTCAAATGATGTAGAATTCAGCCAGTTCTGTGGGGTTAGCCTCTAGAGTTCTAAATGAGGCGTAGGTAAGACGATCAATTCAGGTATGATTATTCGAAAGATCACGGGAGGATTAAGAAAAGTGTGTATAGACATCATAATATTGTATATGCATACTGCGTATATTGTATATATTGTATACACACAAATTACTGTATATATATATACATTACATATATATATATACATACACACACACATTTTTTACAGAGTTGGGTGAAATCTGGCATTTTTCATTCCCTTCCCCCCCTTGTCCCTCACCTCCAGTCAGGCTATGAAGTCTTGGGCGAGTCGCTGACCGACCTCTTGGCGACTTGGCGCGTCGTGGCAGGGCGACAACAACAAGGAAACCATGTAAAAACCACTCAAACAGCCTAATACCATTAAAACAAACACATATGAAACAACTCAAACAGCCTAGAACCATCTAGAACAAAAAAAATCCAGATGCTCTAGTTGTGCCTATGTAGTGTGCTCAAAGAGGCCCAGCTTGTTTAGCCGAAGTTTGACCCGGGTATCATGAAAAGTTGGGCGATCCGCAGTTGTGCCAAGGATTCCTCCAATTTGCTTGCAGAAGGACCGGTACCAAGTTGGCGCCTGAAGAGAACAGAAGAATGGGAAGAATGGAATGTCGAAAAAGCGACAGAGCCTTATGTGATATGGCCTTGGTCTTGTGACTTGGAGGATCTCCTACCAGGTAAGCACGAATGGTTCGATCTAAAATTATGGTCACATGCTGCAGCAACATGGTATACATGGACTATGCATTGTTGGTTGCCATGTCCCATATGCTCCATGGTATATGTTGAATCTGGGTGGTTTTAACCTTAGATTCGTTGGTTGAGTGGTTTCCACTCCAGCACACAGGAGCCTTACATGAGGACGACATCGTTTACGATGAACTTTACATCAAGACACAGAAGTGTCGCTATCAGTTCCCCGGCGCATGATCGTTGGGACTTTCCTGAGGGCAACCATGGTCAAACATGATAGTTAAAGCAGTGAACCAACCACCGCTGTTTCACTTTTTCTAAGATAAAATCAGTTTGCAAATTGTATGCTTGTTGTACACGTGGAATATGCCATATGATTGTGTGCTATACAAATAGATAGATATCATACGTGGGTTTTATTGGAGACGTAAAACACATAAGAATCAACACACAGTAGAACCATATTTCCCTAAACAGTTTTGTGACTTATTTGTTTGATATTGTATATTAATATTGTATTATTGTGGTCATTGTGATGATTTTGTCATCCATGACTTTGATGATTTGGGGGTTTAGGGAACCTCTACATGTAACAATATGTAATCATTTCTAATAAATATAGATATAACCATATCTAATCACATATATATATATTTCATATGGAACCATCATATGTCATATGTTCATAATATGTCCATGATATGTTAGGAAACTCTCATATCATTGTCATACACAAGTCAAGATTCATATCATCCATTAACGATCCATTATTGTTGGCTATACCCCTTGCTTACCATGTCAAAATCCCAAAATCTAGATATAGTCCCATATTGTAGGCTATATTCCCACAATATGTCCATGATATTTTTCAGAATTTGTTTTCAGGAAACCTCTCATATCATTGTCATATGCATGTCAAAATCCATATCATCCATTAACTATCCATTGTTAGCTATACCCCCTGCTTACCCCCATGTCAAACATATATATATATAACCTCCATAATCATTAATCACCATATATCATATATAATCAGATATAATCATATCTAATCATATATAATCATAATCATATAGAACCATCATATCATATATCCATAGATAGTTTCCATGTTAGGACACCTGCCATCAGGATGTCAAACTCCCATGCCATCAGGATCTGCCACGTGCGCTCCGCGGAGCAGTGCCTAGCCCTGCTGCACCTGGCGCGCCGAAGGCGCACCTCAGGTCCGGCCTGCAGCGTCCTGTTTTTTTAGGGCAAAAACACGTGGATTTGACGGTAAAACATGTGGATTTCAACAACAAACACCTACTTATAATATCTTATAATAACTATGAAAACTGTGATTCAACAATGATTTTTACTGTGATAATGATTTAAACATGAGAAAACCAGTGACTTAACTATGAGACAATGGGATTTTGACTGTCAATAATGATGGCTTCACCGTCAAACATGACTATTTCAGAAGTGCGACTGGTGATGCAAATGTCAAGCATGTGAAATGCATTCGGAATGTTTGAGGCCACAAAGGGCATGCCTTTTTTTCTCGCCAGCAATTGAACGAAGATTTTCACCAGCAACAATGATGGGTTTGTCAAATTATGGGATGTGTACTCGGTGATTGAATCATCAAAATGAACCCGCTATTAACATGAACGAGCTATCATGAAGATTGGGTCCGAAAATAGAAGTGATATTCTACTGTAAACCTGTGGGATTTGGGAGTGCCATTGTTTCCGTTTTGCGTGACTAAGTTCCAGTGCTAAGATGTTTCAAAAAGCGACGTGTGTTTGCTCGTGATGTTCTCGCCATGCTATTGTTAAGTTTATATACCCATATTACTCCATTAAACATGACAGATGTGTTTATCCACCATTAAGAATTCCAACTCTGCCCATTCTGCATGATCAATATAGAGAAATAAAAGTATATAAGAGTTGTCTAATATCCTCATGTTGCACTGATTTAGGTTTCTCAAAAAATCTCTATTTGCGCGTGACGTGATGCTGAAATCCGCATGAGTTTCCCCAGCCCCGCAAGGCGTGTCCTCGCAGAACAGTGACTCCTCGAGGTGCGCAATGGAACCTCCATCTATAAATGGATGGGAACTGGGGCCCCATGACTTAGGAAACCACCAATATATGAATTCCATGAAAAAGATGTTTAAGATGTTTAAGATCAATGTGAATTCCCCTGAAGTTATAAGATTCCTCACAGTCAATTCTCCAAAGCTCCTAGGAAGCTTTGACAATCTTGATGACGTTTGGAGAGATTGAACTTTGTTAGTTTCTCCATGGGGTTGCAATTCCATATGTTTTTGCTCTCAACAGCTGATCTTTTCAGTATGGAAGGGAAGTTGTGTCACCAGTGGATGAAGGAGGGACACTCACCGAGAAGCAATGGTCGCGGGTCATGTCGTCACCCAAACAATGAAATGGGTCCGTGTAGAACCATGTAGACTATCAGTTTGGGTTGGTAAAAATGGGTAAATGACCAACATATACCAACACAACATGGCTTATGCTTCAAATTGATCCTCTTGGTGCCCATCTCCCATACATTGGCACCTTGGATGAAGCCGTGGACCCCGTGCTGCGATGTGCTTTAGGTCACATGCCATCGTGCACCTCTTCGTTCAGCAGCCCGTCAGATCGATGGCATGTTTGGAGTGCTCTCCTGTTCGACCCCAAGAGTTTAAGCATGCTTATTTTAGTAAGTCTTGTTCACATTGTCTAAAGTTACCCATTACTCTAATTGTGTATATATATATACGTTATATACATATGTCAATATGCACACATATTATGTATAATATATATATACATATGTATAAGTATATGTATATATATATTTTACATATGTATAATATCTATATATGTATGTAGATCCTCAAAGTCCCCAGCGAAACGGGATCAAAGTACCAAACCGAACGGGCTTGAAACACCTGACAAAAAACCGCCTTTGTGTTTCCCCAGCTGGCGAGCTCAGAGGCTGACGCCAAAATCACCAATGGGTGGTACAGTGGTACAGTCATGGGTGGTAAACATGGCATTGTTTTACCCACTTTATATGTATTAACCATGTATAGAATGTCAGACAAAACACCAGAATAATATAGAATAATAGAATATATGTCGAAATACATGTCAGATAAAATGTCAGGTAAGATGTGAGACAGAAATAATATTCCGCACAGACCCCGTGGTTTGCCCGGACTGCAAGATTGAGGATGCCCTGTTGTCGAATAGATAAGCGAACTTGCAGAAAATACTGCTTATACGCAATGTTTTCTGGTTTAGGATTCAGAGTTTGTAGGGTTTTAGGGCTAAGGGTTTTAGGGCTTTAGGGTTTAGGGTTCGGCGTTTGGGAATACCAAAACACTGCCCATGTGCAGGTTTTTGAGCATGTCGAAGGATAATATTTGAACACCATTCGAACCTTGCGGGCAAACCATAGGGTCTTGCCGTAATATTAGAATATGAGAGGGGCTTGTTGCCAGCGCTGGAAAGTAGGCTTTCCTCATGTTCTTGAATCTATTGGGAAATGGTCGTGATCAAATAGGATGTTTAAAAAGAGGAGACCTGACCCAGAGAAAAACACTTATTCAGCTGCAAAATGCACTCCTTTAGAGCAATGGTAGTCATTAGGTTCAAAATATGGCAAATTCCAAGGATAAATTCCACCTTAGAAGAGAAAACAGGATATATTTCCTCTTATCGAATATGTATGTGACATAACATGTAAAATTACAGTGGATAAGTTCAGGTCATGTACTTCTCATAAACATAAGTTATCCCTCTTCTTGTGTGGCACACATCATGAAAATTGGAAATATATTGTTTGAAACCTGGGGATACACTTTCCATATGATTGTGGTACAATACCACATTCTTTTGAAATAAATGAACAATCGTTGAAAACACAATCTTAATCTACAAGGCCTGTTTCAGTTAGAAAAGTAAGGGAAACTCCCTGGTGTGTTCAAACAGGTTGTGGATATGTTCAATAGTTTTGGTTGCCCTTGATGCAGTGCCACCAGTATATATATATATATATATATATTCAAGCAAAAATCGACCACACAACCTGATGCTATATTTTCTTTGTAGCCAGGTGGTATCACACCAATGCCCTGCCATGGCGCAGTCTGTCACAATTAAATTAAACATATATTCTAATTGATTGTGGACGAACATATAATGTTACATGAACAAGACTTGTAGTTTACTAGTTTGAGTTGCACAGCACTGCAATTGTCCAAAAAGGAATATAGAACCTATCCCATCTATTGCGTTTTGCATCTGTGCTACATTTCCAGCAAGTAATGCTCCCCTTCGAAGCTGGTGATTGCTATGAGCTATCGCAGATTATTTTTGAAAAAAACTCCCTTTGAAGGATGTTTTTTTGAAAAAGACACTAGTTCTCTTCAATATGCATTGTATTTTGAGTGCAGTATTCCTGTCTCCCTTTTTTATGATGGAACTAGTTCCTCAAACAGATACATGTTCCTTTAAAGAATAATGTTGACGCAAAGCTGCAGTCATTTGTTTAAACAACAGAACAATATTGTTGCATAGTATGAATCAAGTGTATAATGTTGCAGATTACGAAATGTGTCTACTGAAGAAGTATAACCCCCTTCCAAATCCAGCTCGTATCTATGCTTGAAGCTAACACATTTTTTAAAAGATAATGATGTCACACTTCTTTCAAAAAGACCCAGCTATCTTGTTTTTGGCAAGTAGCACCATTTATTTGTCAAGTCCTTGTCCTTTCCTTTGGAAATGCATCCCATTCATTTGAAGGAAAGGCTTCACAGTTGTCCTTTATGTTTGAAAGTAACACAAATTTTCTGAAAAGAATGTGATGCTGCTTTTAAAGACGCCCAATTGCCTTCTATTTGGGAAGGAACACCAATGAACAGAAGTAGATAGACGAGTGTTGACAGAAGCTTCCGGCATGTTGGAGCACAGAGTTAGAGTAACTTGACAGACATTGACAGACAAGATTACTTATATAGGTTTAATCTAGATTAATCTGGCTTAATCCTAGATATCAAAAAAAGCGGGAAAAAACTCGATCCAAGTAGTTCCCAAAACATTGTTTTGTTTGACTGTCTTGTTTGTTTTTTGTTGTTTTTGATTCTTTTGTTTTTTGTTTTTTGGTCAAGCGTGCCTTAGTGACAACGCAAACCTCCTTAAAATAGGTTGGTTGACAGCGCGAAACAACCACTTTTATCCCAAATAAACAATAATATATAAACATTTGGTGATTTCAGCGCTGGCAACAAGCCTTTCTGGAGAATATATGTAACATGTTTGAATATATGGCAGACAGAAGGCCAGATAAAACGTCATATAGAAAGCCAGAATATTTGACAGAATAGAATCATACATCAGATGTCCGATAGAATGTCAGAAGATAAAAGTTTGAACATATATATATATATATATATCACACATAATGTGGTAATATGTAAGTCAGATAGAATGTCAGATAAAAATGTGGAGGGTTTGTAGCTGTCCAAAAAGAGCCCCATCTTTTAGGACTCCTCAGCGCAATGGAGCCGCGGCCATTGGGACTTTGACCCTCGTGGACCTCGCAGGGACGGAGAAGGAGCTGGGGCCCGTTGGTGGAATCACAGCACGAAAAACGTGGGTTCAAAATTGCCTAAGAATTTCTGGTTGGTGGTGACTGGAACATGAATTTTATTTTCCCCAGTAGTTGGGATGATGATCCAATCTGACAAATATTTTTCAGGGGGGTTGAAACCACCAATCAGTGTGTATATATATATATATCAATATGAAGCACTAGGTAATGCGGCGTGCAAACCAGATCAGTATAGGGTTACCAATTCCTAAAACCATTGCAGGAATCTATGAGGAAAATTAGAAGAATACCAATTTGGGAAAATACCAATGTGTTTGTGGGATTAGTATGGGGAAATACCAATCTTGCATTTGTGAAGGTGATTGCTTCTATTTCCACATTGGTAAAACCACAATGTTGGGGAATCTGAGTTTTTTTTTGTTTGGGCCATCTTCTGCAGATTCCAGGCCGATAAGAGGATTATACCGCCTAGTTGTGTATGGATTATGCAGCTTACCATGAATCATTCTTGGAACCCCTAAGAACCAGATAATGTGGTATGGTCACGGTCATGATATATTGGAGTAATACTCATTATTGTAATAGTTTGTTTCTCTGGTAAACACCACAATTGGAGGTTTGCTAAAATGGGCGAATACAGTATCAAGCATCCCAAATTATCCCAAATTCGTAGAGCCATATGGGGCACTGTGCCATGGTCAAGATCGTAGTTTGGGGGTGGTCTTCCCAACTGCAGGAAGCTCTACAGCCCTGTCTTTTTTTTTCGGATTCCCGTGGTGGGACAACAGCAACGGCAGGAACAGGAAAATCCCTCAGAACAGGGTCGGAAGTCAGCGCGACTTCTGAACACCTCCCTTTGCTCGTTGAATCGCCTGCTGCGAAAACTGCAGGTGTGTGCAGGGTGCGCAGGGGGGTTGTTGGAGGGCTGAAATGAAGCATTGAAAATCATATCCACATTGGTTAGTCAGTAATTATAGTATATTATATATATATATATATATATACATAATATGTATCTTGTCAAGTTGCAGGATTTATTTGAGATCGAATTTTTGCTGTACCCAGGCTGACCCGTGCCCAACTTAACACCGATTAGTCGCACCAACAGTCAATGGCAGGACCTATCCTGAATTGCATCAAGTAAGTGGATCGTGTAAATAGTGCTGTTGTGAAAAAACCATTTAGTGCATGGTTGCAAGTCTCCTGTATTGTTGACGTACAATGTCGAAAGTATATCCGTGAACATGTTTGATTGTTGTTGGTGCAACATGTTGTTTTTTGGCAGTCATACCACTCTGCCAGATGGGATGCCTAGACGAGTCTGAGCGAAGGCTGTGGACGTGATCCAGAAATGGGTGTGTCAATTTGGATGCAGAAAATGATGAGAAACCAAATTGGATTTGTGGGTAATTAGTTCATTTTCATATAACCCCAAATGGATCTACATGGTGGGGCATGTTTCTTGCTTGTTCACCTCATTTCTCTTCAACTATTTGCCATTTAATCTTTGAACATGTAGGATATACATTAGGGTTGTTTTTTGTTTGAGTATTGCCAGCCTGCCTTGTTCCAGTTGGTATGGCATGAAACGCGTCTATATAGATAATTATTGATACTTGTAGACACTTTGCAAACATCAATCAAACGTTTGCAAGCATCAAATCGGTCCAATGTCTACAAAAGGCACAAGCTTCACATCTGTTTATTACATGCTATTAATAGTTAATCGGGATTTTGTGGGGATATGAATATTGAGAACGTACACCCAAAGAAATGTAACATATGCCTCTGGTGTCATCAAACATGGCTGGCTGAAAAAAATGCGATAAATACGGAGGTTCATAGCTGGAAACATCGTCAAATATGGGATTTTCCAGCAAGCCCATGGGATATGGGAAGCCAGGGCCATGGCTCGCAGGCAAAGTGTGCTGAACAAATGTCTCTGGGAATACCTCCGGCCGGGCTGCGGAATAGCGCTGATCTTCTGTGTGAGCCCTTTGCATCTGGGATTTGGCGCGATGCGCTGGGGGGGTGGAGATTCAACCCCCTGAAAGGTGACGCTACCACTAAGGCACTAAGGGTCAACTGCCACCCTCTGGTATAGTATTGGGAGTGTCACCCATGTGGTCGGAGACTTATATAGGTGCCGGGGGGATTTTGAGAGGTGGTGTCGAGATTTTTTTTTTTTGCGGTTGCCTATAAGGTTACAGCTCGCGTCATTTGATCAGAATCTCTGCCATGAATGTGAGGCGTGGCTGAGAGAAACACAACATGTTCGTCCACAATTTCTGGGAAAGTCCAAATTTGTTGGAACTGGGTTGAAACACCAAGTCAGGAACTCATACGAAAATGACGTAAGATTACCAATGTTGACACTGTCACACCCTATCAAAACGTGGTCTTTGTATGTGGCATCCGTATCAGATGGTTTTTGATATCTACCATTCAAACCCAACAATGTGTCATGTGTTAATTTTGAAAGGGTATACTGTACTGACCTTGACTCATATGATACATACGAATTGTATTTACAAGTTATGTCACATATGTTTGCACCAAGTACATAGTAACCCAGAAAGACCCTGTTGAATTTACCACCAAGACCTAGAGTCAAATTGTGCATGTCATGTTTTCATTATGTTTTCTGGAGGATGCTATTTTTCAATCCCCAGAATTCCATGATGGTCCCATTTCTTAACGGGTGCTACAAAGCACTCATATGAAATAGACCCATAGTTGCTGGTCCTACTTGTTAAGTAGATGATAATTACCCTCTGGATCCCTCTGATTATTCAACATAGCCATGGAAATTGGCCCATTTATAGATGATTTACCTATTACAAATGATGATTTTCCAAGGCTATGTTAGTCATAACCAGATGGTATACTACTGAGAGATTCAGCCAGCAAGAAAAACAGCCCTTTGGATCCAACTGTTTGAGAACATCTGACCCGGATATGATGACTGGGGGGATTTAGCTCTTTGGATCGTGGACTTGTGGCGGATATATCATGTATAGTGAGATTGAGGCTTAAAGGGGGTTCAACCAATCAGTTTGTAGGATTGTGATCTTTTTTTCATGGATTGATATATATATATAATTCTAATTATATACATACAATATCTGTAGTATGTAGTATATATATATGATTATGATGATAATCAATGACTACCCAGTGGATTTACCAGGACAATTACCATGATTTAGCGTTGCTGAGGCTCCAGCATCGAAGTGCGAGCCTCTCGACCCTGGCCATGGCCACGGACGAACGGGGGCAGACATGGGGCAGACATGACGAAGCATGGGGATTTGATGGCTATGGGCTGGGATGGCTATGTCATATTTATATGATTTTATATGTTTTATATACATAGATATCCCCCAACTTAATGGCTATGGTAATGGTACCTTCAACTTAATTAATGTTTGCATCTGATTAGTGTGAGGGGGCCCCCCCCCCCCAAAACAATTTGAGGATACTCTATAACTCGCACTTTTTTTTGCCCCCCCTCAACATTTTTTTGGTCAATCAAATTAAGAAAGGATTTCAATTTACTTTCAATTGATTTCCATTTACTTTCAATTGATTTCAATTTACTTTTAATTAATTAATTTACTTTCAATTGATTTCAATTTACTTTTAATTTACTTTCAATTGATTTCAATTTACTTTCAATTTACTTTCAAGTTACTTTTAATTTACTTTCAATTGATTTCAATTTACTTTCAATTGATTTCAATTTACTTTTAATTTACTTTCAATTGATTTCAATTTACTTTCAATTGAATTTTTTAATTTACTTTCAATTTACTTTCAATTTACTTTCAATTTACTTTTAATTTACTTTCAATTTACTTTTTGAAATTTACTTTCAATTGATTTCAATTTACTTTCAATTGATTTCAATTTACTTTTAATTTACTTTCAATTGATTTCAATTTACTTTTAATTTACTTTCAATTGATTTCAATTTACTTCAATTGATTTCAATTTACTTTTAATTTACTTTCAATTTACTTTCAATTGATTTCAATTTACTTTTAATTTACTTTTATTTTTTTTCACTCCCAAAAGTTGGTGCTCACAATAGAGTACCATCCAAACAATTATATTATTGAGTAACTGAGCCACTCATGAGGTACCCCCTTGAAAAATTGTCTGATGCTGTTTTTTAATAAGGGTTTAATAAGGCATCTAATTATTTGGAAAACCTTGCATTTTAAAGCTTTAACACAAATATAGCTTTCTAAAGTAAAGGCACCAGCTTTACCCAAAGAAAGGTGGAGAAAGGGTTTTGTTTTTTTTTTCACTCCCAAAAGTTGGTGCTCACAATAGAGTACCATCCAAACAATTATATTATTGAGTAACTGAGCCAATCATGAGGTATCCCCTTGAAAAATTGTCTGGGTGCTGTTTTTTAATAAGGGTTTAATAAGGCATCTAATTATTTGGAAAACCTTGCATTTTAAAGCTTTAGCATAAATATGGCTTTCTAAAGTAAAAGGACCAGCTTTACCCAAAGAAAGGTGGAGAAAGGGTTTTGTTTTTTTTCACTCCCAAAAGTTGGTGCTCACAATAGAGTACCATCCAAACAATTATATTATTGAGTAACTGAGCCAATCATGAGGTATCCCCTTGAAAAATTGTCTGGGTGCTGTTTTTTAATAAGGGTTTAATAAGGCATCTAATTATTTGGAAAGCCTTACATTTTAAAGCTTTAACACAAATATGGCTGTCTAAAGTAAAGGCACTAGATTTACCCAAAGAAAGGTGGAGAAAGGGTTTTGTTTTTTTTTTTATCACTCCCAAAAGTTGGTGCTCACAATAGAGTACCATCCAGACAATTATATTATTGAGTAACTGAGCCAATCATGAGGTATCCCCTTGAAAAATTGTCTGGGTGCTGTTTTTTAATAAGGGTTTAATAAGGCATCTAATTATTTGGAAAACCTTGCATTTTAAAGCTTTAACACAACTATGGCTTTCTAAAGTAAAGGGCCAGCTTTACCCAAAGAAAGGTGGAGAAAGGGTTTTGCTTTTTTTTTCACTCCCAAAAGTTGGTGCTCACAATAGAGTACCATCCAAACAATTATATTATTGAGTAACTGAGCCACTCATGAGGTACCCCTTGAAAAATTGTCTGGATGCTGTTTTTTAATAAGGGTTTAATAAGGCATCTAATTATTTGGAAAACCTTGCATTTTAAAGCTTTAACACAACTATGGCTTTCTAAAGTGAAAGGGCCAGCTTTACCCAAAGAAAGGTGGAGAAATGGTTTTGCTTTTTTTTCACTCCAAAAAGTTGGTGCTCACAATAGAGTACCATCCAAACAATTATATTATTGAGTAACTGAGCCACTCATGAGGTACCCCCTTGAAAAATTGTCTGGATGCTGTTTTTTAATAAGGGTTTAATAAGGCATCTAATTATTTGGGAAACCTTGCATTTTAAAGCTTTAACACAAATATGGCTTTCTAAAGTGAAAGGGCCAGCTTTACCCAAAGAAAGGTGGAGAAAGGGTTTTGTTTTTTTTTCACTCCAAAAAGTTGGTGCTCACAATAGAGTACCATCCAGACAATTATATTATTGAGTAACTGAGCCACTCATGAGGTACCCCTTTGAAAAATTGTCTGGATGCTGTTTTTTAATAAGGGTTTAATAAGGCATCTAATTATTTGGGAAACCTTGCATTTTAAAGCTTTAACACAAATATGGCTTTCTAAAGTGAAAGGGCCAGCTTTACCCAAAGAAAGGTGGAGAAAGGGTTTTGCTTTTTTTTCAATCCCAAAAGTTGGTGCTCACAATAGAGTACCATCCAAACAATTATATTATTGAGTAACTGAGCCACTCATGAGGTACCCCTTTGAAAAATTGTCTGGATGTTGTTTTTTAATAAGGGTTTAATAAGGCATCCAATTATTTGGGAAACCTTGCATTTTAAAGCTTTAACACAACTATGGCTTTCTAAAGTGAAAGGGCCAGCTTTACCCAAAGAAAGGTGGAGAAAGGGTTTTGTTTTTTTTTCAATCCCAAAAGTTGGTGCTCACAATAGAGTACCATCCAAACAATTATATTATTGAGTAACTGAGCCACTCATGAGGTACCCCTTTGAAAAATTGTCTGGATGCTGTTTTTTTTAATAAGGGTTTGATAAGGCTTCTAAAATAAAATTAATTAAAACTAATCATAAATACAAAAATAATTAAAAAGAAAAGTAAAGTTAATTAAAGCATTTGTTTTTTTTTTTAAAACAAATCTGGAAAAAAATTCTCACAATAGAGGCCCCCCCCAACAATTGGCATGTGACTGAATTAGGAGCAAGAAATTTCTCACAATAGGGTACCATCTCTTTAATCAGGTGCAAACATTACAGGTTGAATGGGGTAAATAGTTGGGATATTCATATATATATATATACATATGTATATACACACAGTATGTATATACATATTCTCCAGCAGATCAGATCCAGGGATGCACGGATACGAGGATGCAATGGAGGCCCTAGGAACAGTTGGAGAGTTCTGACTTCCTCTAGGATCATGGCCCTATACCCAATATTACCCTATCTACCCGACAAATATGGAGATTTGAGCGATTTGAGCAATGCACATGGCATGCCGAAGCATACTGGTTAAGCAACATTAATTGTACCTGCAAACACTTGGGACGTACCGAAAAATCCCTGGTTTGGGAGCTATATATATATATATTATATATATATATATATATACTACCAACATCTACCGAAGTCTAGTGGATTTCGTCACCATATCGATGTTTTTCACATGTTTACCCCCGTACCACAGAGGACAGCAAAGCCATCCACAGCCAGCGAAAGAGTCAATACATCCCCGTGAGCCCACGAGTTTGGACCTCGGTTGATGGTCCAATGGTGGACCGATGGGGATCATAGCGAGTCGCTGGATTGGTTCAAGGGAAAATCTACAGGAAACCATGGTTTTCCTCGTGAAATATAGATCAATTGTGGTTGTTTTTTCTATTTTTTTTTCCTTAAACCAATCCAGAGAAACAAGTATTAAACATAGAGAGATTTTATCTGGGTATAGCGGTATAACCTTAACCAGCAAAAAATAGAAAGCTAGTGAGTTACTGGATTTTTTTCATGTGGTTTTTACCCTTTGATGAGGACATGATTCAAGAATGCCCTCTGGAAATTTAGGACGCACAGCTATAGAGACGCCCTGGTAGCCATACCAGAGGATGATGTACTGGATCGTTGGTTTTTTATTGTGATGGCATTCGATGGCTATCTGAGTTTACTGGAGGGTACCCTATTGAAAATGGCCATTTATAGTGAGTGTTCCCATCAAAAATTGTGATTTTCCATAGTTATGTTAGTTTACTGGAGGGTAATCCATGATTATGACTTTACGAGCAAATGAGTCATGAAAACTTTCCCGGCATAGAATTGATTTGTGTGTTGTGGGTTATACATTAGCTATATGACTCATGGATTACCCTTAGAATTGTGGATGAACAAATCCACTGTTTCTCTTTCTGATTTAATCCACAATTCGACGGATAATCCATGAGTCACACTGTTTTCTTTTCGGTTTGTCCAGTTCGAATCTGGGTGGGTTACAGTGAGCAAAAACCATGTGGATATTGATCAATTGAACACGCTTAAATAGAACGAACATTGACCGATTCAGCAACTACGATTCAGAAAGGATTTCGCTCGGTTCAGCGACTACCCCGATTCAGCAATGATCTCGCGCGATTCAGCAACTACAATTCAGCAAGCATTCAAAATCCCTGGTTCACCCGTTCACCCTGAAGTACGATGTACGGCCCATTTGGTGGCTGGAGCCATCCTCATGTAGGCATTGCCATCCCCAATAGAGGTTTATTGTTGGGTATGCCGCATGCCCTATATTTGATGTAAAATGACCCCCAGGTGTTTGGTTAATCGGTGTTCATGGGATAGTCTATTGTTGGGTTTACCACATTGAACGTTTGTAAGTTGTGGCCTTGGGCCACGTAGTGGGTGTAGTGCAAGTAACCAGCTAAGTCCTGGACTATCTTGGACATACAGACTCCAGGAATCGTGGCACAGGAAAGGAGTGGAAGTGGAACCACTTCACCACTTCCAAGCTGTGATTCACATTGCAAGATTGTGCCCCAAGAACTTAGCTTTGCTCGGTTAACTCCAAGATTGCTCGGGTTTGTAGTAGATAGATCTATAGTTAGATGGGTTTATCAACCAACAAACCTAAGTGGGGGGCACCACATCCAGAGTAGGACGAGATTGGATTCCGTGTTGAGAACCATGAGCTGGGGGCCGAAAAATTGTGTCTTTTTTTCCCACTGGTTTGGTTCATTGAGCGGTACGGGTAGCCCTGAATAATTTCTATAAGAGATGATGGCATGGTTCCCCATGCAGTTCCCCATCTCCATTCTTGCTACGGACATCATGGTTTCGGACTAAGTCCGGGGCACGGACAGTTCTCTCCAGCCATTCCGAGGCTCAAAGCACCTCGCCGACTGCAGGCCCAGTTGGGGGATAGGACTCGTATATGGACATGGTGGCGGATAAGAAGCAGTCTGAGTCTGGATATAGTCGCGTTTGAAGGCCACAGAAAACGCACATATGATCTACAAAAGAAAAGACACCGTGTTTCCCACCACGTCCTGTGCAATGATTGTGTGTAGGTCAGGTTTGATGTGAGGCAAGGCACGATCATTTGCATGTGTTGGGTTTTTTTAGCGGTGTAAGATGTCATTTTCAGAGGTCTATCCCCATTTGTTGTTGATTTGTTTCCTCAAATATCAGCATCAAGCACTCAAATTCAAGATGCTGTTCTGTTCTCTATTGACTTCTATTGGATCCATTCTTGCATCCCAAGTTTGGGGTCGATGTTTTTTTTTCCCACATGCCATAAAGCCCAAAAAGATGCCAATTTCAGTAGTTTGATGATGTTCTCCCCAACTTTTCGGCATCTTTTAGGAGGTTGCTACAATCATCTACAACCAATATGTGTTAAAAGATGATCCCACTTGATAAACGGATAATAACATGTGACAACCAGAATTACAACATATGACAACCACAATAACTATGGAAACATAAATTCATGTCAACCCATTTTTTTAACCCTGGTTGATAAAAATTCTGGTTCCCCCATTTATCGTGATTTTTATGGCTGAAATGGTACCCGTTTATCAACAGCCGAAACGGGGTTAGGCACCTCTCCACGTCCTGTGCCTCCGGCGCCACGCCCGGAGCGCACGCCGAGGCCAAAACACAGGGGGTCCAAGTCGTGGATTCATCAAACATCCATAGAAATCCAGGGTTTATTTGGGGATGGGTCAAAACCTATCAGGACCTAAACATACTATATCACACTACATATATATATAATCTATATATATATATTATATATATATTGTATATATATATATATCTATATAAGTCCTATAGTAGTCCTATAGGTGAGATAACCATCCATTTGCCAGCTATTTTGAGGTTGAGTCCTGAGGTTGAGCTGGATTTTGGTTCATAGCCATTTAGGTTTGTGGGAACGTGGAGTACACAAAAAGCGAATATCAATGGAATATCGTAGTTTTTCCCCTTTCCCTTTAAATGGCATTTTGCGGGTATACCCCAATTTCAGGCACACACATTGATTGGTAGGACTTTGAGATACCTTAAGTATTTTAAGTATGCTTTTTTTGCATGATTAAACTCTATCCATGAATATTTCGTAGAACCGTGTATAGTAAAATTACATTTCATGTATATAATATATTAATAAATATATATATATATGGTGTATTATCAGCAATCATCATACACTGATCTTGCAGATCATATATGTGTTTATATAGCTGATATTGGCATGAGATATTGTAGCTAGTTTTATGGTTGATAGGCCCCCCGGGGGGTGAAATTCATGATTTCTTGTAATGGACAATGGAATGGTGGCAGCCGCTCGCTGAACACATGGTTTTCCAGAAATTTGACGGTTTATCATCATGTTCTCAATAAAATACCTGAGTGCAAACCCCATGTTCAGACAAACCCAAATCAATCAATCTGTGGAACATCATCCACTCGGCACATTGTAACGTCCAGTGTGGTGTACGTGGGTTTGGCGTTTTCGTATCCTACGGATTGCCATCAGAAATTTACGACAAAATGATGGCCACATGGCACCCCAAAACCGAATTTTGAGGATATGTTTTCTCTCGCTAGACATAATCCCATCCCCTCAATCTTTTTGGGTTCCCATATATGGGGGTTCTTGAATATCACGGGATGTGGAATTTTCTTGTGCCGGATGTTTGGGCCTTGACCCCCACAAAAGATGCTGCCAGGCGGCCCCCGGAGGACCGTTTTTTTTTGTTTGTGACGCCTTGAGGTTTGAATTCTACCAACATTCATGGGGATTTGCCACGCAGTGAACAAACCAGACGATGTACTTTGATGGGGATATGATAGGATCTGATATGACTAAGCCCCACAAGTGATATGTTCATGTAAAGCATTGGAAAGAACACACACGCGCACACACCATTTTTTTGAGGGGGTACAAGGTACACCATCTTCATGGCTAGAAGGTTCGAGGTCCGCCATTTCAGTCTTTAGATTTGCTGACACACTGGAACATGTATGAGTTTCAACCATGTTTTACCCCAACATGGCATGGAAAAAACATTGAATAACACATGAAAATCCTGCAGATGTTCCAGGCAAAAAACTATGAAAACAATATGGAAAAACTGCAGCTTTTCCGCAGGAGCTCACCATGGACCCAGCGAGCGCTGGAAGCTCAGGACTGATAGTTACATTGGTGTATATTGAAGCAACCCCCACATAGAAAGCTGGACACGTAAAATTGGCCGAAATCATAGTAAATATCATCGAATTACCATCCTGGAAACATGGTTCTATTTTTTTTTAAGTGTTTGGGGGATTACAAAATTTACTGTTTTATACCTAGTCCAACTGTTGGATTTCGTGTAGATATATCTATAATTTGATGGGGACCTTCAAACCTTTACTGGTTGGTGGTTTGGACCATTTTTTATTTTCTCCATTCAGTTGGGAATTTCATCATCCCAACTGACTTTCACTCCATCATTTTTCAGAGGGGTAGGTATAGCACCAACTAGATAACTATGGGAAATCACCATTTGTCATAGGTAAATCACCATTTGTCATAGGTAAATCAACATGTTTAATGGTTGAAACCACCACCCAGTCATTGTTTCTTGGGCCTTGAAGGATCTCCGAGTGTTTTTTTTTGGGGGGGGTGACGTTTTTTCATCGCGACCAGATCTTCGTGGCGCAATCTGAGTTGGTGGGTTATCAGCGCTGGCGATTGATGGCCTTAAAGCAGCTTCTGGAATTCATTGGCAATTATCTTAAATATATATATATATATTATACCATTGACTGTTTGTATTCTTGCTCAATGTGAATGCGTATAAAACCAAAACATGAAAGGTTTGACTTGCTGGTGAAACATGTAGAGTCACCTGTTTATTCGTTGGTGGAATCATGCGTAGTCCCACTGCGTGTTGGTTAAAACCCCATTATTCACAGCTATATTACCCAGTGGTGTTGGTAGCCATTTTTGGTTTATCCCTTCCGTATGTGCATGTCAGTGTATCCCCCCAAGAAATTTCTTGATTTCCAGAGAAATATCCTTGTTATATATATATCCACTAGGGTATATATATATATACATATCCTCTAAAGAATGGGGTAACCCGGGTTGCGCCATTTTTTTTGATATTGATACTCCAGCCCGTTATAGGAAATTGAAGGCTAGAAGGGAGGGAACTTGTTAAATTTCGCCAGCATATTTACCAACATTTCCAATCTTTGTACTTGGGGTGTTGGGAGCAACCCTGTATCAATATCAAAAATAACCATTCTGGTCAACCACCAACCAGATAACTATGGGAAATCACCATTATTAATAGGTAAATCACCAACCAGTCATTATTGCTGTTATCTCTATTACTGCCGATATCTCTATTATTGACTGTGAATATGTTGTCGATCCCTTCGCCATCGCTCCATTGATGCTTTTAGATTTTCGCCCTGGGGCTTGAACATACTACTCATTGGTTTATTGTTGTTTTTTAATGTTTGTTGTTGTTTTTTTAATGTTTATTGATATTTATTGATATTTATTGATATTTATTGATATTTATTGATATTTATTGATGTAGACATTGGTTTATTGATGTGCCCCATGGGCATTTTTGACTCACCAACCTACGGCCAACCTACGGGGTTAACCATGTGATTAGGTGGAGGCCTCCAACTTCCGCAGGTGCACCGCGATTGATTTCTGGCTCTTTGCTGATTTCATCATCAAAAACATGGATAAACAATGTGGAGTTTACCGTGATTTTCAACATGTTGGGATGGTTGAACACAACGTGGATAGATGATATCTAGTTATTCCCTTAAGTGATGGTGTGTTTTAGCCATTTATGTTGGGATAATTGATGATTAGGATTATTTTTCTGCACATCCCACAAACTCACGAATTTCTTGTTCGTTTCCTTGTGATTCAGCATCATTGTTTCAGATCATATTGAACGTGTATGAATCATTCTTTGAAACTATAGACTACCCTCTGGTAATCCATAGCTATTGAAAATGGCCCATTTATAGTTGATTTACCTATTCCAAATGGTGATTTTCCATTGCTATGTTAGTTTACCAGAGGGTATACATATAGATTCTCCAAGGAAAATTCGGAAATTCCGCGGTGCCACAGTCGGAGCCACACACTTCCAGTACTTGTTTTTCTTGTATGCAGTATAATTACCCTCTGGTAAACTAACATAGCTATGGAAAATCACAATCTTTACCCTCTGGTAAATTAACATAGACCCTGCCAGATAGGCGTTGGAAGATTAGTTTCCATCAACAACATTGTGATTTTCAGGGTCTATGTATGTCTATGTTAATTTACCAGGTGGTAATTGGTAAATCTATTTCTATGGGCCATCGTGATACCACTTCCGGGTCCCTCGACTGCCGATCCCGCCAGGAAGCTGGAACGCAATGCTCGGCGCTACGAGCGCTTGCGACAGGAGGTGAATGTTGGGTCACCAGCAACGGGACAGGTTGACCTTGGGATATGAAGCGTCAAATGGTGGTATAGTATGGTTTAATATCCCAAGATATCCCAAGTATAATCAAGTACTTGGGGAGTCAAAATTTAAGATCCAGGGGACCACCGATATTAGTCGATTCTTAGTCTTAACATGTCTTAACTATCGATTGGGGTACCCAATGATGACGTAATACCCATATCAGGTTTATTATGATGATGTATAAGATGATATATAATATCCTATCTCAATGACTATCCTAGTTTAACCATGTGCAATGGGTATAGGCATTGGTTGGGATCCACAATAGTAAATTACTAATTACCATCTCCAATCTGTTGGTATACTAACCCCAGTTTAAACAGTGGACGTATGCTGGGCAAGTTACAACAACCTGGACGCCTGCACTGTAGATCATGCTTAATTAGACTGAGAAATGACCGCAACATGGAAAGTGAACGTGTTTCCCATAATCAGTGAACATGGTTCAAACAAAGAATAGATATGCTGGATGTAATCCGACTGGTTGTGATATCGATATCAACTTGGGGGAATTACCGTGCGCGATCAACCTCCCCACTAGTGGATCGTGGGCACCTGACACCTGCGTTGATTCGGTTGGGTCAAGTTCTACGTAGGGAGCAAGTACAGTAAACCAGATGATACCAGATGTTATTGAGAAAGGATGTAACATATTGTACCAAGGTGGTGTTTTCCCCAGTTATAAGTTGGTTTATAACCCCCATTGACTATATATCTCGTTGGTGATTTGGAACATTTGTATTATTTTTCCCATCATATTGGGAATGTCATCATCCCAACTGACTTTCACTCCATCATTCTTCAGAGGGGTTGAAACCAACCACCAACCAGATAACTATGGGAAATCACCATTTTTCAAAGGTAAATCACCGTTTTTAATGGTTGAAACCATAGACTTTGACTCTCCGAGTCTCCAATGCAGGTGGAACGTGCCCATGAAGAGTTGGCCAACGACAACCAGTCGCTGAAGCGCAGGATGACCCAGGGATTCGTGGTTGGATCATGGTGATTTGATATTAGCTGATCGTTATTGTTGTGATTTGATTATAATATATTATAATGGTGATCTGATAAATGGTGATCTGATGGATATACCATTTGGTTATTTAACATAGCCATGGAAAATCACCATTTTTTATAGGTAAACCATCTATACATGGACCATTTTCCATGGCTATGTTAAATAACCAGATGGTATTATAATGGTGATCTGATATATGGTGATCTGATGAATATAATGGTGGTTAATATGATTATATAATGGTGATCTGATTATGGTGGTGATTATGGAGTCTGATTCTTTACCCACATACTGTAAGTGATCTAAACCACAATCATGATGCGTGAATTATTCACCACAATATCTTTAAACATGAGGAATTCTTTTTATATCATTTTCATAGAGAAAACCTTGGTGAATGTCAGGTCGGATATCGGGTTATATAATAGGTCCTGCTTTCAGCGAGGGAGGATGTTACCACCAACGGCGTGAAGTTCTGCAAAGAGCATTTGACCGAAACAGGGCTCCTGTAGCTTCGACTGTAGACCAATTACATGATTTACTGCACGATAGTCATTTTGAGGGTTCCAGCTTGGTCAGATGGGGGCAGCATTCCTTAGGGCTTATCCCTTTGTGGGATTGGTAACTGGCCGAGTTTACTGTAGTTTTGAATACCGTACATCAAAAGCACCTTGAAATCGATGGGTCCTATCAACTCCTCTGAACGGTGAAGCTAAATAGTTGAAAGATGTGTTGAAAATGCATGCCATTTTGATGAGATCCCACGTGTGGATGTTTCATGACAATTAGCAGTTGGACTATATGTGGTAGTTGTAATTGCAAAAATGTATCACCACCCCTGGCAAATCCTAATGGCTTGGAATATCTCCTTGCAACAGGTTGACATTCCCAGTTCATACCCACTTACCTCTAGCAGTTTAGTGCATTCACTACTCGTACCATCTATGTCCTGAATTGGCTTTGGTCATTCTTGAATTTTCCAAATATTCCCATGTCATAATGTCGTTATTTTATCTCGGAAACCATGGTTTCGTATGGTTTCGTGGCATCTACAGTCATGGCCCATACAGATATAACTGGGATGAACTAACTCCACTAAGATATACTAAGCATTACTAAGCCAGCTGTATACTAAGCTGTAACAGGTAATATGAAATCATCCCATGGCCAAACCTATTTGGGCCATCCTTTCCGGGCCGATGCTGTCGATGCTGTCAGGTGAATGTGAATCTCTCCGCGCTCTCTTCGTGCGTCAGCAGCAGCAGCACATCGCCTTTTGGTCGGGACCGTTCCTGGTGCGGAGCACCCAGTGACGGCCGCATGGCCCGTGGCGTTGCCGCCGTTTTTTTCACATGTGTTTGAAATTCCAATGGCAAAAGTGGACATACTCAAAAAAGTAGCCGAAAAAAATGCTTAAGAACGTGAATCACAAATCACTGAACATAACTGAACTAATATGATGTATACACATTGTACAGTAAAAAAACTATATGAAAATGCAGGGATTTCACCGGAAATGGTCGTGAACTCTGGAGGGTCCATCCCCTGCCTCAGGGGATGGTTTTTATTAATCCACGACGAAGTCCCTACAGATACCGAATGCTATTAGCATCATTAGAATAGTTCATCGTATCACATATATAATTATCGTGATAAGTATCCCATTATATGGGGTATATCTCATTATATCACATGGTCATCCATAGTGGGAATCCCCATAATTTTTGTATATCCTGTTGTTTGGGGATTCCCACTATGGATGACCATGTGTTGAAAAATGTTTTGCATGACAAGGATACAAAAAAATCAGAGTAATTGAGTATCGTCAAATTCTCAGATTCGTCCATTTTTCAGAGTACTTTGAGGGTCAAGTCAAGGCCTCATCCGGAGCTGTGTGGGAGATCAAGTTAGAAATCTCAGCACATGACATGTTTTTACCATCTGAGCTGTTGGACGCGGCCATGGCGCTGTCGAAAAGTGCAAGAACCGCCGTTCCTGGATCGCAGTGAAGCACCGAAAGTTCATCATCCACAAGTGGATGATGCGACCATCGTGGATTACGTGGATGATGTGGATTCTGATGGGAAAAAACTAAAAAAACACAACAAAATCTGGAAGTTGAAGGGAAACGGAGCTATTGGCGATCTGCATGGAGCTCTTGGTACCGATGGCTACGCTGATGAGCTATGGCCAGCGGCTACAGGAGGCCTGGGCTGGGTGAACCCTGTGCCATAAACGCATAAACCTATCGTTTCAGGATGGTTTATACTATACCATGCTGTATGGTAATATTATGTATAAACGTAGTATTGGGGATGATTTGCTATTGGGTTTACCACATTACCTTGTTCTGAACATACATTCGCTGTTGATTTGAACTTGTTTTTCTTCAAAAGGGTGCGGGCTACATGACAATTCGTTTGTACCAAGCAACAAAGACGTGTCTCTATTGTTTTCCCCAAGAAAAACGTCGATCCATTCCCAGATCCACAAAGAACTTGCATCCGCTGGGAGAACTTGGGGAACTCTGAAGACCATCAAGCCGCTTGGAGGATTTCTGGGCAACCTTGGCAGGAACCGATGATTGTATTACTCTGCAGGCAAGAAGTGGTGATCTTGTTGAAGCGCCACTGGGAACCTGACTTGCTGCTTTGCAGCTGTTTCAATATGTCCTACAAATAATGTACCTATGTTTTATATTGGCAGTCTACTGTGCTTGTGAAGTTAGCTTGGTTGTCTCGCCACATTTTTTTTCAGTTCTTTTTCAACACTTGCAACCTCAATTTAGCAAGTCCAAGGCAAAGCTTGTTGGTCGCTTCTGTGGATTCAAATTCTTCGGATGAGCATTTCCTCACGCCACTGCACGTTGCCTGTGCCGAAGGGAATTTCGATACTTGGATGGTGGGTTGTTTTCAGTTTTTGGGACGTTGAAATCACGAAACCACCAATGGTTTTTGAAATGTCGTGCTCGTTGGTTGGTTTCAATTTCTGGCCTTCCGAATCGAATTGGATAATCCCAGCCGTTATCGCAAAAGCATTGGATATTGACACATGATCCATCCGTCCATGTATGAATATATACAATATATATATATATATATATGGGATTATATATATATGGGATTATATATATATATAATTATATTCCAAAAACTGTTATCCAACCCCCCAGCAATCGGCACTCCACAATTCCTGTGAGTTTGTTGCACTACGCAATCGGGTGGATTCCTTGGAGTTGGCGAGACTGCTAGGGTGGATCCCTTGGTAAACTCAATGCCATAAACCCAAGATAAAATGGATGATTAAAAGAGGGGTACCCTCTGGTAAGCTAACAGTTAATGGGATTATTAATGGGATAGTTAACAATGGTATATTGAAAGTAACACTAATAGTCAATTAATGGGATACCCTCTGGTAATTTGTTACATAGCTATTGAAAATGGCCATTTATAGTGGATTTACCCAGCTGTAAAATGGTGATTTTCCATAGTTATGTAAACGTTTACCAGAGGGTACCATAATTCAATACATGGGTGGTACCATCCGCAAAAACACAGGCAATTGTTCCGTTGACCACATTGCATCTATTGTCTTGTTGATGATTGGGTTTACTCTATCCAGTGGTTAGGATGCAGCCAAGGAGCTTGGGGGTGCACTCCCTAATTTTCATGGGGAACCAAGGAGCTGGAAGTTGAGTTTCCCAACCACATCATGGTACCTGCAACAGGTTTAAGGGGTGCAACGCCGCATCATGCCGCATCTTTCCACCAGGAAATGGTGCGTTTGATCGTTTCTCACGGAAGCAGCGTGAATCGTTTGGACGTCCACGGCCATGGACCACTGTGGCATGCGGCGCAGCAGGGCCATGGTGAGATCATTCAGTTTTTGATTCAGGAAGGTGCAGTGGTGAATTCCATTGATCAGTTCCTTGTTCGCGAGTTTCCATGTACCCTCTTGTAATTTATACAATATATCAGTATGATGGAAAATCACAATGTGTAAATATGTTAATTAAAAAGGTAAATCATCTATAAATGGGACAGGTTCAAAGGCTATGTTAAATTACTGGAGGGTTATATATTATATTAAAGGGCTACGCCCTCTGCCGCCGACCCCTGGACACTGGAGGGTCATGCCTGCCTCTGTGTCGTAAGCATGAAATGAACCCTAAAGAAACCAGAAACTGACCTAAACAAACCATTTGTATGTGCGTTTGGCACTGTGCACATGCAAGCAGCATGGACCCCTGCAGGATGACACGCACAACTATGTGCTCTGACACTTTTTCATGGCTCAAGAAATAGGAGCTTTCGTCATTGGGCAGGTGTCTTGGGGACCTAAAGGGTTGCTCTAGCACTTGAGACCCATACCCGAAGCCCCCGTTCGTAACCGCAGTATGAAACTTTAAATGGCATCCTAAAGAGACCCGAGACGACACTGCACTGCCAACTGCCACCCTGCTCGTGTCCTCCTGGAGCCGGCTTTCGTTCTGCACCGCTTCGGTCCAAGCTGGAGTCCAAGGACCGTGTCGCAGGGCTAAAACACCATGGCAGTGAAGGACGGATTGGGCCGCGGCCCGTATCCCAGACTGCCAAACGTCACTTTCTGAGCCGACTAGAAACTAGCTCCAAACCTTGACTTTTCCTACGTTTCTGCACTGCCAACTGCCACCCTGCTCGTGTCCTCCTGGAGCCGGCTTTCGTTCTGCACCGCTTCGGTCCAAGCTGGAGTCCAAGGACCGTGTCGCAGGGCTAAAACACCATGGCAGTGAAGGACGGATTGGGCCCGCGGCCCGTATCCCAGACCAAACCTTGACTTTTCCTGCGTTTCTGCACTGCCAACTGCCCCCCTGCTCGTGTCCTCCTGGAGCCGGCTTTCGTTCTGCACCGCTTCGGTCCAAGCTGGAGTCCAAGGACCGTGGCAGTGAAGGACGGATCTGAACCGACTAGGAACTAGCTCCAAACCTTGACTTTTCCTGCGTTTCTGCACTGCCAACTGCCACCCTGCTCGTGTCCTCCTGGGGCCGGCTTTCGTTCTGCACCGCTTCGGCCCAAGCTGGAGTCCAAGGACCGTGTCGCAGGGCTAAAACACCATGGCAGTGAAGGACGGATTGGGCCCGCGGCCCGTATTCCAGACTGCCAAACGTCACTTTCTGAACCGACTAGAAACTAGCTCCAAACCTTTCTGCGCTGCCAACTGCCACCCTGCTCGTGTCCTCCTGGAGCCGGCTTTCGTTCTGCGGCTCCAAACCTTGACTTTACCTGCGTTTCTGCACTGCCAACTGCCACCCTGCTCGTGTCCTCCTGGAGCCGGCTTTCGTTCTGCACCACTTCGGTCTAAGCTGGAGTCCAAGGACCGTGTCGCAGGGCTAAAACACCAATGCAGTGAAGGACGGATTAGGCCCGCGGCCCGTATCCCAGACTGGCAAACGTCACTTTCTGAACCGACTAGAAACTAGCTCCAAACCTTGACTTTTCCTACGTTTCTGCACTGCCAACTGCCACCCTGCTCGTGTCCTCCTGGAGCCGGCTTTCGTTCTGCACCGCTTCGGCCCAAGCTGGAGTCCAAGGACCGTGTCGCAGGGCTAAAACACCATGGCAGTGAAGGACGGATTGGGCCTGCGGCCCGTATCCCAGACTGCCAAACGTCACTTTCTGAACCAACTAGAAATAAGCTCCAAACCTTGACTTTTCCTGCGTTTCTGCACTGCCAACTGCCACCCTGCTCGTGTCCTCCTGGAGCCGGCTTTCGTTCTGCACCGCTTCGGTCCAAGCTGGAGTCCAAGGACCGTGTCGCAGGGCTTTAAAACACCATGGCAGTGAAGGACGGATTCGGCCCGCGGCCCGTATCCCAGACTGCCAAACGTCACTTTCTGAACCGACTAGAAACTAGCTCCAAACCTTGACTTTTCCTGCGTTTCTGCATTGCCAACTGCCACCCTGCTCGTGTCCTCCTGGAGCCGGCTTTCGTTCTGCGGCCCGTAGCCCAGAGGGCCAAACGTTACTTTCTGAACCGACTAGAAACTAGCTCCAAACCTTGACTTTACCTGCGTTTCTGCACTGCCAACTGCCACCCTGCTCGTGTCCTCTTGGCGCCGGCTTTCGTTCTGCACCGCTTCGGTCCAAGCTGGAGTCCAAGGACCGTGTCGCAGGGCTAAAACACCATGGCAGTGAAGGACGGATTGGGCCCGCGGCCCGTATCCCAGACTGCCAAACGTCACTTTCTGAACCGACTAGAAACTAGCTCCAAACCTTGACTTTTCCTGCGTTTCTGCACTGCCAACTGCCACCCTGCTCGTGTCCTCCTGGAGCCGGCCTTCGTTCTGCACCGCTTCGGTCCAAGCTGGAGTCCAAGGACCGTGTCGCAGGGCTAAAACACCATGGCAGAGAAGCACGGATTGGGCCCGCGGCCCGTATCCCAGACTGCCAAACGTCACTTTCTGAACCGACTAGAAACTAGCTCCAAACCTTGACTTTTCCTGCGTTTCTGCACTGCCAACTGCCACCCTGCTCGTGTCCTCCTGGAGCCGGCTTTCGTTCTGCACCGCTTCGGTCCAAGCTGGAGTCCAAGGACCGGGTCGCAGGGCTAAAACACCATGGCAGTGAAGGACGGATTGGGCCCGCGGCCCGTATCCCAGACTGCCAAACGTCACTTTCTGAACCGACTAGAAACTAGCTCCAAACCTTGACTTTTCCTGCGTTTCTACACTGCCAACTGCCACCCTGCTCGTGTCCCCTGGAGCCGGCTTTCGTTCTGCACAAACTCTTCGCCCCTTCTGGCATCTTGTTGCTAGTAAGGCCTCCTCTGACGCGCTCCCCCTGCTAACGGCAGGGGTCGGCGGATACCCTCTGGTGAACTAACATAGCAATGGAAAATGGCCATTTATAGTGGATTTTCCCATGAAAAATGGTGATTTTCCATTGCTATGTTAGTTCACCAGAGGGTAACCATTAACACATCCTTTTCCTATAGGGGCAATCAGCTCGGTCATTTTTTTTCAGGTGGTACTCGAACCTGATCTGTGGCGTGATCCGCGGCTGCTTGGAACAGCTGCAGCTGCGAGTGGAGTGTCGCTTTGAAAAAGATGCCCTCAATGGTGTCCTGGCCGAGGGGCGCAGGGTTGGGGTGAACTCGTTGGAATGTTGAGATGATTTGGATTGTGTTTTTCGTGGAAGAATCAACTTAAAGGATTTGTAGATATTTGTAGTGGATTTGGATTGTGGAGTTAAGAATCAAGAATGGATTTCAAATGTGGGTTTCTAGTAAGAGTATAGGTTGAATGTTCGCAAGACCCACTGTGCTGGACACGCGAATAAAAATGGTCAAACCATTTCTAAATTGTTTTGAAAATTGTTTCAATTGTTTTGGAAATTGTTTAAATTGTTTTGAAAATTGTTTCAATTGTTTTGAAAATTGTTTAAATTGTTTTGAAAATTGTTTAAATTGTTTTGAAAATTGTTTAAATTGTTTTAAAAATTGTTTAAATTGTTTTGAAAATTGTTTAAATTGTTTTGAAAATTGTTTAAATTGTTTTGAACATTGTTTAAATTGTTTTGAAAATTGTTTAAATTGTTTTGAAAATTGTTTTATTTTTTTGAAAATTGTTTTAATTGTTTTGAAAATTGTTTAAATTGTTTTGAAAATTGTTTTAATTGTTTTGAAAATTGTTTAAATTGTTTTGACATTGTTTAAATTGTTTTGAAAATTGTTTCAACTGTTTTGGAAGTTGTTTAAATATTTTTTCTTGATGCTTGGCTTCGAATTTTATACAATCTGAAAATTTTCAAATTGTTGTTTCTGCGTTTTGAACACTACTTGACATCTTGACCATGGACATTACTTAAAACTAGTTGCGGCTTCTAGCTTAGTGTTTTCTCTCACAACTTCTCCCTATAGTACGTTTGCAAATGGTTTCATACGTTTGCGCAGTTCTGAAATCTACGTACCGCACATGTCATGGCACAAACCCACACGTCATACTCACAACATCCATGAAAGCAAGTCTTTGGCCGTTGTGTGTAGGGGTTCCAACGGATCAATGCGGTTTCGAGTCATGATGGGAATGAACTGAGATATACAATTAGTTTATCATGGTATGGCCACTGGCCAAGTTGTTTTTGCACAAGCTTCCGCCAAGACTTTGCAGACTTGTTTTGCTCGCAGTGATGTGGTTCGAGCTTTCCGAGCATTAGTGGCACCATGCCTCACTACTGCTACTTTTGTCTGATGGATGTGTTTTTCACACCATGGCTGACAGAAGAAGACGCCAAGCCAACCAACGTACTTGCATTTGATTGCGCATGTGAGAGCAAAGATGGTGATCCTTACCCTCCGCTGACCCCAACGACATCCCCCTCCGCAAAGCAAGGCCCCGTCAAAAAAACTAAAAAACAACAGGGCCCAAAGGACGATTGAAATGGACAACCAGCACTTGGTGCTCTTGGCAAGGCAGTTTGGCGGTGAGAACGCTCGAGGCCGCCGGCCGGGTAGGCTGCAGAGACTGTCCCGTGGCAGGTTGCTTCAGCTGTTGGGAAAGCAAAGGAAACGGAAGACAGAGGCTGCCCTGGCGTTTCAGTCTCAGGCTTCCTTCGCCAACAGCACTGGTCGCAACAGGACAAAGGATTTCTTGATTCCAGACTCCGTTGGGGCTAGGCCTCGTGGGGCCTCTGGCCGGGGACAATGGAAGAAATGGACACCGGAGGCTGTTTTGAGGGCTGCATTCTCAAACGAGAGCATGGCTGCTCGCCATGTTGCAGAGCAGGTAGACGGAGGATCTGCAAGCCATGCTACCCAGTGCAAGCTATATATTGCCAACTTAATTCTGCAAGGCCAACAGGACGGCTTGGAGAAGTTTCTTCGGGAGCACAAAGCCCAGAACGGAGAGGACACCATACAATTTGCATTGACAAATTGCATTTTTGATGAGACCGAGTTGGAAATCAACTTGCACGAGTTTGGGCTTGGAGAATGGTCCATATTGGCTTCCCATTCGCAACTGACATTCAAGGTCGGACAGACATATCACGACTACGATGTGATTCGCCTTCCGCAGGCATTGCCAAACAAAACGGCTGCGACGATGTGGCCTGCATTGTGTGGCGATGGCAGTGTGGGCGGCCTCTGGCCTGGTTTGTCAAGGGTGCCGGCAAAAATCCGGGCAGTGTTAGTTACTTGCGACGCTGCACCGGCAAATGTGAAACTGCTGGGGCACCTTTCGTCAGTACTCGATGAAAGGACGCTGCGGTTGCCTTTCTTGTGTCTGCAGCACCGTACTGGCAATGTTATCGAAAGACTGACTAAACTGACAGGGTCACTGACCAGGTGCTATGCAGTTTCCAAGACCATGAGGTCTGGCGCGGTAGTGAAAAGACTTACGGCCAGCGTGCGCCGTGAACTAAGCCAGAGTCTCATGGTCACTGACCAGGTTCCAGCAGGCTGCGTTGAGGAATGGGCCTCTGGCCGGGCGTGCGCGGAGGCGATTCTTCGCTTAGCTTTCGCCGAGGAGGAGAAATCCAAGATGGGCCTGGTCACGGAGTTCCTCGACTTCTTTGCTGGGCCATGGACAGGACTGTCTCTGGGTGAGTATGGGGTCTGCGGCCGGGCGGTGTCACTTGGTTTCAGTTTCCGTTTTTAAAAGGAGGGTTGCATTATAGTTTCTGTTGGTGTTTCACAACATGCCATTTGAATTTCATTTTAGGATTGACTAAAAGCCACACCCTTACATGTTCTTTAGTTCTTTTGTGTTCCCACACGTTCCCGCAGCATATTCTTCAAATCTGTGCGGCTTTGCGCTTGTTCCGCTGGACACGACCCGTGTCTGAGACGTCTTCCAGCCATGACCGTGGTCTCGAAGCCGCAGAAGGACACCAAGGAGGTCAAACTTCAGTTCCTTTTGCGCATCCGCGCAAGTGGATTGAGCCATGCCTTTTCTACCAATGACTCGAGGTTCGACACAGTTCGCGGCCTCTGGCTTGGTTCTGGCATGGATTCCGACGAGGTTTTGGAGGAGAAAATTGCCGCGCTGTCCAAGTACCTTGTTGCGGACACCTATGGCAACGTGCAAGTGGTCTACTAATATGTTTTTTTTAAATATAAGTTGTTTATATTCAGCATATAAGTTTGTCATAAGCTGTTTACAAGTTGGGTTAACTTGGGTTAAGTTACTTTAAGTAAGTTATAAGTATATATCATTAGTTATAAGTTACTTAAAGCAACTTAGACCAACTTATGCGACTTAAGATGGTTTACTTAGGTTGAAGTTAGATCTGAGTTAGGTTCAACTTAAGTCGAGTTAGGTTTTTGTTGTTTTTTGAGTAGAAGCCAAGTTGTTTTTTGTTTATGGAGCCATTTGGGGTTCAAGTTCATACGGTTGAGTGCGTGTGGCTTTTCTTGTGGTGCCATCCTGTGTGGAGGGTATATAGAGTCAGATGCACAATGGGGGCAGGCGCAAAAATCAAGACTACACGAATTGCTTGGCTTTTTTGCCAGAGCAGGTGTGGTCTAGGATCTTGAAAGCTCCTGTGGATCGGCTGCGCGCCGATGAGGTTGCTCATTTTTTGTTCACGGTGCTGCAGTTGCGCTTGCCGAGCGAAGGAACATACGCTGCCATCACTGGAGTCTTGGCAAGCCTGGACCCGTCGTGCACGAGCTTTGATTTGCGGACTAAGTTGCAAACAGTGAAAACTGCGTGGACAAGCATGAAAACTCGTTTGGGCAAGACCCATGCAGATCCGCCACAGTTACTGCAGACATTGCCTGCAACGTTTGAAGAATTGCCAGAGGAGCTGCGAGCTCAGTTTGGTGAGGCACGCCCTTTGCATCCGTGGCCAATCAACGCAGGGGAAGTTGAGCGGCAGATCTTACGGGTGCCGATTCGCAGCACTCATGCAAGTCTTCAGGAAAAGAAGGCTAATCCGTTGGAAGCTTTGGCAGACATTCTTATGTTGCGTGCTCAAGGTGGCCGAAGCAGTGGTGAGAACATCTTTGAAGCTGGATTGAAAAACTTGAAGATTTTTTCTCCCACGCGGAGAAGCAGTGCGGAAGGGAAGGACAAGGAGAAACAGCTTCAGTTGCAAAGGTTGGCGGTAGGCGATGCGTTGAGGCATGGTGCTTCAGGAGGTGTGCCACAGGCACCTCTTTGCTTGGAAGATCAGAGAAGTGGCACAGAGGTGCCACCTTGTGCGCCGGCCAGGAGCGGTGCCAAGATAAAGGCTGTGGGCGATGCATTCTCTACGGGAGATGCAGGTTGTGGGAGCATCTCTACGGGAGCATGTCATCTGCAGATGCTTGTCCCTGTGGGGGATAACGTAATCTCTGCGCGAGGTGCAGCCTCTGAGCATATAACGACTGTGGCATGCCCTCGTGAGGCGAGTGTCCCTGAGGGGGATAAGCAGCAGCCTGCTGTCCCTGCGGGGGATGCAGGGCGACTGGAGAAGCAGCAGGGGGCGCCGAAGACTCGCAGCGGTGCGTATGAGGCACACGCTGCGAAGTTTTTGGCATCCCGCCAAGCTGCGAAGGAGGCGAAGGCGAACCGGGGTTCGGGCGAAGAGGTGGCACCACAGGGGGAACCTTGCTCGCGGGGCAAAGGTTTGAAGCGGCCGGCAGCTGCTATGAAACGGCCAGCAGGAAAGCGACCGCGCGAAGAGGCGGCAACAGTGGAGCCAGAGGTGGGCGGTTATCATAATGTGGTTTTCCAGGCGAAGACACATGGGAAGTGCAAGGTGGAGTACTATACCCACAAAAGTTACATTCGCCGTTTCCAAGAGGACGCGAAGAAGTGGGTTATGGTATTAGGTTGCACACATCCGAAACACCACAAGAAAGTGTGCGCGCTTCTTGTGCCTCACGTCAAACGCGGTTGTTTGCGGGAAGCGTTGCTGCAGGTGCGCGCGGAGATTCTCAGTCAGTTAGGTGATTAGGCACAGTGCCTGGTCGCATTGCGGCTCTTTGGAACGTAAGGCCGCGTTCGGACTTTTGACGTGTTGCTTCAACATTGGGGGGAAAAATCAGCGGCAATGACTTCGAGTGGCGGCAAAGAATGTTGTGGAAACACTAATATGTAAATGAACTAACATTGGTTTTGGAACACAATCAACTTATAGTACGTTGTACCGAGTGGCTTTTTCATATTGACTTGGCTGAGTCTGTGGTATAAGCAACGCTGCTGTGTGACGTAGATGGGCTCGAGTTGTTCTGTGTCCCGGCGACCGCTTGTGTTGTCGCAGTTGCGAAGGCGTGCTATAGCTGAAACATGTTGTCCGTGGAAGGGAAAAAGACAGGGTATATAAAGAGACAGCATACGATGTATAGCCTATAGCGGAAGTGTTTGGGATATGTTCCGATAGAATTTTCTTAGGTATATGTATATATATATATATAGTTAAATATATATATATATATATTATATCGAAGTAGTCTTCCGTTGCTGTCCCCTGTTCAGGTGCTGTTGGATGGCTGTCAAGGAGACGAAGAAGGCCGAGCCCAGCTCCTACTCGGAGGAGAGTGAAGAAGAAACTCGGGAGGTGGAGCCCGTGGTGTCTGTGAAAAGTAAAAGTATGCCTGCACCTGCGAGGTCAGGGATGGGTGACGCTGCACCTGCAGGGAGTGGCAAACCTGACGCATCTCATGTGGTGCCGAAGGGTTCTCCTCCGCCGCCGCCGTTGCCCCCATCGGAGAATGATCGGCGAGCGGACTCGGAGGAGACAGAAGAGGCCCTGCGAGGGCCACGGGCCCGGTCCCTGATGCGTCCACCAAGGTCGCCATCGCCGCGCGCGGTGGGGGCCACGCCCAAAAGTGCCGCCCTCGGGAAAAAAAGGGATGGCGACACAGGGCATGGCGGCAAAGGCCATGGTGGCAAAGGCTATGGCGGCAAGGGACATGGCAAAGAAGGACGGGAGCAGTGCATGCACTGTTGGAAGCCACTTCCGGCCTTCCAAGTGGAAGGGATCAGCACACATATTGGTCCCAATCTTGCGTTGAATGGCAATTCCGGAACATTGGCTACAGCAAGGCCGAAGCCCAGAGGGCCGCGGAGCAGCTCAAACAAGATCGCCAGGACGCCTACGAGGCGCATGGAGGACACGTGCCGTTTCCGGATGATCCCTTCTACGGGGAGGAGCGCTCCAAGAACCGTGGTCGCGCCCACGCGGCGCATGAGGATCGTGGCCGAGAGGTGCATCGCAAACGTGCTCACGCGGTACATGGTGAGGCTGGCCGCGCGCCAGGGTCGGGCCGGAGGGAGCGTGGCCTGGAGCAGATCTGCCCCAAGCGCAAGGACAAGACGGAGCGAACTGCTCCGGCTGCGGAGGAGAGGGAGATCCTGCGTGTCCGCGAGACGCGCCCCGAGAAAAAGTGCAAGGAGGTGACGTTGAAGGCCGCAAAGAAAGACAAAGGCGACCGCAAGACGGAGAAGGCCAAGGTCGCATATGTCCTGGTGAGGAAGCCCAGCAAGAAGCGCAAACAACAGAAGATGGTGCTGGTCTCAAGCAGTCCGTCGCCGGAGGTGGTTCGTCGCCGCAAGCGCGACAGCCCGGACGAGGATGATGACTCAGACACCCCCGGGGATATGGTGCTGGAGCGCACAGGCCGCGGCACGTACAGAGTGGTACGTGCCTGAGAGGCACTGCCAGGTGGCCTAAGTGGCCAGGCATGGGTAGGTCTCTGAATGGGACGCTGGCGCGCACAGAATTCGACGAGGGAGTTCACATGCATCCCTGGAAGGGACATATATGCTGGAAACAAAAGAAAGGAAGAATATAAGCATATGAACTCCTGGGATCCGAGACACACTGTCAGCTAGAGACTGGAACCTGCCGAAGCAACTGCAGCAGACACAGCGTGCGGACTGAAAAAAGAAGGGAGCTGGAAGGTTCGGGGGGGTAATCTTTGTGTGACACGACAAGAAACTATATGTTTGTTTCAATCTATTTGTATCATGGTTGACTCTATAGGGGAATATATATCCGTGTTGCAATGGAAGTGGAAACATTTGGGGAATTTATATATTTGCAGGTTAGATGGGATGTCGGCCCGATGTCGGCCGGGTCCCAGAATGTCAGGTGTGCTTGCATGTCGGACGGATGTCGGCCCCTTTAAAGTCTTTCTTAAGGATGTTGTCGCCTGCTGAAAACCGGATGTCGGCCGATTGTCGGCGGATGTCGGCCGCATGATGCATGACCGCAGCCATTTTCAGCTGTTCTCAAAAGGCCGCGCGCCCCACACGATCGTTTGCAGGCATGGCTTCTGTCTCGGGTGCGGCGACGCCCAGTGCGTCTGCTGCGACAGCACCGGCCTGCGCGGCAAGTGAGGCGCCAAGTGCGCCGGACAGCTTAAGTTGCAAGTTATGTTGCAGGACGTTGCCTTCGTCAGCTCCTGGACGCATGCGTGGGAAGTCTTGGACATGTCGTCATTGCCTCTCGCTTGAAACTATGCTCTATCGGCACCTGGGAAGCACGGAAGCACAGGGCTGGTCAGTCGATTCCCGTGATGACTTTTTCCGTAAGGCCACGTCTTTGATGAATCTTGCCGGATGCACGTGGTCTACGGTGAAAACCTTGATCGTGGAGTGCCAGGCCACGCGCCTGATTAAGGAGCAATCCAATCAGGTAACGGCTAAATCTCTTCCTCTCGAAGTCTGGTTGAAGAAGGGCTGGAAGAAAGAAGCGGTGGAGCAATACCCGTCCGAGGAAGATCCGAACCTGGGCACGCTGTACGCAATTCCCGTGAAATCCACAACCATGAAGGAGGCGAAGCAGTTGATTGAAGAACAGATGCAAAGGAAGGAGAAAGAAGTCATGGGAAAGAAGAACAACGGCAAGCGCTCAGACAAAGCGGAAGAGACACAAGAACAAGAGTGGGATGTGGTGCCGCACAAGCCCGCTACGGGCGGGGAAGGGCGCCCAGGAAAGAAGGCCAAGACTTCCACCTCCACGGCAGCTGCCAAGGAAAAGGCTGACAAGTCTGCCTTGAGGGCTGCGAGCCAGGCGAACAAGGCAAATGAAAGCATGGCATTGTTGGCGGCCAAGGCCACGGGAATGCTGTCGAAGATGCTGAAGTCTTCCCAGACCTTGCTACAGCAGGCAGAGAAGGCGAATGTGGATCTGCCGGAACAAATGAAGAGTTTGGAACAAGCTGTGGAACGCGCTACTATGTGGAACAAAGCCTGCGTGGATGCCCTGCCATTGGCGACGGCAGCTAAAGGGACTGGAGCTCGCCTTGCAGATTTGCCTTTCACGGCAAAAGATTTGCAGGACTTCATAAAGGCGACTGCAGAAGTGCAGAAGGAGATTCGTGCTGCCGCAAAGGTCTTGAAGGAGAAAGAAAAAACCGCTGAGGGCGGGGAGACTGCAGAGAAGTGAAGCTAAGGTCGCTGCGCGCGATATCGATTCGTGCTGCGCTGTCACCCGCGGTGGCAACGGCAGTGGCGACAGATAGTTTTGACATTATAGTTTCTGACGGCCTTTTACCGCACAATCTGTGTGGTGCTGCTGATCATTCCGATCCTCTTGGGACTCTGAGGAAAAATTGTTTGCGGTTTCCGTTGGAAATGAACATATACTTGGTATCCTGTGCTTCTATAGGTACAGTTTGCAGTGGCAAGAAACGTCGGGACGTGGTTTGCATCAGGCTTTGGCTCAAACGTTCTAACACACATCGCATAATTATCTATTTCGGTCACTTATACAAGATACCCTTTGGAAATGCCAAATGCATCTTAATAAGCCAATACAAGTTTAGATATATATGATATCTGAATCAAATGACAATATATGTATATTATATTGATATATGTTCTTCTATCCAGTTGCCACAGCCTCACCGCCGCCAAATGGAAAAACCACTTGGCCGCAAAAGGAAGCTCAGCAAGGAGGAAGAAGACAATCTGAAAGAGTGCCTTGCTGTGCCTAATGTGGCCGAGAGCCGCATACTGAAAATTTGGAACATAGCTGGTCACTTGCGAAAGAATGCCTGCGAGGTAAAGCAGAGCCAGATGCAAAGCTTGTCGGCTGAGCGTCTACGTGATGCTCGGGCATGTTATCGAAAGTGGCCTGTGCCGGAAACGAATGAAGTGGTTTGGTTGCCTTGCCTTCCAGCGCTTCTGCAACACGTTGTGGAAGTGCCTGTGTGGCACAACGCTCTCATACAGGCTCACGCGGCTGCCAACGGCTTGCTACGTCCCATTTTATATCATGATGATGTGACATGCGGAAACATCTTGGTGGTGCACAAGGTCAAGAAGATAACTGCGGTATATCTTAGCTTCAAGGAAATGAGGCCACACGTGGGGCTGGAAGCTGCGTGGCTGCCTTTATTGGTCATCCAACGCCTTCAACAAGACAAAATTCCAGGCGGCTTATCAAGGATCTTGGCACACATGGTGAAAGAAATAGCCCGAGAAGTTGCTCCGGGTGGATTGAAGCTTGACTTTGGTGACCAAACACTTTGCTTCACACTGTCTGATCAATTTCTCTTTCTATCAGACATGGAAGCCCAACGAGCAACATGGTCCACCAAAGGGTCAGCTGGGCTCAAACCATGCATGTTTTGTAGCAACATCATTTCCAAACAAGCATTGCCTGCAGGTGATCCTGAGGGGACATTTGCCACTATCGCTTCGGCCGCTTGGCAAGACTTCTGTCCGATCAGTGACGAAGACTTTGCGAATGCAGCGAAGCATCTAGCCACCTTGACGAAAAGAAGCGAGAGAGATGCATGGGAAAAAGCCTATGGTTTGGCGTGGGATGCCAACTCAATTCTGGCGGATCCCAATGCTCTTCACTTGCTTCCACCTTCCTTGGCTTGCAACGACGTGTTGCATAATCACTACTGCAACGGCATTGCGTCCTTGGAGATATCTCTGGTGGTAGAAATGTTGCAGGAGAATGAAATTTCCTTGACAGATCTACGGGATCTGTCCGTGAGTGGCGCATGGCGTCGCCCCAGAAAAACAGAGAAAATGTCACAGACATTTCTGCAACGCATTCTGTCGCCCAAAATGTTTGAAGGCAAATCATACAAGGGAGACGGAACTGACACGCAACCACTTGTTTTCATGCTATGGTATGTCCTGCATGAGAAAGTGCCACAAAAGGACGAAATCGTCCCGAGCAGGCAAAGCTTCGAGTGGCTTCATCAATGCAGCAGAGAACTCCGGTTCTTGAAGACACACTTTGAAGCTATCCGACATGAGCATCAAGTAACGCGTCTACGTGACGCGCAAGCAACTCATCAAGCGAAGTTTACAGCCGCCTATGGCGAAGATGCGTGCCTGCCAAAGCACCACCACCGCTTTCATTTGCCTGCTTCCGCATTGAAGTTGGGATTCTTGCCGCACTGTGAACCACATGAAGCCAAGCATAGATGCCTAAAAAGCGGAGGCCTAGTGGATAGACAGAAAGGAAGACTGGCTGCTCACAATGAAATACAGACCCATCTGCTCTCCCGCTTTCTGGAAACCACAAAACAACAAGCCATGGAACACGGTCTGGCACGATGGGAACTGTTGCCACCCACGCGGTCTGCAGCAGAAGAATGGCGCCGCACTTTGTCAGACGCATCCTTGATATGCGGCAAGCAAATCCAATTGCTACAGCACATTTTGCGTGTGGAAGAGCCTCTCTTTTTGAACCATCTGGCCTACGTGGTCAAAGATTGCCTAAGTGGCGACCAAACAGGAATCTGGCTGCGGCTGCGACCTCTGCGGCTGGAACACATGCAAGCATGGGGAAGCACGTGGCTGGAAGAAACTGATGATTGCGTCCTTTATAAACCAAAGTCCCACCATGACATCTATGAACCTGTCTGGTGGTGCAGCGTGGGCGCTCGTTTCACCTTCCTCTACTAACATATTCTGCCAAGTGAAAAAAGAAACCGGCTGCTCAACGATAGCAGTTTTTGAAAAAATACCTACTTAGCTTCAACTTAAGATGAACTTAGTAAGTTAGTTCTAAGTTGTCTTAAGACTACCTATCTTAAGTTCACCTAAGTTCACTCTAAGTAACATAATTCCAACCTAAATAAAAAAAAAAACGTATTAGTACTGGGCCCGCGATGCGTACAACGCGAGGCCGGTTTTTTTTCCATTAAGCGAATCGTTTTTCTCCCCACTATACAAGAAGGTTTTTGTTTGGGGTTTGGGCATGCTGTAGAATTACCTTTTGTTGATAAAAAATTGTTCCACATGACTAAAACCCCACAACAGACACTGTCATATAATAGAAGCATTTTTTCATGATATGTTAAGCTATGGTCATCATAATGAATAATATAGCCTAGCTATCTCACCCCACATGGTATAGAGACCGCTTTGCATGTGTTGACACGCCGCAGCTTTACCACTGCTTTCAGGCATCCGCTTCATCTGGTCCTTGACTTTGGGGCCTCGAAGCCTGGTTGCAAAGGGAAACTGTGGCTGGGCGGTGAAAACGCCTCTGGCGATGTGCGGCTGCTGATTGAGAATGGCATCAGCGTCGTGCAGCCTGCCTCCAGGAAGCCAGCGCCTGCTGAAAGCTTGCAAATCAAACTCATGCCATGGGTCGACGGGACCGGGTTAGCTTCAGGTGATGTGTCATTGGATGACTTCCTGAAGACGGTCGACGAGCTGATCGCCATGATGCTGGACGGTGAAGCGGTGCTCTCGTGCTGTAAAAACGGCGCGCACCGTAGTGCGACAGAAACCACCATAGTGGTGATGCGAGTGACTGGCTGGGATGCCCAGCGAAGTGCCAACTATGTTAGCCAACTGCGCAACTTGGTGGACCTCGACAGCACAGCTCCACCGTCGGCGTTTCGCCGGGTTCCGACCAAGCCGATTGAGTTTCTCAAGGGGAACCAAGATCGGATCTTGGAAGGAAGCTTGAATTTGGCGGCCAACACGGTGGTCACCCCGATCCAGTTTCGCAGCAAAGCTCGCGACTTGGGCTTTGAGACCAAAGGGGCAGCACCTGAAGATGACGGACTACGGCCTAGGGCCAAGGCAATGCCGGCAATGCCAAGGACAGCTGGAACGCAGACCGGGATTTCGTCCTACGAGGTGATCAGCGCACCCAGTGGCAACGACACCTTGAATACCGTGTCAAGCCAGGAGATGAGCTCCTTGAGTTCCTCGGACACTCCTCCAGGTTCTACAAAGCGTTTGCGGCGTGAAGGCGGTTTTGTGGTGGTTAAGGACGAGCTCGCCACCGAAGAGATGAGGGCCCAAAAGCTGACCGATATTTGTGACCAGCTGAGTCTGTTGAATGACAAGCTGCTGGGTAACCTTAGACGTTCCATGCGCCCGCCTGAGCCAGAGAACCCGCCGAAGTCAAAGACAGCAGACGCTTCTGCTGTTGCTTCTTCGGCCTCTGGCCAGGTTCAACCGGCCACTGGCCTTGAGAAAGGGGAGGAAGGGGCTGCGATGGGCCACGTCAAGCCTGCAGGTGACGAGCCTGAGGGCAAGAAGACCGAGGAGGTGATTGAGGTGCCCGACGATCCCATGGGATGTGTCTTGGCTATATAGCCCCCATAGCCAACCCATAGCTATAATATGACATACTACGACTATGGCTATAACTAGACTATAACTATAATTATAGCCGATATGATTAGAACTAGACTATTACCATAACTAGACTATAACTATAACTATCTATAAATATAGTTTTTAACTTACAACTATAACATATTACCCTGCCATTTTCTCCGGTTAAACCTTTTTTTGTATATTCATTCATACTCAAGCGCATAGCCCATGTATACCCCCATGTTAAGAGGTGCTTTCCTTTGGCCACTGGCCTGGTTTTCCTTTGCTTTATTCCTGTTATATTCGCCCCGACAGCCAGCCAAAGGTGGCGATGACTTCGTGCCAGACTGGAGCCCTGATGACGACGAGCCAGAGACCCCAGCTAAACCCAGTCCGGTAGACTTCACACAGTTAGCGGCCGGTGCTGACAACCGCAGCGAGGTCTTGGACCGGGTTCTGACTTTGCTGGAGCAGCAAAAGCTCAGAAGCCAAGCCATGGTTGCTCGCCAGGAAGCGGAACGCACCAGGTCTAACTGGCAAGAAGAGGCCTTCAGCCTCATTTGCGGCCCCGAGCCCCTGAGGTTGCTTGACTTGTTGGACGAGGTCACCGAATCCAATGTGCTGATGATGCGCGATGGGAACGGCCTCAACCTCTTGCATCAATGCTGCCGCATAGGGTGCATTCCCGTTGTTGAGAAGCTGCTGACCATTCACCCTGCGCTGACAGACCAGATGACGTCTCCCCACGGACGGCCTGCGTTCTGGAGCCCTTTGATGGTGCTTTTGGATGCTAAGCGCATCATGTGGGAGGATTCTTACAAGGAGCTCATGGGGCTGATCTTGGCGAGCTCCAGCTTGGCTACGTTGGAAGCACGAGCTGCGAACGGAAGCTCGGCTTTGCATATGGCTTGCGGCCGTGGCCAATGGTGGTCGACGAAAAAGATTCTGTACGCGGCCTACCACAAAGCTGGAGGCGACCAAGCGGCCTTTGGCCTGGTCACCTATATGGTCAACCAGCCAAATGGACGTGGGGCTGGCTGTGTTCCTGTTGTTGCCTTATGTCAGCTTTTTTTTCAATCCCCATCAGGTGAGTTGTTGTTTTCCAAGCCCATCAAATCCGGATAATTACTATAGTTAAGTTTTTGTTGTCCAGTCCCCACCAGATACAGCATATTTAACACCACCATATATAGGAAACAAAACTATTTTAATAAGTTATTAATGATTTATACTGATCACATTTTCGGTTGTACCTTGCTCCCACATCCTGTCAGGTTGACCTCGCCCTGGCCTGCAATGTTGCCCTGGCGACCTACTTGCAAGACGTGTGGAATGGCACCCCCCTGCGCCCGCCGCCAGCTGATCGCAGAGATGGCAACAGCTGGTGGTCGTACAGGAACCCTGGCTACAGAGGCAACCTGGACATCTAGGCAGTCTAGGCTTCAAGCCGGGTTCCATTCGTGCATCTGCCGCAGTGCGCTTCCGCAACTTCTTTCTCTGTGATTGAAGTGCTGGCCACTGGCCGGGTTGCGCATTTTTTTGCAGATACAATGCCGGCAGTCCAGCCCTTGTGGGTTGGCCAAGCAGGCCTTGTATAGATTGGCCTTGCTCTTCCGACAGACTTGCTTGCTTGCAAAAAAATGCGGAGCCTGGCAGCTGCAGTTGCCACTGTTGAGTTTTGGGAAGGTAGCTTCACACTCCTTTTTTATGCTCTCAAGTTCTAATGTTTAGTAGCCGAGGTCGAGGTTGGACTTTAATCCCTAGGGGAATCAGATTGACAGTTTGACGCCCAAGACTAATAATTATATAGTATACCAGGATGTAAGTATGTGTGTACATATAGATTAATATATTTTTTATATTTTTATATTTATTGTAGTGGGAGGCCATGTTTTGAACCCTGCTCCCTGTCAGGACCGCCAACGCACGTGTGTCATGGATGCTGTGGCAGCCCCGGTGAATCTTTAGATAAGGCCACCGGCCTGGTTCAACGTCTCTTTCTTGGAAGCATGAGCGTGCCAGCATTGAACAAGTGGACAACAGTGTCGCCAGCTATGTGTCTTTGCACAGCAATGCAGCATTTCTCCAATGTTCTCCCCCTGGCATTCAAGAACTGTTTTCCTCAGGGGCCTCAGGCCGGGTCTTCTGACTCTGAAGACGAAGGTGCTCAGCTGGGTGCCCCGGTGGATCAAACCAAGGCCTGGCGAAGATTGGCAAGGAGAAGGCAGAAAAAGGCTTCGCATTTCCTGGGGGACAGGCATTGTCAGTGGATGACCTTGGTGTGGGCTGTGCTGACTGCTCCTGTGATGGTGGTGCACTACAAGCTGTTCAAGCGAGGCACTTGGTTCACAGAGCGTCCTGAGCTCAGTGAAGGGGGTAGTGCCGCAGCTTCTACGTTTCGCACTGCAGCTTGGGATGCTTTCCTGAGCATTGGCAGCTTTCTGCTGCAGCAGGACACAGTCCAGGTTCCAGCCTGGATACCATTGGTGGGAATGTATGGGTCTGTTCTTTCTTGGTCCCAAGACAGGCTGCGGGCCGTTCGCAGATGTATTGTGACACTCCTGGGCCAGCTCTGGAGAAAGCTTTTAGCTCCATGGCAGAAATATCCTTGGAAGCTGGTGGACTTGATGCAAAATCACTTGAGGGAAGATAGGGTCAAGCTTTTTTTCAGTGAGAGGACGTGTGTTCTTGACTGCTTCAGCTTCAAGCTTCGGTGCCTATTAGAATCGGAGGAGAGGCTGCTGGAGCCTGCAAGTTTGGAATTCCTTCAAGCGGTCTTCGACCGGGTTGTCCCAACTTCCACCTTCATTGAGCGCGCGTTTGCACGATTAAATAGGTGGTGTGAGAAAAAGGGGCCTAAACCTCAACTCTCCACTTTGGCAGCCAAGCATGCCACGTACCATTTCAAGAATATCACCGAGCAATGGAGAGACAGGGCAAGAAAGGATGGCGCCATACCCAAAAAGAAAAGCAACAAATCCAGGCCAACATGGTCTCATGGGGTGCGAAAAGGGCGGGCGATGAATGGGATGCATATGTTTGCCAAGGAGAAGGGTTTGAACCCACAGTCTGGTATTGTCCGGCAGTGGCGCTTGGTGAACCCAGAGGAAAAGAAACGATACGCAGCACTAGCTAGAGGCCAAAACATTCAGTCTAAAGCTGTGGCATCTGCGAGAAAAGCGCTCCAAGAACAGGGTGAGTCTCTTAGGGGCGGCTTCTGGGGTATGAGCGCCCCAACAGGTTTCCCTATGGCCCGAGAGCTGGCAGAAAAACATCTCGATTCTGCAAAATTGAAAGCCCAAGAATTTGCAGAAATGAGTCGGAGCCTGAAGCCAGACAGCCCCGACAGCCTTGATGGCGCCCCTGCAATGCGAGTCCCTCTATGGCCCACTTGCGAGCCAGAGCTTTGCCCCCATTCTTTGGATGCAGAAAGACAGGCATACTTTGAGCAGCTGCACGCAATGATTTTGGAAGTCATCTTGCGTAAAGCACCAAAGCCGAGCTCTGTTTCTCAGGAACCTCTGGTCCTAGTTTTTGAGTCAGCAACGGCCGGTTCTGCTTTCTATGCCACTGTTGCGTACAACACGCGCAAGAAACCCATTGAAGCTGCGATGCTGGATCTGAGTGTGGCGCAAGAGGAGACTTGTCCTGCTGGGACGCTGTATGTGCTTGCTTGCGACAGGAGAGAAACCGGCCACCTAGCCATGGTTGGAGATGTTGAATTTTGTCTTCGCCTGGCACAGAGGGCCAGCGACTGGGAAGGATCAGTCCTTGCTGTTGGGCCAGTTCGCAAGATGGATTGCTTTGATATTCTAGCTAGCATGCCCATTGACTGGGCCGCTTTGCAGAAGGAGGTAGCCACGGACAAAGAATTGCAAGCGGCAATGACTGCCTGGAAGAAGCTTCATCCGAAAGCCGGCGCCGACAAAGGTCGCAAACGGCCGGTTCCGGGGCCCAGGCAGGGCGTTGGTCCTGCGAAGCGCTTCCATGCTGCGCATCCTGGCCCACCGATCAGTGACGATGAGACATGGGGGGGCGAAGGTTCCTCGCAATCAGCACCTGCATCTGACGTTGAATTAGCACCAGATCAAGAGGCAGGGCCGCAGGCCAACGTTGCGGGCCGTAGGCAAAAGATGAGGCGAGGACAGATTTGGGGCACCAACCCCACCTTTCAGATTGCGCCTATTCACGCTGGCGGCAGCCCTGTCCTGACTGGTTGGGGTGCAATCTGCGGGCTCCATTCTGACCCAGGCAGGCCAGGCCTGCAATGCAAAAAAGCAATGACCAAAACTGGGTTGAGCGATGCGGAATGCCAGCTGAGGTTGAAGAGATGGCTTGTGGAGGGCCTCAACGATTCCGATTGGGGAGCCAATAAGCGCGCAAGTCACGTTAGCCTGGGTGGAGTGCAGTTAAGCCAGTTTGACAGCGGCCTGGACGAAGCATCCTTGGACCGCATGGTTTCGCACCGTTCGACCTAGAAGGCCACAGGCCACAGGCCAGGTTCTATAGCTGGCTCTATATATATATATATAGTCTTGTTTGTACAGTTCTTCATTCACATGGAGAGATCGCCCGAGGCATGGAAATAATGCGCCGCCAGATCCGTGCAGATGCATCAGGTTTCTTTTTTTTCCGTACACATCAAAGCATATCAAACAAATTTTCGAAAATTCAAACAATTTTATCAAACACATAACAATTTTCAAAACAATATAACAATGTTTCTTTTCGTACATAACTCTATGTTTTTCGTACATAACTCTATGTTTTTCGTACACAACTATAGGTTTTTCGTACACATCATATTTATACATTGTTTCGACAATTGTTTCCGAAAATTCTCGAAATATTCTCAATATTTTCAACAATAGGTAAAATATTTAAGATATTTTCCGTACATATCCAAATATTGGCAGCCTTCGTACATATCTACACATTGGCAGCTTTCCCCAGCATGTGCAGCCGCTGTTTGTACTGACCACTCATCTGTCGTCCTGCAGCCTATTATGTTCGATTCGAACCCTGCTGACTGCGCTTCAATCAATGGCCAGTCCAAGCCAGAGTTCGTCAAGTGCCTCTGATGATGAAGACAGGCCCAGTTCAAGTTCCTCTGAGGACGGGCAGCAAGCAGCTGCGCCTTCTGTGGCATCGACTGCCGGGGGACAGACACGCATCTGTCACGATTTGAAGAAAGCTCGGACATGTCAGCTGTGCAACTGCTCCTCATCTGACGAAAGCCCTCTAGACTATGTGGGGGAGGAGATCTTCCCCGAGGCCTCTGGCCGGGTGCCTTGGAGAAGCTACGATAGAGTAAAAGCGCAAGATGGGGAGACAGTCCGGGTTCCAAGCGGCAGGTTGTGTTTGATTTGCTTCAATGTCTACAGAGCGTTGGGCTCCTCAATTGCAATTGTGGTCCCTATAATTCTCTATATAATATATTTTCTTTTGTTTCCCACCTAAAGGTTTATAATTAGGGGTTTTGCTGACCACTGGCCGAGTTGTTTTGTTGGGTAATATGCGTCATCATCCCCTGTGATCAGCTGCAGGCTTGAATAAGACGTACCCAAGCGTCGATGCATATTACAAGCACGTTTCCCAAAAGAGCAACCAGAAAGATCACACAGGCTTTTTGAGCGCCAGAAAGGAGTGGGTCAACCAACACAATCAGGCTGGCCCTGACCGCAAACGACTGTTGAGCAAGACAGAGCTCTTGGAAGCCAAGAAGAAATTGAATTTCCAGAAAAGGACTGGCGGCAAATTTCTAAAGCCCAAGAAGCAATTCGTCGAGCGTGACTCGTGGGACCCCAAGCTGCATGGCGGTGAATATGACCCTTCAAAGGAGGTGGCAGAGAATTTGTTTGGAAAAGAGGTCAGAGGAGTTTGGATCCTGAAAGGTCAGAAAGGAGTTTATGATTTCGAGGAGTTTCAGGAGGCTGCAATGGAAGAAACCGAAAATATACACGATAGCAGAGACGCACCGTTCTCAGAAGTAGCTCTCGCACGCAAGAAAAAAGCTGCACTTGACCAGTTCACACAAGGCTCCCAAGCCAGGGAAAAAAATGCAGTCGAACATGTCGGCCAGGAACTCAGCATGGAAGCTTTGGTGGCCACACTCCAGGGAAGCGGTCCCAGTGCTAGCTCCTCTGCTTGTGCTGTGGCCTCTGGCCAAGTTGAGAGCGAGCCTGATTCAGAGTCAAGTTGCAGCGGTGAGAACAAGTCTTCGGAAGAGGAGGAGGAGGCAGAAAACATATTCGGACCTTGCAAGAAGAAGCCTCCACAGTCAGGGCAAGGAGGCGTCGCTCCTAAACCTAAGCCCACCCCATCGAACAAGGCCGCCAAGCAAGTGAAGTCCAGCGCGCCAAGGCCGGCTGAGGCAGCAGTTGCCCCGAAGCCAGACCGAAGGAGTGGCTCAGCGCGTGAAGCGAAAGGGCCGCAGAGACAGGACACCCAAGACAGCGGCAGCAGTACGTTCTTGGCTGACGGTAGGGCTCAAAGGGCTTTGCGGAACTTGTTAGAGAAGAAGAACGAGCTGAAGAGTAAGCTGGACGAAATTCGAATGGATGACAGCAACCCAGAACCTGATGCTCATTCCCAGGCAGCCTTTAAGCAGAGCTGCGCAGACAGAGTTGCCACTTTGAAAAGCTTGGGCCGACAAGCCAGAGACTATTTCAGACGAATGGACAAGAGTTCCAATAAGGAATTCTTTGAAGACGGCATCCATGCCCTGCAAGAGGTTGAGACCAAATCGGTGGCTCTGCAGAACTTGCTGTCGTCGGTGTCTGCACCAGGTTCTTTGCCTGATGCGATTGTGAAGGCATATGACGATGCGGCAGCAGTTATTCCTTCTATGGGCACGTGCTTCCAATTGAGGTATGCTTTGGCAAAAGCTTCTCAGTGCTGCCTCTATTCAGAGTACGACAAGTTCTGTTCTCAGTTTCTGCTGGAGTGTGACAACATGAAGAACATTAGCCAAGCCATTGGCAAAGCCAAGCTGGAAGAATGTGTTGTGGCCGAGATTGAGAGCCGAGTCTTGTTGAATTTGCGAGCCATCAAGCCAGTTGATGTCCAAGCTTTGGCCGCTGGCAAAGGTGATGTGAGCAGCTTTACAGAAGCAGAGTCAATCTTGAAGGCCGTGTGCAGAACACAGCGGGAACACGGCGACAGCTTCCTTGGACACTCGCTGGGCTATGCATGTTTGGTGGCCGCTGGCCTGGTTAGCTCTGGGGACTTGTCTGCCACGCGTGAAGCTTTGGATGACTTGAACGAAGAAGAAGAGACGGACGATATTAGCGGCATCAAGCAATTCTTTCTCAGTCATACAGTGGGCCAATCTTTGGTTGACATGGCTACCAGCCGAGTTTCTTCTGGGGAGACAGAGGCTGATGCCATGGAGGATCTAAAAAAATTCGAATATGAATTGCAGCCTTTGGCCAGCCTAGCAGGCAAGAAAGTCAGAGGTGTGAAACTCATTACCGAGCTTTTGCAGCCTATTCAAGACTTGCTGAAACAGTGTGAGAAAAGGGTGTCTGCTTTGAAGGTTGGCAAAGCAGCAGCTAAGGCCACCAAGGAGGAGGCCATGGAGGCAAAGTTATCAAACAAAGCCTATGAGCGATTGCATGTCCTCCTCGCTGGCCACGAGAAAGCATTTGGTGCTGCAGCCCGAACCCTCTTGGAGGCCGAGTTGAAAGCCAACCTGTCGCAGAACGTGCGCCTTGGTTGTTGAATGTTTCTTGGTTTTTGAGGCGCACAGCTTCCATTTATCAGGGCTCACGCTACCTGAGTTTGGTATCAATATTTGAACATATCCGGCTCTTCTGTCATTTATTATACAATTAAACATCATTTTCTATTCACAGCCACATATCGAATGCCTATTATGTGCACTATAGACTCAATCGAATCGGACTAATCAGAACAAGGGGTGGTAGCCCGCCAGTTGCAACCAAGAGCCGGCACACCCAACCTATTTTTTCAGACGTGTAGCTTAATTTGATTTCCACGAAATTGTAGCCACAAGAGAGTCATGTTGGATAGGACTGGACGCATCTTGCAATGTATCTGTATAATCTCCTATCATCATATCATAATTCCTATGACAACATATTTTTTAGATATGATAGCCCTGATGTGCTATCATTTATTTGATTTGATTCCCTTACGCATTGCAGGAAGCATCTTCTTGGTCAGGGCAAAGAAAAGGATGACGCCGCGCAACCCGCTTCATTGGCTCAGCTGGATGAGCTCTTGCCCAGCATCCAGCACACGTGCATTATGGAACACGGATTTTGGAAGCATGGCTCGGCCACCGGCCAAGTTGATAGCGTCCTGAAAGACTATGAGGCAGTGTCGGCTATGCTTTGCGCCATGTTCAAATTCGTGCGCGACACAAGCCAGAAGAAGCAAGTAGACGTAGCTCCGGCAGATTTAAGAAAATGGATCGAGTCCTTGCCGAAGCGATTGCCGGACTGGATTGGCGAAGAGCTGTCCCAGCAGGTGCAGGATCAATATCTGAAGATCTGCGAGGGTAAGCAACAAGCTTTGGCTTCGGAAGGTTTGGCGGCCATAGGCCAAGTTGTTGACCAATGTCTTGCTAAGACAGTGCCAGCATTGTCTGCTGAGGAGCAACAACACATGTTGTTGAACATACCTCGCGGAAAGGAGGTGAAGGGTTTGGCAGCTTCTTTCTTGGAGGCGCTTTCTTTCGGACCGTCCTGCCTTCACAATATTGGTGAACATGACCATGGATTGCAAATCTTGTGGCTCACCCAAAAAAAAGGGCTAATGCCGGGTCACCCCTTTGTTCAACTACCTGTTTCAACATTTCTCTGCGTTATTACATGTATCATTCCACCATGTGCCCAACAAACACCACATCAAGTCATAAGTCATACCCCATCCTGTGCCCAAGAGAAAATCGTAGTGACCGTGTCATTTATGTATATATTATTATCGTCTTAATATTTAAACATTGTAACATTGTCATTGATTGTTATTAGTTAGTTATTAGTAACTATTAGTAGTATTAGTAGTAGCTATCTGTTTCAAGCCCACAAAAGCGTTCTGCGCTGGCCTTGCCATGCAGGTCGTTGGATGGGCAAGCAAAAGCAAAAAGTCCGAAGCAGGACAGAGAAGTATGGCAATGGCTTTGTGTCGAACCAGCGAGGGTTTGGAAAAACTTTTGGCCGCAAAGGCGCCGACATCAGACTTGCAGGAAACCCATCTTGACAAAGCAGCGCCATGGCTCGGGTCATTGTCTTCTTCATCAACGCAAATGTTGCTGGGCCACCTCCTGGATGCAAAGCGAACCCACGCTGTGGCGTACGCCAAACTGGGAGGCATCAACATGCCAGCAATCAGTGACGAGGGAATGTATCGTAAGTCTGGGGTGCGACATGTCGGAACTTTGGCTGATTTGAGCCGTGTCGTGGAGGAAGACATCAAGAGAATGAAGGACTTGAGGTCAGCCCTGTCGAAGCTGAAGTCTTGCAAATTTGGTTCGGAAGGGGACTCCCCGGGTTTGACAAACATCACCAAATTTCAGGAAAACAATGGATGGTATCCCTTGGACCCCGTTCCTGGTGAAGCTGATAGCCTTTTGGCCTGCAAGGAAGCAAATTTCCATGTTGCAGCTGTTGCAGCCATGTGCCTGCTTCGAAGCGAAAGCATCCAAGGCGGAACTCCTGACCCAAAAGCATGCAAACAACTTACAGACATCACCATGACTCTCAAGCTCAAGTTCAATCTTTTGCCAGAGAGAAATGGAGACCTGCGCAAACATGGAGCAGCTTTGCTTGCAGAGTGCGAGCGTGCATCAGCAGGGAAAAAGCGGAAGAGCGACGCAGCTGAGGACCCAACTATGAACAGCTCTGCAAAGGCACCGGCAAAGGCTGAGAAGGCAGAGACCACAGCCGCCCTAGCAGTTGCAGAGTCCGTAGCCACAGCAAAAAGCGCCGAGAGCCCAGCCTGCCAGGGTGAGCAAGCTGCATGCGATAATGCAGCGGCTCTTGGTAAGGAGGCCGATGCCGGCGACGTTGATGACAGGCCCGAGAAGGAGGAGAAGGTCAAAGACAAAGAGAAAACAGAAAAGAAGAAAGACAAGAAAGAGAAGCAGAAAGACAAACAAGATAAGCGCAAAGACAAAAAGGAGAACAAGAACAAGGAAGACGCAAAAGAGAAGAAAGAGAAGAAAGAGAAGAAAGAAAAGAAGCAAAAGGACAAGAAGGAGAAGCCGGATGAGGACAAGTCTAAGGAAAAGGCAAAGAAAAAAGAAAAGAAAGAACGAAGCGATGAAAAGACTGATGGTCAGATGCTTTCCAGGGCATTGAGGAAACAGCTGTGAAGTTCACCCAAGAAAAGAAAGTCCAAAGAAATTGTGGACGAGGAGGCCGTTGACCCCGAGCCCAAAGCTACGCCGCAACCCAAAGGCAAAGGCAAAGCCAAAGCGAAAGCTGCAGCAGGCCAAAGCAAAGGGAAAGGCAGAGGCAGAGGCAGAAAGTGATCCTTGTTGGGTCTCAGACCAAGTTTTGACACGTTCCTTCTTTAGAAGGGTGCTGAAGCAGCCGCTCTTGGTGGCATGTGCGAGCAGCAGGCACACACACACATGGGAGGCAGAGAAAAAATGCGGAGTGACTGTATGCATAATTTCTTACCCAGCTGCCCAGCCGCAGGTGTTGCATGAACCAAACAGTTTGCAGTCCACCCTGCATGTTTTCCAGAGCCGTTTCCCCGCATCGTTTTTGGTTCAAAGTGAAGCTTCTACAGCGGTCGTTTGTGTTGTGCATGTTTCGCATCCAAAGCATATGCAGACGCATGACTTAACTATACGACCTAAACATGTCATGTGATGTTTTACGGCAATTCATCATACGGGCCCCACCAAACGCTTTGACTTTCTTTTTTGCGTTGCCTACTGTAGAAGGCGGCTGAGCGCCCGTGAGTCTTGCCATGGATAAGACACCTGAAAGCAAGCGCAGGCGGCACTTGCAGGGCCAACCTTCTAATGCAAGCGAGGTGTCGTTTTCGGCCACCGGCCAGGTTACAGAAGATGACATGGTCGATGGTTGTTTGGTCTGCGCCCTTGCGCTGGAGAATTTGCATTCTTTTAGAGACAAGTTTCCAGGAGCTTCTGTGTTGCTAGGGCTGTCGCCTTGTGACACTTCGGATGAACCCGTGGTCCTCACTTGGGGCTCGTGCTGCTCTGGAAGTGAAGGCGTGAATTTTGCCTTGCAGGCTATCCAGCTAGCTTTGGCAAAGAATGGCTTTGCTATCGTGTTCCAACACCTCTTTTCATGCGAATCCAACAAAACAAAACGGACGTGGATCAGCAAGGTCATCGAAGCTGGCAGCGTGTTCCCGGAAAATGGGGTGCAAGGGGCCCATGGCAACCAGGACCCTTGTATTTTCACAGACATTGCCCATATGAAGGACGAGGCCGCCAAATGTGAGAGCCACAAAGGAAAATGTCAGGTTAAGACTGTAGATGTTTTGTTTATCGGCACCTCTTGCAAAGACCTTTCGCGACAAAATTGTCACGTGGACAGATCCAAGCCAGTCCTGGCAGAGGCTATGTCTCGAGGGGGCTCTGCCCAGACGTTCAATGGGCTCCTAGACTATTGTGAGGGCTACAGGCCGGCGATGGTTGTATACGAAAATGTAGATGCTATCGATGATAAAATCACCGCCAATGCAGAGAACAATCTGACCATTCTCATGAATGCTATGCGGACACTTGGTTACCGGGGACAAAAAATCATGACTGATGCTCAGCACTTTGGCTTGCCGTGCAGGCGTCGCAGGTTGTACATCTTGTTCGTGAGCGAAAACAACAGCTTACTACGGTTCGGAGATGATGGGGCCATTGGCCGGGCGTTTAGCAAGGTAAGAACGTTGGTGACAGCTACCATGCGGTCGCCACCGTGTGCGACAAAGTGCTTCTTGAAAGAATCCAATCCTGAGCACGCAGCGCTGTTGCGAAAAAGGCTAGAAGAAGCACAGGAAACGGCGGCAAAAAGACAGGAATCCAAAAAAGCACCGCAAAACACCTGGGTTGAGAAGCATATGGCTCATGCTGACCAGCTTGGTGTTCGATGGGCTGCGAATGTGCCTCAGGTCTTGTCCCAGAATCCTTGGTTTCAATGCTTGACGCACAGGGAAGCAGACGCTTTGAGACTATCCAGAGTGGAGTCGCCCCATTCAGCATTTCGAAACTTGAGCCAAAGTGTGGGCCGTATTAATTGCCAGTCCTTGCAGCCGGATGGAACACATGTGGGGCCCACCATGTTGCCAACGCAGCTTCTTTGGATTGAGTCTGCAGAGCGAATCATGATTGGCGAAGAAGCTCTGATGTTCCAAGGCTTCCCCATTCTTCCAATGATGAGTAAAGTGGAATTGCCAGGCCCTTGTTCCACCCATGCCTTGTTGCAAGATTTAGCTGGCAACGCCATGGCCCTTCCGGTGGTTATGGCGGTGTTCCAAGCTGGGCTCGCTTCTTTCGAAATCGCGATGTCCGATGACGAAGAAGACGAAGAAGCTGAAAGTATCCAGCTGGATGTCGAGACAGCTTTGGCTGCTGTGGCCAAGTTGCGGCCACCGGCCTAGTTGTTGCGGCCACAGGCCTGGTTCTTCAGCTGCAAGGCCAGCGTTTCAGCCCACAAGCGGCCAGACTTTGTTGCCCCGTGTTAAAAGAAAATTGCGTGCTTCTCAGCTGCGGGGAAGGCACCCAATTGTTTTCCTACTTGCTGAGCCCTTTCTCTGACAGTTGTTTTAGGTTAGGATTTCCCAAACTCAAATATCACATGTCCACCATATTTCGACACATACCGCTTCACCCGTCATCAACATGGTCCTGAGTCCTAGCATTTCCTGTCAAACATGCGTGTTTCTTGAAAATGAAAGTGTTTAACTCGGCTCGTGTGTGTGTGTTATGGCCGTAGCCATAGGCCATGCAAACCTCTGCAAAGCATGTTCTTTTGATTGTATCGTGGCGTGTTGTGTGAGAGTTAAGTTAAGCTCAAGCTGCTCATTTGCAGGGTAACATCATTTCAGCCGACCTATTGTTTTGAGTTTTGACATTTTGAAAGCCTTTCAAACTTGCCAAATGTCCGAGCGGCCCTACTTGAACGCCCATGAGAATGCGAAACCTTGCTTCAAGAAAATTTGGGGATATGTTCAAACCAATCAAGACAATAATATGAACCAATTTTGAAACAATTTAAACGCAATTCAAACAACAATTTAAACAATTTTCAGAAAATATACAAGCAATTTTCAAGGCAATTTAAACAATTTTCGAAACAATTGAAAAAATCAAGACAATTGAAACAATTTAACAACAATTTAAACAATTTTCAAAACAATTGAAACAATTTTCAAAACAATTTAAACAATTTTCAAAACAAGTTAAACAATTTTCAAAACAATTGAAACAATTTTAAAAACAATTTTAGAAAAATGAAACAATGTTCGGGGGTTCCATTGGGGTTCCGGTAACACAGAGGTTCTAAGAACATTCAAAGTATAGGATTTGCTTGCATCGCCAATGGAGAGTATCATGGGGATAATGGAGAAAATCAGGATGGCACATATGGGAATGGGTCAATACCTAGGATTCCCATATTTTTAGGGATGAATGATGAATAGATATAAATCATCATAAATCTCAGCAATTTTTAGGGACGAACAGAAGGGTCCCAGGGTTTTGCCGCATAGCCATATGAAGCCATCATTCAAGCGGAGACGGGTCCAGTTTAGATGACTCATCGGCCCGTCATCCAGTTTTTTTTTTTGTGGGATTCTGTATATATATATAATGTTAACTTAGACACCCAAATTTGGCTAAGCATTAATATATATATATATAATTATGCGTAGTGATAGTTGTATAGTCTTACTTATTTGATTAGTATTGTTGAATATTCCCATGTTATTCCCATGATTTATGATTGACCCTATTTACGGTGAGTTTCTCCAGATATGTTAACGTTGGTTCTTTTAACCATTCAAACTAGAGTTCTATCATGTTATATCCTCCCAATTCCAAACGTTCACCAAGCAGCCATCACAAGTCAGCTATCCCATCAACTCCGCAGTTTTGGGGGCCCTTTTCAGGAGACGAGCATACGCTGATTCGCCTAGAGCTGAAAGAGGTGCTGCACGAGGAGTACGATGATGACTAAGGAGTGAAGCAGGGGTCACGCAACTGAAAAGTGGTGATGTCACTGTTTCACCAAGAAAAACGCTGATTTCATGGCTCTTTCTCCAACAAACATGGTGATTTTTGTTATGGCTTTTTTAATGACCTAAATGAGCTATACCCTAAAGAAAATCAAGGGAGAAGGAGGTTGAACTGGTTTAACTATCAACAAATGGATACAGCGACTCAATGGGATTTGATGGGAATAGAATAGGATAACTATAACCATTAACAATACTGTTACTGGATCCATAGAACTAGGGTTGAACATGGGGAACATGGTGTTGTTGGATGGTCAAGTTATATCAAAGAAGCATGAAGAATGGATCTAGTAGGATATATATATATATATATTGGACATATAATAAGGAAAATATGGTGGATGAAGCAACACATGGTGATTTAACTAACAACATACTAACAACAACAATGAGGAAACGAAGGAACATCGTGCTAAATGGGTAACCATTACACCAAGCAGCCGCAGGACCTGCCTGGTCCACTGCCAATCCGTTGCCCAAAAAGATTGGCCGTGCAACGGGTGGAATGGGGAAGGACAGCAAGGATGGGCTTAACATGGCTTAAAAGGACTGACCAAAAATATTGGTTGCTTTACAAATCCTTTCCCCTGGTGTATTGGATCCATTTTTGGGGGTCGATCTGGGTATGTTTTACTATGGCTGCAGGATTATTACGTAGAAAAAACATACAGAACCCATTTTTGGGTTCACCCAGGGTGTATACCCCTTTGTCGAGCCATGTCCGAATATCTTTGAGTATGAGCCGAATACACCTGTGTTAGTTGCAGGTTGCAGGTACTTTCTGAGAAGATGTATGCTAGAGTCAGAGTGAATATTTCCTTCCCTGTTCTCATTTCGATGAACGATACCCAATCTCGAGCAGCACCAAATGTGACACCATATGACACCATCTGGGTGATTGCAATGGCCTTACAACGCTTCTTTGGTTTCACCGGATGCAGAGTCAAGAAACATGGTGGACATTAATTATGGTGCTATAATTCTGATGCTAACCAACGTTGGAAACCATGATTTAGTTACATGTTTCAACAACCGTAATACGTGCGTTCTGCGTTTTTGGGTCATCACCCCAGGCCGCAACGCATGGAAGTGAGCTGGCGGTCCAGGTGTACGGTTTGATAGAGGGGCCATGGATGGGCAGTGGGATAAAACCATGGTGAAATCCCCAAATCCCATGGTGAATGATTTGTGGTTAATGGGTTATCCATGGTCAATTGGTTATGAAATCCCATGGTTAACGATTTGGTTAATGGGTGTTTGAATGGTTAATGAAAATTGCTTAGGAAATGATGCAATACGAAATTTTGGTTATGATGCTTTGAATTGATGGGAATGATGGGTATGATTGGTTAATGGCTTATCCATCTCCATTTGAAATTCACATTTCATCAGCATTTTTCATATGTTCTGATGGTTCTGACATGGGGAGAGAGACGCATATTATGAGTGTGGTGATGAATTGGTGATGCCAATTTTCTTTGAGGTCATTTGCGAGTTGGCTTTATCAGGACCGTGATAGATCAACCCAAGACCGGCACCAAGCCATCCAAGTTTTCTTGGGCTTTCCCAACCCAAAGTTGGAACCACAACCGATCCAGCGGAAGTTCCGGGTTGCCCATGGTTGCCCAAAAAACCATGAAGGACACTCCACTTTTGACCGGAGAAATGATGATCCACCATGGGAACTGAAAAGATCCCTTGAGGCACTTGGAACTTTGCAAATGATAAAGCATCAGATCGGTTCTAGGGGTCTAGAGGTACCAAGCTCATTTCAGATTGAAAACAGGAGATATATACAGTAACTTACAGATATATATATATACTTATATTTAATCTCTCAAATCCAGGGTTTCTCATTTTGGGGTATTGTTGGTGAAGCAATGGTAAACCATCAACAGAAGGGCGCTTTACCATTGTTTCACCAACATGATATTTGGATCTAGATGGGAGATTTCCATTGACGGATCCAGGCTCTGGTGGCTGCAAGGTCCGATGTGGACATTCAGGTGCCACACAGAAAAAGCCATCCTGGCGGGATGGAAGGATTCAAAACCAGTTGAAATGGCTTCGTTTGAAAATATCGTAACCGTAACCCCCACATGGTTTATCATGGAAAAAATCCATGATTTTATCATTAACGTATCGCTTGTAAATAGCTGAGGATTCAGATTGAACTCCCCAAAGATGAAGATGATTGACCTCCTATCACACCATCTGAATGGGTGGATGAACATACAAAACTACCAGCTGAATTTTGCTGTGAACAGTAGAGCACTATGGTAAACTGATCCATGCCGAAATGGAGTGAGAGTTGGTGCCACCAGTTTCTCCTCCCCTCAAGTTGATGAATCCATGATAATTACTGTAACCGGTGAATTACACGTGAAACAATCCACCATTTACAGATGATATTCCCATAAAAACCAGCATTTTTGATAGGGGATTTTCCCATGAAAACTTCCATGTACTTCGATGAGTCCCAGCTATAAAGCTCCATGACGTTCCGGGATTTTCCATCGCCAGTGCGGCCCTGGTCCTAGGAGATATTTGTATCCATCATGCTACACCAGCGATAAAATGAAATTTATTTAAGGGTGTTTCCTAAAATGGGCTACATAACCCAGTTATCATCCTTATTTTTTTTTGGGCTTTTCCATGGGCTTTTCCATGAAATAAATCAATCATTTTAGGGTAGCAGCCATTGATGGAGACCTTCAAATCCTGATGGCACTGGCCTTTTCCTTCCGAGGATGAAGAGGGCAACACCGCGCTTCAAATCGCCACTCAGCTGCCAGCTTCGCAGAGGAACTTTTTTCGGTGGGGTGAAAACCGGGTTCCTGTTGTATTGTAGTGTCTGGATATGTACAATGTATATGTATATATGGTGTATATATATACATATATGTATATATATTATATCATATATATATAATATATAAATATATCATATATACATATATAACTAAATAACTATTATAGGCGAGTTTGAAGATGTGATGAATGAATCCAAGGATCCAATGTCATGCAACCCTCTAGTCTCTAGTCTTGTACACGTATTGATCTGTTGCTTCAATAGTTTTACAGGTTTTACAGCTTGAGCATCCCCAAACTCCAAGCTTTCAGGCCTTGCGGTGCTATCACGGCCACGTGGCGTACACGCGGCAGAGTTTACTTCGCAGCAGTGCTTGGAGGGATCATGGACACTTATGCAGTCTTTTCGGGAACAGAAACCAGAAGATGATGGATTGTCCTAGTACTGGGGTAGCCATCAGCCACTGGCATAGCCCACACCCCACTGTGGAATTTGCAGCACGCCAGGTCGATTCTCTTGCAGAGCCGGGCGAGCAAAAAGACACTGACCAGTGGACAGCAAAGTGGGAAGATAATCCGTTGAACTTGATTCTCTAAACTGGTAAAATATACCCAAACTCCTGCAATTGCAAGAAGCAAAGATTCAAAAGATGCAAAAACCCACCAAAAAGCCATGCGTCGGCCATGCCCAGTGAATACTTACGAAGTCTGCCATGCGTCAGCTGGGGATGGGTACTCGAACCCAAACGAGATGAGATGATTTTGCAACAAATGAAGTATAAATGACCAGTTGACATTGGAGCTGTCCCCTGGCAACCTTTGGCACCAACCGAGTCACCGATGTTTTCGTTAGAAGTTCATCTGATTTAGTGTATATATTACTGTATATAATTTATAGATGTGTATATCATATCCATTATAATGTCCAGCAATTTTCTGAATGAGCGCTCAAGACCCACAATGGTTGATGCTTTCAAATAGTCTTCCTCTTCCACCCCAATCTGGTTCCCAGGCCCCAACTAGCTGTAACTAGCAACGTAGTTGGGGATGGCTTGAACATTACCCAAAGCAGTTGGTTGGTTTATGCCGTTCAGAATGACCACAATTTAGGATGCCTAATCGCCCATGTGTCTTCCCACTGCGGGCCTTACAAAGACGAAACACCATGACTGTCGCTGCTTTTTCGCACGGCTCAAGAGTGGCAACGGGAAAAAGGTGCAGGCGAGAGCCAGGCTGCGACCTTAGGTTTGTCCAAAGATATGGCTGTTGATATTGGGAGTTTTATTAATGGATATTAAAGATATTGGTGATATGGCTGGTGATATTGGGGTATAACAATAGTCCATCGTGGACTTATAGTAACTGGTGTATGGCATTGGGTTTACCACATGAATTCTATTGCCCATATGCTCAATATATGGAATATTTACCTACATTTACCCAACAAATGGCCCAAATGTAGGTAAATATACCAGCACCATGGAGCATCTGGGTTGGATAAAGAAAATTTACGGAAAATATTAGGAGAACAGCAGCCATGATATTGTGGTGATACAATGGGCTGGAGCCAGTGGATACTGAGATGGCCATGATCGCCCACGATGGAAGCTGGGGTAACCGGGTACTCGGTTAGTTTGGAGAAAGCCATTTTATGTTCTCTGGTAGACCGCAATCGAAACTTCTCCATGGTCCATTGTTATCACTTTGTACGGGTAAACTAAGTACAGGGTATGCGTTCATGTTGGATGGAGTGTGCTTCATACAAGATGATTATTAGATTTCTCATCGGTATCAGATGGTTTTAAGGTTTAAACATTTTTTGGATTGAAATTAATTCAATTACCGTGGCTGCGCTGCATGTATATGCTGGATGTTCCATTGCCATTCTTCACCGCAGGGTACCCAAAAAAATGGTCCAAGCGAGCCCAGTCACCAGTAACTATGGGGTGATTCATGGGAATTAATGGGAATTAATGGGAATTAATGGTAATTTAGTGTTATTCATTAATGCCCATAGATCACCATTACTTCCCATGATGTCTGAAAAAGCTCAGTCCCTAAGTCCGACTGGTGCCCCATCTTCGACTGGTGGATCCTGGAAAAAAATCCTGCCGAAACCAGGCGCCATGACCGAAGAAGTATGCAACTCAGAGCCAATGGCGCAGAAATTTGAGCCAGTAAACAGCAACAACTCAAGCTTCCAGATGTTTTCAGATGTTTTCAGCACACTTTTTTTTGGGGTACAAAAAACGTACAAAACCCATCAAAAACCATCAAAAACCATCAAAAACCATCAAAAACCATCAAAAACCATCAAAAACCACGCTTCTCAGGGAGACTCCAATGGGTTTTTTCTCAAGGTGATCTGCTTTCAAACATCCCGTCCAAGGTGCCGGAGCCGGCCAGTCCTGGCAGCCCCACGGAGGTCGGTTATCTGCCACACATGGGTAATTTAGAGGCCTACTAATTACCCTCTGGTAATTTAACATAGCTATTGAAAATGGCATGTTTTAATGGGAAAATCAACTATAAATGGTCATTTTCAATAGCTATGTTAAATTACCAGAGGGTAAGATTTTACCAGTGAACATGAGAACTTTAAACCAGCCTAAATGTGGATTGATAATGATAACTAATGATAACTATAGGGATATTATCTATATATATAATACATAGAGCAAGTGAAAGATGGATATGGCTGGGTTTGTCAAAAAGACATGGGGAATTTCACCAACAATATAACAATACTGATATCACATGAGATACAACTAATGGATCCAAACGAGTGTGACCAACAATGTGGAGGAGTCGTCAGGGTGTACTGGGAGGCCATATGATTGGTTGATATTGGTTGATAGTTGCAGTGGGGTTGTAGTAGCTGGTTTTTGCAGATAATTGTGACATACATAATAATACATATATATATGATATTATATAGTTATATAATATATTATTTATATTATTACACATATCTATAGTACATATCTATAGTAATCTATAGTACATACATATCTAACATATCTCTATCTACAATGCCTACACATTACATACCTACAATAGATAGATAGATAGATAGACAGATATATAGATAGATAAATAGATGGATAGATAGATAGACAGATAGACAGACAGACAGACAGACAGACAGATAGATCGATGAATGGATGGATGGATGGATGGATGGATGGATAGATGGATGGATGGATGGACGGATGGACGGATGGACGGATGGACGGATGGATGGATGGATGGATGGACGGATGGACGGATGGACGGATGGATGGATGGACGGATGGACGGATGGATCGATGGATGGATGGACGGATGGACGGATGGACGGATGGACGGATGGACGGATGGACGGATGGACGGATGGACGGATGGACGGATGGATGGATGGACGGATGGATGGATAGATGGATAAATGGGTAGATAGGTAGATAAGTAGAGGAAGAGTTAGGTGGATAAGTAGATAGATAGCTAGGTAGCTAGCTAGATAGTTTAGTAGCTAGATTGCTAGATAGGTAGCTAGATAGCTAGCTAGATGGCTAGATAGCTGGATAGCTAGCTAGACAGCTAGATTGATATATAAATATAATTAAATATATACGATCCGTTTTTTGGAAAAGCAACTAGCAACTCTAATTGTCACAGTAGCGCAAAAAACACACCCGCAGGCTGCGCAAGTGGATGAAGAGTCAGCCAGCCGAACGCGCCTTGGCGTTGCAAACTAATAGTTTTCTGGGAGTTCACCAGTTGAAGATTGGGATTCTGGTGAAACACCGTGAAACATGGGATACATGATGGGTTTGATTACCAGCAAACAAATGCGGAGAAAAAAATACCATGAGAGTACCAACAAATGAGGATACGGCATGATACAAGCAATATTCTATACTTTGCCCTATCCCCAGTGACTCATATTTGACTATTTTGTAGGGGATGAAACCATAAAAAAAATAAGAAGCATTGGTGGTTGGTTGTTGCAAACATATTCAATCACCACGATCCCTAGTTGTTGGGATGTTGAACCCTGATGGACCGTTGCAGTTGTGATGCGTTGAAATCACCAATCCTCATCCGAAATCCTTTGCTCACCTGGAATTGAACATTGTCATTTCAAAAAATAAACAAACTCATAAAACAGGACGTCTCATAATCCAGAAATCAATCTTATCTTACGGGAGTGTCAATCATGCCATGCTTTGATTGCAGCATCACCTTGCTTCAAGTGACGACTGCTACACCTTCACAAAGGCGGGCGCAGCCACGTCGGCGCGGCCATGGCCAGGAACATCAGGTTTGAGCTGCTGAGTAGCAAGGTTTGCACATTGGAAGTGCAACCAGATATGACCATCGAAGAGTTGAAAGAGGACTGGTTTCATGTGTTTGGTTTCCTAAAGTGGGTCAAAAACAATAGATTTCAATACTAAAATGATCTAATTTTAGATGATTTGGGGTATCCCCATTTAGGAACCCCCCATGTGGTTCCAACTATGTTGCGATGTCTCATTCATCCTTTTTGATTGTTTCCAGGTTTGCTGTTTTTTTTCCACCAATTGTGCTCAAAAAAAATGGTGGATATTGTAAGCACCCCCCAATCCCGACACTTGAATTCTAATCCATGTGGTCTCTTTCTCAGCCTTTGAAATTGTAAACGTGGTTTCATGATCTCCAAAGACCACAGAAGTATTGGGGTACCCTTAAAGAGGATAGTCAATACATAATTTTATGCCCGCCATTTTACTGGACATGTTCAACATAGTCTTGTGCTATGCCTATGTATATTCCTGCTTGGGGCTCACCAGAGGAGCTGAAGTCTTTCCACCCATCCAACGACGAGGTCATTGAGTGTGTCAGGGCAGAATCTGGCCGTGCAATGGAGGAGTTGCTGGACGCATCCCGGACACTGAAACCCTCCGGCCGAAGGCCTTCTGGGAATGCAGGTCTTTGTTGCGGCTTACTCTGCCTTTCAAGACTGCAGCTCCTTGACAAGATTGACCCTTTCACAGTCTCTGACAACCATTGGGACTAGTGCTTTTGCTGGCTGCAGCTCTTTGACGAGTTTGGCTATCCCGGAGTCTATAACTGCCATCGGGGAGGGTGCCTTTAGCAACTGCAGCTCCTTGACAAGTTTGATCATCCCGGAGTCTGTAACTGCCATCGAGGCTTCCACCTTTCTCAACGCTCTTTGACAAGTCTGACGATGTCACAGAGCGTGGCAGCCAGCAGCTCTTTGAGAATTTTCGCAATCCCTGACTCTGTGAGATCGGCCATCCAAGAGGTATCGTCGATGAATCAAAAGGCCGAAGCTTCGCCTGCTGCAACAAGTAGCCTCTGGTAAACTAACATAACTATACAATACTATACATAGCTATGGAAATCACCATTTTTAATGCATCAACTATTTCTATGGCCATTTTCAATAGCAACATGTTAGTTTATATATGTTTATATCAGATTTCGCCAACCTTCCAAAGGTGACCCCACACAGTCACAACATGTCACGACTGGGTCAGCTTGCGATCGAATCATGCCATCACGAATTGTGCTTGGTCTCAATCGTCCCCTTTCAGTGGGTGCATGGGTTTGTCAAAACATTGGGTCCCCCAAATGGTTGTTAGGGACAGTGGTGATTAAGCATCACCATTTCGCCCCAAAATGTTTGTTTTAATAGCGAACATGCTTACAATTGGGCATACCTCATTTTCAGACAAACCCAGATATCATGTATCACATATCATCATATGTCTGTTGGTCCCGCCAAATTTGTACCACCGTGTTCCATCTTCCGCTGAAGCCTGTAGCAAAAACTCGCGCGGAAACAACAAACATGTAGGTTCTTTACCGGCATCGATGCGGAAGCGGGAAAGAAGAAGGGCTCCAAGGACAAGAACAGGCGCTTTGCTATGGAACATGTGATTTTTAACTACATGGTAATGGGTCAAAACTTATGACCTTTCCATAGTGTTTGGAATAAGCATCCATAGATCCCAGCTATTAAATCTATTGAGCAGCTATTATAGGGTACCTAGGGTACCAGGGTTTTGACTGATAGCCACATGTGCCACATGTTTGTTTGTCAAAGTAAAAAAACAAAATTGATTCGACACACCCCATTTTCTTATGTTAATCAACAATTCTTGGACTTCAATCATGATAATCATGATGGATTGATGTGACAGGGTTTGCATTGTCGTTTTTTTAAAATTCATTTGGATATTCTTTGTTTTTGATGTTGGTTTTAATTCATTTGGATATTCTTTGTTTTTGATGTTGGTTTGTCTATTGATAACATAAACTGATTATGTTTTTTGCTATGGTGTTTAAGGCCTGCCATGATCCATTGGTTCTGTGCAGATTCTATGCAGTTGGGAACATGATACTCGTACCACAATGATTTATTTTGGGATTATTTGGATATGGAATTTGGAAAGCCAATAGATCGGAGATCTATCCTCCTGATATACAAGTGACCTGGAGTAAAACACTTTTCAAATGGTACTATGGAACGTTGGCGTTTCCCCTCTTTTGGAAGGCTGCATCTGTCCAAACGTCCGGAGAATTGGAGGGGGAAATTCACTGCCCTGACAATGATGGAGGGGATTTTCCAGGACAGTTTCTATACCCAAACTGTTATGGAAAATCCCCTGGGGAAAAACCATGGCATTCACCATGTTTCTTCCGGGTCGCAGGTTCCGGAACTTGGAATCCACAGATTCAGGGAACAAAATCATCCAGCACTTCCAGGCCGTTGCAAGCTGGAAGAACAGGGTATAACCTTGGATGAAAACTGGTGATGTGTAATTTGTGTGTTATATTCTAGAAATTGGGGGATTCATACAAGTAGGGGATTGTTAAGAACACCTGGTAGATTTTCAGCGAAACTTCATCAACATCTACGTGAATTTTAAATGAAGACCCAACGAACAAATGCGGGTAATTCAGCCAAAAATTGGGATGCACCGCCAACGAAAAGAATGGGATTTGACTCGGGTTGACGACAAATGGTCAATCCTGTGCCACAGATGGCTACAGTAAGTGATGCAACACATGAACATGGCTATGGAAGGTACAACTAAACAACTGCGATTCATTGATGTCATACAGATTTCAAAACAAGCTTCAAAAATTGCATTCAGAAAATTGGAAGGATAAAAAACATAAAGTATAGATAAAGACAATGTGACACTGTCCCACTCAACGGCTTGGCATGGCCAACATGGCAATGGGAAATCCCCCAAAATGATCCAAAATGTAGGTTTTGATAGAAAAAATATCTATGAATGGGTGATTTTCCATTGCCATGTCTGATTGCCGAAGGATATATAATATTATATATGTAATATTATATATATAATATACTTATATATGTATATACATGCATATTCAATCACGTGTATGGGTCAATATCAAATAAGCCACAAATTAGATTGCTATCCACATACCAGTGGACTGTGGAATCTGTAGATGGGATGCGAACTACTAGACTACAGTGTTGTTGTTTTTAAACAACTTGTTTGATTTGTCTGAGAATAGGTACCTCCAAATCCCTATGGTTAATCATCCTGTTCCCTCCTTATATGGGTATGGATCAATACCTATGAATACCATTTTTAGGGGGATGAACATCCATTTACCAGCTATTTTGATGTTCACCAGGGGTACAGGGTTTTGACCCATCCCCATATGGCTATTTCGGGGGGGTATACCTGACAAAGCCATAGATCCCATAGATCCCATAGATCCAGTTGACGACTTCAGGACCTCACCAAGTTGGCGAATTCACTGGACCTCCGAATGGAAGCATTGTTGCGAGAACACGAGCAGGAGCCGCTGGCTGCCGGTGTCATGTTGTGGAGGTTATATAAGGCTACTGTAGATGTTTTTTGGCCAGTATACAGCAAAAACAGATGATCATTATAGAACATTGCAGACGAAAATCATTAGAGATCATGTGAGATCTCTCTCTCTCTATATTATTAATTATCTGTAGACTTTTTTAGATCATTATTGATCATCATAGATCATGATAGATGTTCATAGACCTTTATATAGATCATTATAGATCTTTGTAGATCACTGTTGATCATTCTAGGTCATCATAGATTGTCGAGCATTAAAGATCATTGTAGGTCACTAAAGACCCTATGTGTGTGTGTGGGGTGTGTGTGTGTGTTTTGTTCCAGGTCTATACCAAGCATCATTTATCCTTTTATGGTTTTCAGAAGCAGACAGTAGAGACTTTGAAGGGGAACTTTTGGGTAGCTTGATGGGCCACTTACCAGCTGGGTGTGAAGCGCAGGGTGCAAGGGGTTTAGCCACAATCTGCCACAGTCACAAACATTGAACCCCCTAACCTGATATTTTTTTTTGCACTGAAATGGATCATTTTGGTTGTCGGCCTTTCCAGCTCTGGGACGTAGCCAGGGGACAGTTCACCACGTCCATCATTCCTGGCAGGATTTCTTCCTGGCCTACAAGACGCACATGTACACCGTCCGGAGCTCACAGTGTTGCCATAAATAGTAATGTTATTGATGCTGGTTAGTACGAGGAAGCTCCGAAAATCACCTCGCTTCAGCCAGAGCAACATATTCTCTACCGGCCATTTTAGTATTGAAACCTATTGTTTTTTGGGTTTCTCCATGTTTCCCCTATTTTAAGAAACTCACATATTTATAGATCACTTGCTCAGTTGCTTTTAAAGACTCAACCTCTTTCGGAAAGCACGAACTTCTGGGTAAACGTCAGTTGATTTTTTTCGAGGCAGATGGGGATTGGTCATGGCCCATGATCAAATTACTGCAATTTCTTGTGGGTGTGTAATACATCAATTTATGCATCTGTACATTGACATAGTGAAATAATGTGAAATAATGTGAAGTGATGTGAAAGAATGTGAAATATATGATGTGTATATAATGGAGTTTTCAAAACAAAAAATCACTAGAATGATGAGATTTTTGAAAAAAAACATATTCTATCTACTTCATCATATGTATAAACATACATGCATCATATATATATATATATATGATTATAATATGTATACTGAGTATATAGCCAGTATAAACATCTATTCTGGATGCACATGCCACCATGGTCTCATAAAAGAGGTGCAAAAGGAGATCAAACTGCTCCGGATGAAGGCTCCGCCGACAAACTGAAGCAGGGATCAAGATTTTCACCAGAGACCGGGGAATCTCCAATGGTAACCAGTTTATATCGTGATTTCCAATGTTGTTCATGTTCTATCTGATTCTATCTGTTCTATCCGGCATAAACAATGTCTGATGATCCTCAATTTCCCATGTGTTTGTTTTTTGTTTTTTAACGTGCCAATTAGATACCTGGTTAATCTATGGTTAATCTATGGTTAATCTATGGTTAATAATTGGAATAACAATATACCTGGTTGGTGGTGACTGGAACATGGCTGGATTATGCATAGGATCTCATGACTTGGGTCTCCGTTCAGAACGGAGATATGTAACATTTATTGAACATTGGCCATAGATCCTCATTCCATAAGAGTTTTTAAACATGTTTAAACCATCTTAAATCAACATGTTTCATGATTGACATGGATTAACATGGAAAACAGCCCTTCCCATCTTTTCAGGATACAAAAATTTTGCGGATGGGATTCGATCCTTTTTAGGCGGAACAAGAAGAAGCGAAGACGCGAGAAGATACCAAGATCAAGGCTCTGGAGGGTGAGTTGGTCCGGGGCCCAAGGGCGAGCTGCGACTTCCGGTGGGGTCAAGGTAGTTGGGATCAGAGGTTTCCCAAAATGGAGCCCCCAGTCGTGGCAATTTCCATAGGGAAAAATGATGATTTTTTTGCATGAAATATATAAAAATTTAGGAGTAGTCTAGTTTCAGATGTACCCAAATGTCCACCAAATATTTGAAACCACCACCAGCTACTGTAGGGGATGTGTCAAAAAATCAGACTAAGGGAACACAGATTTGGGTCATGATTTGTATGAATTATCCATGTTTGGGTATCAAATGTTCTCACATTTCCATG